TAACTCTCCACAAATACATGTATTTCCCAAAATGTCCAACGTTGATTGTCCTATTAGTCTTGATTTCAATTAGACATTATGGTAACAGTTTTCAATCAAATTCAAGAAACTTTCTTTAAATTTTGGGTCATAAAAAAATGTGCAGATGTTTAAAGTGGAGTACATTTTAAAGGCTTTCAAAAATATCTCATGACCATTTGCAAACTGTTGTTGTTGATGATGATGGTGTTATTGGTATTCAAAAATGAATTCATCCATCCATACATTCATACACATATATAGCTTGGTCACATATTACACTGTAAATCCAGTGTGATGCATTTGAGTCATATTCCAAATTGTCCCTCCAGGCCTTCTCTCCACTTCAACTCTATTTGCATGTCTAAAGCAGCAGAGTCATTAAGAGGAAACCAACCACAGCGACACAGTCTCAGCGCTCAGTGCATCCCTGGAGCTGCTGAAGCATCGTCAGCCTTTGGAGAAAGCGAATCAGAGAGTCTCTACAGGTCCCCTATGGGAGGAGAAGAGAGCTCTTATTCTAACTCGGTGGAAAATGCCAGCACCCACAGGGGCACCGTTACACACAGCTGGGATAATAAGTATCATAGGGAGACCCATGATCCACCAGCAAACTGAGAGCAGGATTTTTTCCCTATTCACCATTGCCACCAAGCAGACTCATCCCAAAAAGGCAATGAATGTCTTTCAACCTTGCTTTAGACAGGCTATTTGAATATCTGAATCAGCGTGCCATGTAATGCAGGATGTAGTTTATAGAACCACAGGGGAAGTGGATGGGGTGAAACAGTGTGGCGCTATGAGACCCACTCTCTGGAAGGCAGGTTTGAATTGAAACACTTACAATAGCATACAGTCCACACAACACACAGACTACAAAAAGCTTCCACACTGTTTTAGACTTTCCTTAACCACTTAACACACACAGGATCCCCTTTTGTTTCCCATTACATCGCTTTAAGCTTGTTAAAATCCTCTTATTCCTCACTGTCAGTGTTATACTGTATCTTCTGTATCTATATGATGTTTACATGCGTGACATATTCAAACCCATGTTTTTATGTCTTGTGCATCATTTTATACATATCTCCCTGATACATTTGGAATCTTTAGAAACTTTGGAATCAAGAAATCACAAACAAAGGTCCACCATCAAAATGTGCCGCTAAAGCGTATGGCAGCAGTCCATGGAACTGTTGTTAAAGGACGCTATAAAGATGCTTTGTATAGAGAGAGAGATGTTCGTCTATGGTTTTGGCATTAGAACTGCTCAGTTTTGGATAAAAATTATTTGAAATTAGTTCACGATTAGAAAAGACAAGCTAAGTTTGAAAGTTATGAAATGACTCTCAATAAGGTTTTTCAATGACTGTAGTGTTCTCATCCTTTAGTGTTCATGACGGTTACACTGCGGCAGGACATAAAATTGATCATCTCCATAACTGCCTCATCATAAAAAAAGCTTTTCTACTTCCAGAACTCCATAACAATAAGAAACAGCATGCTGTTTATCATCAGTGTCCATCTACATAAACTTGAACCACCTTAGGCTTTTGAAAGAATGTTGTATCCCATACTAAAAGTAGACCTACGTTAACATTCAACTTATACAGTAACATAAATTCCCACGGTATGTACCAAAGCAAAAACATTAATTTAGAAACTATGTGGTTTGCTTTTCCTGTTTTTGTTATTGTCTGTCTCCGGCATTGGTAAGTAGGATACAGTCACTCTGAAATAAATCACAGCAGATTTACAACTAATTACCCGATCTTCCCAAAATCTCCTAGCTTTGTTGCTTAGTAATGATCATACTGCCCCCCATAATAGTGGAATAGATACCTGCTAGTTAAAAAAAAACTACTGTATAAATAATCTTTAAGTCCCAGATTGTTATCTCCTTATTTTCTAACATAACATATTGTTCCCGTCTTCCTCCACGTATGAATTGGCAAGTAATGCACTGGTACGCTGTTACTCAAAATCAGAACAATAATGTACACTGTAAATTGGGAAGAAGTACGCTGTACATTGTCAGCCATAATGTAAAGTGTTACCATAGTGTCTATAAAATCAAGATGATTTAATTGCTAATACATTCATCATAATAGTATGACTAAATTACTTTAGTGACTCAAAGCAGAAATGCAAGACTTTTTTCAAGTTGTGTGTGGATCAGCCAGAGAGACACGAGTGCCTGCTGTTACGCAGTCAAATCAGTAGGGGATTGCAGGAGCTCAAGCCAAGGATTAAATTTGTCACAGTAAAATTGTACTACTAGTGTTAATTTAAAGGCACGAACAGAATACTTAACAAGTGAGAGGCATAACTGCGTTGTTAAACGTGAATTTCACTGCAAGAGACATTAGCACAAAGCCTTCGCTTTATTAAGCGTAACCCATTTCCATGGAAGAGGGAAAATGTATGCTTCACTAACACAAAAGTCTTGATTCGCCTGGGGCCCACCTCCCCTCCTACTATCTGTTTCTTCTCTTTCTGCTCTCTCTCCCTTGCTTCAGCTCCCTCTGCTTTCTCTCTCTCTGGCATTCAGTTTAATAAGTTAGCGTGAATAGCTGTGACCAAATATAAAGCCTAAGACCTGGTAGAAGGCTATAAATGTAGCCCTAATGGCTAAACCATTATAACATTTGGTACAGACTCTGCCGCAGTGAATGTTTTGCTGCAGGAAAACGGAGGTGGTGGAAGGCAGGAGACAGGGGGATGAAGAGCTCCTTTTCCATTAGCTGATTGAATTGGAACCCAGTCCTGTGGGCTGGGGATTGTTTGCCTCACATCAAACACAACTGAGATGTAAACATCTCTGTTAGTGGACTCAAGAAAATGTCACATGAAAGCATTGTCCCACCAACGATTCTTCACTGTCCAGCAGTAAGGCACAGGTAGTCTGTTAGTAGAGGCGGTTGCTCTACTACATTTCTCAGTACCGGCGTTGTTTTAAATCATCCACCCCGTGTTTTTTGTGAGCCAGAGTGAAGGCCTAATGGACCATGCCATGCTGCAGTAGACAACACATCTCACATTAGGATCCAACATTTACCCAAGTGCAATGTCAGATTTAATAAATGATATATATACTTGTTCTGGCTCCATTGCGGAGAGTGGTGTGAGAAGGAGTAGGAAGATGAGAGGCTTCACAAACCATAAATGTTCCTTGTCTTTGTAACCAGGTCAACGGCAAATATGTTTCTGTACGGAGCGTCGGGGAGGGGATGTGAATAGTAGGGGTTGTGGTGCATGGTGAAGCATGCAGTGTAGTACAGCCTGGAAAATGTGTGTTTTTATCCTGGACAAACATGCGTGTCTTAGACAGAGTCTTTCAAAACCACAAGGTCTTTCTCTTGGTGTCCTTAACAGTTTCTTAATCTGAAACAAAACACATCCGTTTGTGAAGGCGGTGTGATTTGAAGGGGAAACAAAATCATAATGAGAAATCAGGTCTTGTTAGAGTCAAATGCGGATTTTAAATGAGAGAACAGCGGCCGACATTAGAGGCGATTAAGAGAAATGCAAACACCATATGAAAATGTAATGAAAATTCCTTCCTCATTTCTGTATCCAGTCAAGGAGAAAAGTGAAGAGCGCAGCCTCAGTTTGCCCTCATGCGTTTGCCTGCTAAAGGTTTCAGCTGACACAGTAATTATGCACTTTGCGAGTGTTACCAGGAGTTTGACAAACCTCCGCTTGCCACAGGTTTTGTTGTGATTGCAGCTTTGTCGGCATCTGCATTTCAAACACCTGCCACCTTTTAAAGCTAACCAACCTCCACATGATCTCTGTCAATGGCACTGGCTGCATTGTCTCCCAACCTGAGTGACTTAGCACTGTACTCAAATGTTAAGCTGTATATTTAGTCTAATTATAGAGATCATATACTTATTATGATTCAGTTTTCCAGGACTAGGAAAATAATCAGTGGTGTGTAGCTGACAGGAGCTGGCTAACAATTGCTCTTTAGATAGAGCGTTAGTTATGAAGGTTGAATATCATCAAGCCTGAGCTTGAAGCTAAGCTTACTTGACAAATGTTACCAGAGAGCAGGCTTGCTTGTTTGCAGCCAAGAATCATATTCAGGGGAGAGGAGGCACCTGATATGTCCATGCATTAATGAACATTATGAGCATACACTAGGTATATTTAGGGCATCTTTTGATGTTGAGCTGCTGCAGCCCCTTTTGCACATTTTATCTGTCTCAAACATTTCAAGTCTCACTTGTTTGTGTTTGCTTCTCTTTATGTACATGTCCTCCTCTAAGATTTAATTTAAGAAGTCAACATGGGATGGGGGTTTTAACTCAGTTCACCTCATCTGTCGCAATGTCCCAATTTTTTTTTTACATCATATGTACATAATGAGATGTTGTTTATTGTTACAAAGAATTTTCAGTCAGAAAGTTCAGATAGAAAATGGAATTCATGCCTTGACCTAACATGCATTTCATTAATTGGGCTGTTTGAGTCGGGATTTGACCTTCCATGATGATTTCATGATGGAGTAAAAGAGCTTCTATAGAACAGCAGGTTTTAATCATTATTCAGACAGAGGCCATGAACACATATTTGAACAGAACAGGCCATAAGGTTGCCGTTGATAAGATGTGTATGATCCCTCATGGGAGCAACTAATTAAGTGATGGTCTTTGGGGTCTCAGTCAGTCATCTGTTCTCAGACTGAATGTAGTCAGGCAGTGGCCCCTATGGGCTACCATCTGTAAAACAAAGCTGATGCTGCTCTGCAAAGCCATTCAGAATTTGTATGTTGTTGTAGGGGCTGAGAAGTCAGACTCCCCCTTTTTGCACTGCGCCGTAGAATACAAATGGGTTTCTGTAAACTGCTGCAAATAATGAGTGACTCAGGGAAACATGCTGCAGGTCATGTGTGAAGACACTCCGGCGCGCGCACGTATGCAGACACACACGCACAGGCGCGTAATGACACAAACATGCACGCGCGGGCGCACCCGTTAACAGACACAAAAAGGCACTCACACACATTAGACAGATCTACCCTACCTCCTCAGTCCACCCGCCGCTCCTCCGGGAACCTCTCTGACAAACTGACCATTTATTTCGTCGTTTGACTTTATTTTAGCCTTTAACTCTTGCTGGACCAGCTCAAGAAAAGCAGTCGGAGTTGTCCTCGGATCGTGGGATGTGAGCGTTGTTGTGTCTGTGGGTGACAGAGGGGGACAGGGGGCGCTCTGCGCTGCTCAGTGCAGGACGCAGGAGACAGTCGCTCTCCAAGGTGCTGAAAGTCGGAGCGCTCCCTCCTCACTCTCCCCTACTGACGATGAATGCGACCGAAAATCAAACACTGACTGCTCTCAATCCCGTTTGGTTTCATCTTTTTATACTCTAAACTTCTGGATTCTTTATTTTTCATGCAACCGTTGGATGTACACACACATATGTGCAATAAGCCTGACTGCTGCTTTCTCATATTCACCTGCATCGTTGGGAAATATTGAATTGACTCCGGATTCTCAGGGAACGCTATAGAGGATTTTCCCCAGCTGTTTTTCTGGGTCTCTGCCTCTCTCTGCGTACCGCATGCCTTCGGACGTGAACTGTGATATTGTCTCAAAAAAGGTGAGTCCGATGAGGATGTTCATGAGGCAAACCTACTTTTACGTGGATATAATTTTCTTTGCACTGGAAAGGGAAGGTGGGGGACCATACCTCCAAAAGGCTGGTGTTTAATTGCTTTTAAACCCACCATCACGACCGAGAGGGAGGATTATAGTGTCTTGTGGAGTCTGGAGAATGTACCCTGTGGATAAAGTAAAGTTTCCAATAGGCTAGGCGACTGTAATTAAATCTGCTCTAGCCCTCTATGCGTTGGGCTCTCTGGCTTCACACTAAGTGGATATCAAGAAATTTCGCGGTGAGTTTGCCCTATCGTTTAATATACATCCCTGTTGTCACTGGCGTTTCAATTGATCTGTCAAGACACGCAGCACTTAGAAACCAAACGATTCCAAGCCAAGGGGAAATGCTCATTTTCCGCTATAGGCTATATTGCTTAACTGTCTCGATTCGGCTCTGTGATTTGGGTAAATCATTGCGCATTTATGATTCTGGACATTTGCACGTTACATGGCTGATTTAGTAAGCACAGGTTACTGTTAAGTCCAACATTTGAGCAGTAATTTGTATAATTATTGGCTTCAGGGGAATTTGAAATAGACTACTGGCTACCTGTTGTCTCTGTTCGCTCTGGTAGAGTTTCAAATTGTAGAAAAATAGCTCATACATTGGGATTTTTTAATGTGGAGAAGAATAGTGTGAGGAGCCCACGCCACCCACTTCAGATAATGGATGTTTTAACCTATCCCTCTGATGTTGAACGGTCAACTATTGCTGAGATTTTGCACGAAAAGAATCCTTTGAATCTGAACACCACCCGCACCACCACACAAGCGCACATATAGACCGCACGCTTATGTTAACAGTGGTGTTTTTTTCTTTCTTTCAGGGATAATGGCATTAGCCTGTTGATTAACCTAAGCTACATTTGGGAACCTCTTTTGTCTCTGGAGAGAGAATAACAATTAAAGAAACTTGAACGATTCGTATAAAGATAACTGGTTGCAGCAGTAGACAAAATATACACAGGCCTCAGCAAAAAAAACGAAAAGTAGCTATTTGGAGTGTGGGGTGTACTGGTTTGAGGTTGTGCAATACAACATCAGAGGAATCATCATCCATCATATCATCTCTTATTTTTTCCACTGCAGCCCATTTCCCCAAGTGATGATTATGATGATGATGATGATGATGAAGCGCAGAACGGATCCGGAGAGGATACCGGGAGCCTAGGGATGACATTCACACAATTTTGTTGAATGTGGATATCGATGCCGCGGCGAAGGATGGGCCCTCTCCTCTCGGCCGCCTTCGTGTTCCTGCTGGCCCTGAGCGCCGTGTCTCCGGCCTCGGTGGGTAACCCCGAGGATTACGCCGCGGACGAGGCAGAGCGGACCGCCAGTGATAGCATCGTCTTCGATGACTACCGGGGGAAAGGATGCGTGGACGACAGTGGTTTCGTCTACAAACTCGGGGAGCGCTTCTATCCGGGCCACTCGAACTGTCCGTGCGTGTGCACGGAGGACGGGCCTGTGTGCGACCAGCCCGAGTGCCCCAAACTGCACCCCAAGTGCACCAAAGTGGAGCACAATGGATGCTGCCCCGAGTGCAAGGAAGTTAAAAACTTTTGCGAGTACCGGGGGAAAACGTATAAAATACTGGAAGAATTCAAGGTAAGATCTGAGTTCCAAGATCCAACCTGGATCTCTTTATTATACAACAAACTCAATATATTTCTTAAAATGTTTACATTAAAACGGTTCAGGTGAGTCAACTTACATAAACCCAAGTCGTGGCATAATTCTAGCAGTTGTGCCTTTCCAATATGCACTAAACTTTCTCTGTCATAAAGTTGGAGGAGCAATCATATTTAAAAAAAAAAAAAGATTTACAGGTAGGCTACTGTTTCCAATCTGGTATTGTATTTGATCTTGCCTTCTGACAGAATCGTTTATACCCTATATGATCATATTCAAACGCCTTTAGGGGCTATAGCGCCCAACTGATGCTCATGAGTTGGTTCCATCTTGCCAGGTTGATTCAGTCAGTCACAGCCAAAAGTATGGAAGCAGCCATCTTACATGGCAGCCTGTCTGGGCTATTCAGTTGTTTTAAATTTCATATGCAGCAATATGAACAGCCGTGTTCTTGACAAGTGATAGATGCCCATCAATTAAAACATGCAACTAAATATATGTCATAGTGGTAGCAGCCACTATGTCTCATGGGATCAAACACCTACACACAGCTTTTGGTATGGCAACTTGTTGACAGCCATTGACTTCAATGATATTTATTGTTGAAAAATGCATAATAAAGCTCAACAACAGCATTGACTTTTTGTGGAGGGTTTGGGTTAGTGAGGCTTTTGGTTGGTGTGAGAATCAATTCTTGGCATACTGTAAAAGTATGTATTAAAATGTGTTTATTGGCCAAGGGCATAAAAATGGCTGCCTCCCCCAGTGATGTCATCCCCAACCCCTCCTCCCTGCAACATCAACTGAACATTCACCCAGCATTGCTAAAGTGACAGATGTTATAAGAGAATTTTAATATTTTGATTTGTGGACACTGAGTCATTGCTGGCAGATTCAGTTTCCCTGCATCTCCTGCAAAGGGAGCACTGTTTTTACCCATCAGACCAGTGTCTCAGCAGTTGTTATAGAGCATGACAGTACTGCCTGATTTGAAATGACACTGTATGAGCACCACAACTTCAGGCTGTTCAAACTGTTGCGGCCCATTAGGAAACCTCCTCATTTCAAATCCCTCACATGTGGATAGGGGCTGTAAGTAAATGAAATGTAACATGACAATTGGTATGATCAACTAAAAAGATGATAGCACTTATTCCTCTCTGTGAAAGTATATCAGTAATAAGTTTAGATTAGTGTGTCCTGTATGGTTGTGTCAAACAAATGCTATAAACCTCCAATGGAAAATGTCATTATGCTTTGGTCCGAATTAAGAGGACTGAAGTTAGCTTGGAGATTCTTGGTTGTTTTTCATTCTTGTTATAATACTTGAATGTATCTTTTTTCTGGATTTAACAATTACATGTTATGACATTATGTTAGAGGTAAAAAAAAAAAACTAGTGAGCCCAGAATTTGAGAGAAGTCAGCAAACTGGTAGTATGATGACATCAACAATTTCCTCTTGAGTTTTGAACTGTGAAAATGTGATTTTTTATTTTTATAAACATGGCCTGTTTCTTACCTCAGATTTATTCAGAAACTGATTTCTGTGGATAGACAGTTGCTTTTCCCACAAACAGCTAATCATTTTTCCAGTCCAAATATTTTATGCACAATTTTAAGCACCAGATTTTTTATTTTATTTACACTGTGCGTGTCAGTGAAGTAGAACACTTCTCAATCACGTATTTTGTGACGTCTACTTGGAACAAAAGCACTTCAGAACTAATTTAAAACTAAGCTATAAAAAGCATCTTCAAGATTTCTTGGCATTGTCAGAGGCAGATCAGCAAAGAGATCAGCAGCATACCAGAGATCAAACAATGCGTCAATCCAAATAAGACACAAATAAAACTGATCTGCAATGCTACCTCTTTCCCGAAAACCTCTAAATCATACATGTCAACAACCATTTCAGATGTTTGACAAATGTTTTAGCATCACAATTTTACAAAAAAGTTCACAGAAAAACAGACAGAAATTGTCAATAATTACTCAATGTAATGCTAGTTGAATCCGTTAACATTTAAACAAAAACCAAAAGAACAAGTCTGAGCATGTTATTTTATCTAAGCCATCTTTTGAGCTATTCAAGCATGGACATCTCATGCATCAACAATATACAAAAGACTGAAAGCACTGCATTTAGCACTAAAATCCTTTGTGAGAAAAAGTACTGGATTTAGAAATGTCCTAAGTATCAGACATAACGTATATTATATTAATATCTGCAAAATATTCAAAACCAACGTTTGGATCAATTGGATCCTGCTAAAATATACTGTTTATGAGTAGCAATTCATTACGGTATGGTTAAGGTCTTTAGACTAAAACCACTCAGTTAAAGTAGTGTCATTTGCTTCTTTTTTCCTTTTTTTGGCCACTTGGAGGCAGCGGAAGAAGCCATAAACACAATATTGAGATATTGTTTGACAATGGTCTAATATATATACTCTCTTAGCTCTGTTTTTGTTCTCTACCAACCCTTGGGGAAATCTGACTCTTTAGCTGCTAAATGCTCCACTATGTCCACCAGCTCGTTACTAACTCTGTCTGCTGTTTGGTGTTGCACATGTAGCATACAGTTGGTTGAACAGAGGTTTCTCACTATAACTGTTGTCTGATGCAGCTTGAGATGAGGTTGATAAGAGCGTCGACAGTGAACCAAAACATTGTTCCAAAGTGCAGAGGGGAACTGCAGAGTCTGTGATAATTCTCTGGGCGTGTGTCACTTCAAGTAACCCATTTCATATTACACAGAGCTTTTTGACTCATTATTAATAAAAATATTTATTAGCGCAGCTTTAAACTAGGGAAAGATAATGTTTAACTATGGTTAAACAACAAAAATGTAAGGGCTGTGTTGAAGACAAATGCTGATCATGCATATTTACAAAGTTAAATCACTTGTGCATATGTTGCATATGAACATAATATCCAGCAAGTGTGCATCTACACAAACCTTTTTTTTTTTTTTTTTATTGAAAACCTCTTTACAGTGTTGACTAACATGAATAAGTTTAATTTGGGGTTTAGCAATTCCCCAACTACTCACACAAACTTAAGGTAAGCCCCAAGTAAATTATGCTTTACAAAAAAAAATCACAACCTGACTAAGTTAATCATGGGGAAACACTGCATGTCTCGTCAACCACTTGTCTTTACCTGTCCTCCCAGGCTTCAGCAGAATGTTTTGTCCATGATTTGCTCATGTAAAACCTCTTTAGTTGCCTTTTATTTTCATTGTCATGTATCTGCCTCTAGTACTTCTAGCTAGATGAGCAAAAGAGTCATAGCATTCTGGTTTTCCATTGTTAACAAGGATTTTATGCCTCTAATGGGGGCCAATATGCCAATGCCGATTCAATTAGTTGATTAACTGACATAAAAAATAATCAAAAACAATTAAGATATGAAATTAATCATGTAGGGCATTAATCAAGCAAAAATGTCAAAGTTTCTGGTTCCAACCAGTCAGACTGCTGCTTTGTGTGCTTCACCTGATTGTACATTGAATGAATTTGGGATTTTAATCCTTAATTGGACAAAACAAGTAATTTGAAGATGTTACCTAGGGCTCTGGAAAATTGTAATGGGCATTACCCTCATTTGTTATATTAAATGATTAGACAATTCATCAAAAAATAATAAACAAGAAATTGATAATGAAAATTATTTAGCTGCAGCCCTCCATTATGCAGTGGCACATCAGCACGAAAGTGTTCATAGTGTTGCTGTTAATAAGGTGCGTGTGGGATCAACCCATTTAAAACCTATGTACCTAATCTGTACTGATTGGTGTGTTTGCACGTCAGGCAGCATCAAGCTCAGTCCTGCATTGGGATGCATGCCCACATACAGTATTTTGTAAGGGCCGCTGTGAGTGCGTAAGCCTCGCAGCTTGATGTGAGATCAAATCCATCAATAGTGCAGCTCACACTCATGCTAACCTTGACTGGAGTGCCCAAAGAGGGAAGGACATTTATTCGTACTTGAGGGAGAGAAAAAAAACATCCATTTGTTCTTATTGATTATCTCAGTGAAAATGACATGACAGAAATAAGGAAACAAGTGGTGCAGGACGAGCCCCCTCCCCTTTTGTAAGACCCCACAAGTAACTAAAATGTCTTAGCCCACATCCTGTGTGAAGGTTGGGTCTCTTCAGTGAGGACATGAAAGCTTCGGATCCCTGCAGGGTTCAAGGAAATCAGTCAGTATCTGGTATACAGATCCCTGTTTAGAGACGCCGACAGGTTAACCTTTAGTGTAGACTTCATTGGCATTTCGTTTGCAGAGCTACATTGTGCAGACGTTTGCATTTATATTCAGTAGCAGATGGAGAAGAAATGCAGAGACACAGCCTCTCAGGATAATAACAGGAAAGATGTGGTCAGTTTAGAGTGTTGGGGATGCTTGGAAGAATTGATTTAGGTTGAGTAATTTTCCAATTTCATTATGCTGAAAATTCCATCATGCAATAGGTCAGTCATTAAGTCCCATGTAAGTACAGTATGCAGTCATTGTTGTGCAAGCGGTATTGGGCATTCATTCAACACAAAGCAGCTGACTGCAGTGAAAAGTCAGCCTGTCATTTGTTGAATCTAATGCTGGTATAACTCATGCATCAGCAACCTCACAAATAAGTCTAAAGTAAATTTCCTAGTACCACTTAAATATTTACTGTTAACAGTATAGTATTTAATACAATGCAGATTTTGTAGGCATAGTGGGTGTATTTTCTACTCCTTTGTTTTGTTGCCCTGTGATAGAGTCATGCCACTCAACCTTAGTAGGTGTTTCACCTACAGGGTTCCCCATCAGATGAGGAAGGGACCAGTCCCCAGCCCAGCATGGCTGCCGGCGTGCCTCTGGCCTCAGCGCAGCTGCAATCAAGAACCAGGAGATATAGGGTGAGTTCAGATCCCAGATCATCAGGCTAGGGCTGGGATGTGAACTCAAATGTGAACAATCCCGTCCATGCTTCCTGCCATCCCCCTAGGGAAGGGATGCAGAGTTGAAAAAAAGGGGGGGGGCGGGCTCCAACATTTTCAGTGACAAAGGTACACACAGTAGATTTCAACCATCTAACTACCTTCAATCATTTCTCATTTAGAGGCAAGTAATGCAAATTGATTAATTTGCAAGTGATCTAACTCACCTTTCCTTAAATCCCCAGGAGACAGGTACTAATCTATCCAGTGCAGTTCAGTTAAGGCCTTCTACTGAGTAGGGCTTAAATGTTGAGGCAATTTCATTTTCAGAGAAAAACATTGCTTTTTACCACTCTGCAACTATAATAGATTGAAAAAGGATAGAAATTCTCTTTTAATTGTTCTCTCAAAACAAGTCTTTAGAGAACTTAATGTACCATAATTATGGAGATGCACTTTGAAAGCACATGTAGACAAACACAACAATGAATCTAAAATAGCATAGACACACACACACACACACACACACACACACACACACACACAGCTGCCTACACATCGCACACAACAGTAATTAGTGACTCCACTTTTCAGCACAGACACCTATGAGACAAAACCAACATAAAAGCTGTAAAAATGATTGCTCAAATTGATTTTCCTATCCAATTTGCCAGAGGCAAGAATGGCCCTAATTAGAAGAAATTATTAAGTGCAAACAATTAGGTCACAAAGAATTCTCAAACAAGTTTTTCTCTCGTCAACTTCCTTGCACTTAAAGTGCCCCTGTACAAGGGTGCTTTTAGCAACCAACTCTCCTCATGCACAAATCTTCAGCCTCATGTCTCTCTCTGTATTCCCTGACCACCAGAAAAATATTGTTTTGACCTGGACAACAGCAGCATGCAGTTTAACTGTCAACACATTCCTGTCACTCCTATTAACCGCATGGGTGAGATTTCTGTGGCACTGTTGTCCAGCCTCAAAGTATTTTAAGTTCCCATTTGCCACACTGAAGGGTATTTGACAAGTCATTGCTTCCCTGGTCGTCTCCTTGTGTCTCAGAGTGGGAATGAAAAGCATGGCAGCAGATTCACTTCAATACCCAGCCAATAAGCCAGGGACAACAGGAGACTTTTTTCCCCCCCAGAACATGTGCCAACACATCTTAGTTCGGTTCTGGTGCTCAGGTTTTTTTTCTGAGTCTGGGCTAAGGCACTACTGATCCTCTTCACGGTAGACCTCACACAAAAGGACGTACTGAAAGCACCAGGCTGAATACATTGAAAGTCTCTGCGATGTGTCATAGGTACATGGAATCATTTTCTTTTTCAAATGCCATTTTTAATATACTTGTGCCTACGAAGCATCTGCACTGGCAGGCTTCCCACCTGCGTTGCTTTACTGGTCAGTCTGCCAAATTAAACAATAAAGAAATGCCACTTCTGCTTTGAAATGCTATTTTAAAGGCCAATTGTGATCGGCTATGAATAAACTCCTATAGTCATTCCTCTAGTTTGGACAGAAATTTCCACTTGGTAACACCTACTTCTGTAAACCGAGTAACATTTTTTTTTAACTGTTCAGACAGTTCTCTTTACCCACATGCAGCTCAACAACAACAGTTAATCTCTCACCCCAAAATGCACTAATGCAATCAAAACACTTCATACACATCTCCAGGATCCAGTTGTGGAATGTAACTAAATACATTTACTCAAGTATTGTACTTAAGTAAACTTTGAGTTACTTGTACTTTACTTGCCCATTTCCATTTTATGCTACTTGATACTTCTACCTCTACAACATTCAGATGCTACTTGGACAATACTGAATCAGGAATAATTAATAAATAGAATATATAATAAATGTAACACTTGGAATGGAGTCATTTTGCATAATGAGTACTTTTACTTTTCATACTTTTAAAAGTAAAGTTTAAAATGTATCAGTATAGTATATGAACATGTGCAAAACGGAGTGCAAATACATAGAGGTTTCGTGGTGGTTGAGTTCAAATGAAAAAAAAAACAGTTTACAGTGGTCGTTGAATGCATTTCTTGTGAAAGCAGTGACAAGTGATTCACAGTTTAGTCGGCATTGTCTTCTGTTGTGTCCTGACAGTTTGATGAGTTTTGAAGAAGCGAACTCGGTATTGACAAATGCGTGTTTTCCAACAAAAAAAAAAAAGAAAAAGAAAAAAAGTAATACTACATGAGGTGGTACCTGTGAGATCAAAACACACCTCTGAATGAGAAAACTCAACATTCAGTCAGTTCGACAACAATAAAAAAAAAATGTGAGGCATAAATGACAAATCTAAAGCTTATTTTTGTTTTTTCTGGCGCACATTCATTTAAAAAATATTGACAGTATTGCCTCAAACCAAACTAATAATATATGTTAATTGTTATGTTGAGTTGAATTCCAATTTATCCCTACATTTTACCAGCTGTCTCCTCTATCCTCTAAAGATAATAATACGCCTTATCTTAGATGCATGTTTTGTGTTGAGGTCTGACTGACTCATCAACAATACACTTTATCCTCTGACAATAGATTCCAGGATGTAATAACTGAAGTTTGTGGAAACAGTTTCATACATGGCAGACTGTCAGTGAAGGTTCACAGTCATCCAGGTCATAGTTATCCAAAGAAGGTTAAAGTCAAGGGCAACTGGACTTGGTTGAATATACTAGAAGAGGTTTTGTTCCTCATCCGAGAGACTTCTTCAGTTCTTACTGACGGGAAACTCAGTTATTTAATCTCAGTGGGGTCGTTTGTCAGGATCTTCAATACCGCTGGTTCGTTAGTGCTCCTGGCTGTTGTAACGGCAGTCATTATGGTCGTTAGAACTACCCGAGGCCAAATCATTGTTGGTATCTTCACCTGAGGCCAAGAGGTTACGTTTGTTAAGTTTCCTGGGAAGTGATGAAAGGACAGCATCGTAAGTGGGGGATAAGTGGTGGCGTAGACCCCCTCTTCTGTTCAGCAACGGTTTCTCAACCCGGGTGTAGATGGTTTCCTTGACACCTCTTTCAAACCATTCATCCTCTCTGTCTAAAATGTGCACCTGCTGGTCCTCAAACGAGTGTCCTCTGCCCTTCAGATGTAAGTAAACTGCTGAGTCTTGACCTGAAGAGTTAGCCCTTCTGTGTTGAGCCATGACAGACTGATTACGAAGATGGACAAGGTGTTCACATGCAGCATTATCTCAGTTTTTATTGCAGTACTCCAACTAACACATGAAAAAATACATAACCGGGATTCTACAAAATCACAACAGGGATATTATTGTGCATGTAAACAAAGTGAGTTTGAACCTAATTGAAAGACTGTAGTAAAAACAGTATGAAGCTCATTATCAATTTAAAGTAACAATTAATTGCTTTTATATATTGTCCGAGGTTAAGGTACCTCATCTTCACCCAACCCAGAATACTTATGGACAACAAAGGTTTTTATTGGTCCCAAGAAAAAGCCAACTATTCACAAACCTGAAATGCAGCCATGACATCATGAGAAACAGCCCTATATGCTCCATTGCTGACCCTGAATCCCACCTTGCCAGCTGCCACAGATTAAGGCTATCAGGTTGACAAAATGTAGTTCATCTTCCATATGTATGAGACAACATATTGCTCTTTAATTGGTACATTTCTGTGTGAGCAACTCAAACCGACAGAGGGGCGGATAACTCCAGGGGCGTTTAACTCTGCAAAAGAGAATTTTCTTTGCCATGGTTTATTTACGTGAACCGACTGGTGTCAAATACTTGTGTGGGTAAGATATGAGAGGAGAGGCGAGTTACAGATGTTCATCTACCATCTGTGTGTGTGTTTCTTAAAAGCTTTTATCATCTCAGTGCAGCTACACTAGAAAAAGCAAAGGCCTTGAGATGTGCTTTTACATTGTGGAGCGGCAGCTCTAAAATATGCAACAGACACAATGAATAAGCAGATTAAATCTATCATCATTAGCATCTCTAAGAGTTTGAATCTTTTAAAGCAGAGGCACAGAACACAGCTTTTTATACCAGGACGCAAACATGTTACAGACATAACTACATATAAATGCAGTCCTTGTGGTGAGTCTGATTTTATATGCCATATATGCTGATAATTTTGCCCTTTATAAACATCATATCCAATACATAGTTTCACATCCTATGTTTTAATCCTAGTCTGACATATCAGAGGAACTACATCAGATGGACAGTTGAGGCAATTTTGTACATTTTCAAAAAGGAGGGAAATTGGAAAAAAAATAGGTCTTAGGCGTGTGTTGGACTTATCTCTTCTCTCATCCTTGGCTACAGTTAAATGTTTAATTTAAACATGACGTTGCAGATCTCATTCTTCATTTAGATTATTTTAAGTCCAGGAAGTATGGCCACAATCAGACAATGGATTATGCATCTGCTTTCTTTTCTATTGTTCTCGCTCGATCTCCATCTCTTAATGTTGCTCATATTCAGTGTGGCTGCAGTGCATACAGACTGCCTGGCATCCTGGCAAAATTGGCTGCTAAAAGTCAGAATAAAGCATCCAGTATTACGACAGCCCTTTCACTTATCTGTACACAAAACTGGATTACAGACAGCGATAATGTTGTTGTTGTTGCTGCTACAATTCAATTTAGGAAATGGAAATTTAGCTATAACTTTCTAGAACTAATGCAGTTGGGATGGTTGATGGTATAATACGTAGTTGCTTACTTCTCATCTAACTGTCTTGCATAGAGTTAGATGCGAGGTTTGATAACACTCACATAGCTGTCATAGGAGCAAACAGCTGGTTAGCTTATCTTAGCATAAAGACATGAAACAAGGGGAAAATGCTCGGTCCAAAGGTAAGTGCATTATTCGACCTCAGGGTCATTCAAGAGTGAACATTTGCTCCCACAGTAGCTGGTTTTGAATCTCAATTGAAATGCATTCAAATATTGACTGTGGCAATATGTTTTGGACTATGAATCCTTCAAATGGATAACTCACCCACTTTATTATGATCCATCCGAACCATTTTGTTTTGTTGCAACCTACCAAAAAAAAATCTATATTTCATCAAATGTAAATTGCAATAGGGTTATCAAATATGAAATATTTGCACCCTCTAAGGTCAGTACAGAGTACTAGTGATTGAATGATCATACCTAGTGCAGAGGCCCTCAAAATGCTGTTTACTGTGATGAGCAGAAAGAAAATCTAACATGATTAACAGCTGACCTTTCGTGATTTGGAAACAGTTTGTATTTTTCCACTCCATGTAATTGCATTACAGTTCATTTTCCGGTCAAGAGACTTTGCAAAGATAGAGTCAAGTAAGAGGCAGCAGCAAAGAGAGCTGCATTGCACTGATTTACACATTGCAGAGGTGGTAAGATAAGCCTCTGAACTGTTTCCTGAGGCAGGCTGCAGCCAAATGCAGCAAAATACTAAATATCATGACCACCACTTCATAGGCTCCCCCTATTAGTTGTTTCTAGTGATTTTATTCAAAGTCAGCTACAGGCTTTGTTTGTTAGGATGCAAGAAGCCTAATAAAACTGGCATTGTGAATAATTGATCAACTTGTTACTTTGAAGACGGTATCAAATGCATATAATTTTTAATTGGGAAACACCAGCAAAAATGCATATAAGAGGAGGCTGTTTCTTCAACTGACCAGTAGTAATCACATAGACTCATGAAGGTGAAACCTACTGAATCATCTAACCCAGTTTCTCTCCTCCCGCCTCTGCCCACAGCCGTCACCCTGTGAATGGTGCCGCTGCGAACCAAATAATGAGGTGCACTGTGTGGTGTCCGACTGCGCCGTCCCAGAGTGTGTCAACCCTGTGTACGAGCCGGAGCAATGCTGCCCCATCTGTAAAAACGGTAAACACTCATCTCCTCTGGAATTCAGCGCACACTGCTCAGAAGTCATTAAATTTTCATTAAACCAATGACGGAAAGTTTATCTGTGGCATCACCATTTGATGGCCGCGCCTTTACAGGATGAGGATGTAATTGATGTTTTATGAATTAAAATTATTACCTTGGGCCCGTTGGACACTAATGAGCAGTACTAGTTTTAATTATAAATGACACACTAAGCAGAGTAAACATTAGCCCATTGATTAAAGGCATGGTAGGAGGGACTAATGGGTCCTCGGAGAGCCTTTTATCTCCCAGTGCCCTGACGCCCTTGTCACACACAGCCAATCCCTAAATTAGAATTATAGGATTCCAATGGTTCATTGGCTATTTACAAGGCGAGGTGGGAGATTTCCCTTTGCCAGCACCAATCCTGGGGGACAGATGGAGCTTTATGACCAAAGTACAGTAACTGTTTGTCTGCAATGTCATCCTGGCTAGAATGATCAACAGCAAAGACCTGTGGGTAATATCAAATGTCACAACAGCATTTTGCATTCTCTTTTGATTTTGTCCTTTGACATGGCTCAAATGCAAGATTCAGACCATTTTATTGCTGAAGGAGCTGCCAGAGAAGGTTTTCCTGAACTCAAATGAGAACCTGATAAACAGTAAGATGTACTCTGGTGATTTATATGCCTTCTTATTACATTCAGTTTTCTCATTATGTTGAGTCTGACACCAAAACATTGAAAAATTGTTTATGAGAAAGAAGGCAAAACAAATATCCTGAAATATTTTTCTTTGCATTTGGAGCAGCGGTTGACCTATAAATGTGAAGAGAGGAATTTAGTTAGAGGCGGATGCTAAATGGCCATTTCACCACAACTACCCACATTTTCTTTCATACTTTCTCTCATTTCATCTTCATCCCCCTTACTTTCTTTCTTTTCATTTCAACACACATACACACAAACACCCACACTAACAAGGCTGCAGACGCTGCTATGAGAGAGCTAATCCAGGCTGACAGGACACAGTGACACCCTTGGCATTTCAGGGTAGGCCTGCTGTTTCTGGGCTCCCCAAGGGTGCCTGGCCAGGCTCTGGCAGCCAGATAAATCTCTATGGGAGTGGATGGCTGGGGGCTGTGGGGAGAGGACAATGACGGATGCTGTTTAGCTCTCATTTTTGGCCAAGGGAAAGGAAACTGTAAAAGGAAGACATCCACATATGTGCTTCAGTTAGACATGCAATCAGTTGACGGCAGACAGACATGTCTTAAGTACTTTCCATGCTGCAAGCGTTTCAGAAAATTATGTGAAATGAGCACAACCCTTTTAAAATGTCAATGTATTTTGTGCACCACCTTTTCCAATCCAATCTGAATCACTTAACCATGAGGTTTTATACTGTCATGCTCATTGAACAAGGGTCTGTAAAGCTGTAGCATCTACGGTCATGCTAGCAGAACAGCAGTGCTTTGAGGTAAATGCTAACGTTAGCATGCTAATATGCTAGCAATAACATGCTGATGTTAAGCAGGTATGTGTACAATGTTTACCTTGGTTTAGCGTGTAAGCACATGCAAACTTTTGCAATTAGCACTAAACACAAAGCAGCCATATAGCAAATTAACTATTGGAAAATTTCCTTTAATTTCCAACAGGTAAACAGATAAAAGTGTTGTTTCTAGCTTTATTATCACCTCATCCTCTTATGGTGGAGGAACACCATGACACAAAATGTGCATTTTAGAGATCATGCTGATTTCACAAAATTTTATGTGGCAGCCTATTTCCACCGATGAAGAAGCATACTCTGTATGGATTATGTCTGCTGTGTTACTCACATTAAACAGTGTCATGGTTGAAGAGGCTGGTGCATCTGCAGACAAACTCTACTGCGTAGGAAGTTCAGATGTAATATCTCCACACTGCATTTGCAACGTTCCAGCTCAAATGAAAAGTCTGGCTGAACCCACTCATTCAGATAGTAAAAAAAAAATTAAGATGTTGGGTTGTTTAAATTTCAAAATCAGTCACAATTGTCAAGGGCTGGCCTAATTGCGAAGGGCTGAAACGTTATTAAGGTGTTGAACATGGCTAATTAGCTCGCATTAGTCACTGATTTGGTGATTTAAAGTTGAAATACATGACACTTAAAATGGGGCTAAATGTGGTTGATTGCTGAATTTTTTTTAACATGATTAATGATTATATTTCAATTTAAGGTAGGTCTTAACTATACTTCACCATTAAAAAAAAAAAGTATTTTTAAACTAAATGTATTGTGGTTATGACCTTGATGTGTGGATGTTTCTTTTTTTGTTTTTTACCTGCAAATAACCAAATCAATGCTTACAACTGCCAACCTTTTGTCGAAGCTTTTCATTATTGGAATGCAGCTTTTTAGCTTGTCTCCTTCTTTGTGGTTCACCCTGAAAACAGCAACACCGAGCAGAAGGCAGCACAATAGAAAAGTCCGCCAGTGGGAGCATCTTATCTCTAAGCTCCGCATTCATTGAGTCTGATTCAGCTATAATTTTTATAATGAATTATATATAGTTAATTCACCAGGGAATACTTGTGATTATCTAATTCTCATGAAGAAAATGATAATGAGAGGTAGTCATGTAAAACGGCCAGTGTTTCTTCAGTATGATAGGATTATAGATCTGCCTAGTATCTGTCTGAAGGCTGTCCTGGTTATTTAACACATCACAAAGTAGGAGTGCCATAGAGCTAGCTACAGTTTGCAACATATTCATATCACCTATGGACTGCAGCTGCAGTTTTTTGTGAATAAGAGGTTTTTGGAAAGGTGAGTTTGTATGGAAGCATTTCTTAGCTCTAAAGAACCATAATCTTATTTGAGCCAAATAGACTGCAATGACTCCTAATATGCATTCACTCCTTAAGCTGTAGTCAGTGAAAGAATGATGTGTCAAGACAGTTTTGACACAGGACAAATATTTTTTGACTTCACAAAATGTTATTGGTCATGAATCGATCACAAACTTGGATGGGTGATGTGTCCTTCGAATGGTGACAGGTAGCTGAAACAGTGTCCTTGTGGGCTCCAAATCTATCTGGCTATAAACAATCACACTTGGCAGCAGCACCAGTCGCCCTCTTCCCTTATCAACCTCTACTGAGTTTGTCCTGTAACCTGTGCCAGCTGTCCAGCAGTGGATCAATGAGAGTTAAGACTTGGCAGGCACTCTCAATGTCTCCTCTAAGCTCAGATCAAAGGGCTTTTATCAGGTCCGAATAGAGCAGGGGACACATCTACGCTCAGGCAAAGGATGGGGATATTAGGTAGCCAACAGCTCCCTTTGTCAGTGTCACATGGATATTTATGGCCTCCCGCACTCCATTTTAACTCATAAACACTGCACTAAATTTAACCATATCACTTAGACAGCTGAAACAAAAGTTTGTGAAATATTGGAAGCTACTAGCCAACCCCATTTGCCTTTAGGCTATCAAAACACTTGGTTAAGGTTAGGTAAAAGTCATGGCCTTCGTTAAACATTGGAAAAGTCAACGTGCATCCAGACTGCCTGACGTCTCATTCTTCTAGTCAGTGTCGCTTTTTAAATATTTAACCAAGACCCTGATATTTACCTGACCTTTATCAAGTGCTTTGAGTTGTCTAAACATTACCATAAAACACTAATTAATCACAGTGGATACTTTGACTTGTCACAGTTGGAAAAGCACATATGTTACTAATAACCTCAATAATGGCTCAGTTCTATTTAAGTGCCCCAGTAAGCCCTTACAGTGGGATGTGAGCCAGTGCGCACAATACCGGGACCCTGAAACTGAAGCAGCTGAATGGAATTAAGCCATCATTAGTTTCATCAGTTACACTTGTGCTTTTCCCCACTGTTACGTGTCAAAATGTCTCCCGTGAAAAAAGGCCATGCTTCCCACAAAACAACTTTTAGGAGACAAGAGTTAATGGCGCTGCAGAAATTGTGGCACTGTTTGTAAAAAAAAAAAAAGCCCTGCCCTCGTGCAAATTGGTAGTGTTGACTTGGGTCAACGGCAAAAACAAAAAGGAGAGCTGCTAATTATTATATAAGCCGGTTGCACAGCACAGCATAGGTGTTACTAATAACATTAATGATGACTCTGTTCTAATTAAGTGTTACAGTAATTCAAGACAGTGTGCTAGGTCCCTGAAATCCAAGCAGCTAAATGGAATTCAGCCATCATTAATTGTATTAATTACACATGCTCCTCAGGTCTACTAACTGTTCTGTTTCACGTTTACATTGCTAGGATTACGTTGGCCTGTACTAAATCAAATTCACTGGGATACTAAGCTATGAAAGCTACTGTGTCTTCAAGAGTTATGAGACATATGAGGTTTTTATGACTACTCGTAGGGGAGTCTTGAATCTAGCAGGTTTTAAAGTGCTGAATACTGACAGCCCTCCAAAGCAAAGTCACCGTCACACCAATTGAGCGGCTGATTGCTTCGTCTAAATGATTAAAACTGGTGCAAATTCCTGGCACCTTCTTGCTTCTCTCTGTAGAAGAGGAAGAGATACACGCCTCAAATCACGCCGGGGCAGGGAGGAACAAACTGGATATAATCGTTTCATGTGGTATTTACCAATAATGAATGCACTGCATCCCCATAAATGTAACAGGGGTTTTGGCTTCCTCAAGTACAGATCCTAAAATGTACCCAGGCTGATGTGCTGAGATGATCAAATACATGAGTATGAGGTGTTTCAGTGGTACACAATCAAACACGTTTTAGAATAAAAGGAATCTTATCAACAAAAAGGGATCAACACAAGAAAATCCTACAGTGTTTTAAAAGGATAAATCAGACGTCAAAATTAATCTGAGTTCTTTTTTTGTTTTGGATGTAAGACTATGCGTGTGTGTATGTGTGTGTGTGTGGAAAGAAACCATATAAGGAATTGCTAAGGAGTTCTGTGGCCTTTTCATACAGACTGAAGTGATTAACACCATCCTCCCTACTGCCTCTCAAAGCAGCTTTCTCCCTCTCTCTCTCGGTCTCTCTCTGTACTCCAGCCTCTCTGTGCTGCCAAGCCAGTGCCTGGCAGGCTTCTCTGCTCGTGGCGCATTAGGATGCAAAGCGCTCCATGTCGAGGGAGAAGGGGAGACTAACAAAAGCGCTTTAGTGTTGCAAAAACAAGCCCATCGGTGCATGCCCGTGAAAAGATCTGTACGTCTGCTCTGACTCCCCTAACTCCCTGCAGTTCTCTGCATCACTCCACCACCCCTCCAAAAAGAGAAGCTCTCAGGAGAGCCACATCCATTTCTTGTCGTTCTCATTCCTTCTTTTCTGTCTTTCTCCTTCTTTCCCTTCCCTTCCCCTCCCCTCCCATGTGGCAGGTCCAAATTGCTTTGCTGGAACGACGATCATCCCAGCCGGAATTGAAGTAAAGGTGGACGACTGCACCATCTGCCGCTGCCACAACGGAGACTGGTGGAAGCCGGCGCAGTGCTTGCGGCGGGAGTGCCTCAACGGCCAGTCGTTGTCATAGAGAGACTCGACAGGGGAAGGATGGAAAAGCTCAGGCAAGGCCCTGCCTACTGCACCATTTTATATGATTGACAGGGCAGGAGCACAATTCCTAAGCAACCTGAGACAGCATAGCGTCAAAGAGATGCTCTCATAAGCTTCACACAAATTACAAATTTAGCCACTGAGAAGAAGACGGAACTTGTCTCATGGTTGTTTCCACCCCTCCAGTTTGAATCGTCCTACACATTTTCAGAAGTTGACTTGCTGCTCTCACACGAAAAGTTTCTATGCTCCTTGAACTATTTCCTAATCACTGACAACGTTGAGCTGCTCATGTTGATTTCTGTATGTATGTCATCTGCTTGTTGTACTTGTCTGTCGAACTCACGCAGGTGTTGTAAAATTCCAACAGCAGGAGAAACAAACTTAAGCACACTTATCGCCGCTTTTTTAGTTGTTGGTTTTTCTTCGTCATGTGAGGACTGACACCAGTGAAAGCACTGCAAAGGTGTGCTCCAGTTTCAGAACTTCACCCTAAGAGCTTGTTTACAAGATGCACATCACACATAAATGTTTGTGTCTTCATAAGACTTTTTAATCGCTATGGCAGAAACACACCTCTAACACTTAGATGAAGCTACTGTCAATTTTATAAACCGTTATAAAAACAACAACGCTGATTTGATTTTACATACCACAGTTTTGAGTCATGTCTTTATATTGTAGCAGCACAGGCAGGGCAAGTTAGTATTGTAGAATTAGCTGAAGGGCAGGAAAGGTTGTAGCCAGCAACTATGAGAAGGGTAGATCTAAAATTCTGCAGTACTGCATCAAAGCTGTGGGCAGCCCCCTTTCCGGCTTAATTGTCGTTATTGTTTTCTCTCTGAGGTCCATATCCTCCAAAACATTCCCACTAACTAACTGCTTGAACTTGTTATCAAAGCAATTAGTGAGCCAAGAGCAGCCTGCTTTAATTTCCCTTAATCAAGGAGTATTCTGTGATAAATCATCCAGCTGGATGCTTGGCGCTGCCGCAGCCTGCATGCTGGGCACACTCAACAAGAACAAGTAGACAAAAGGAGGGAATCTGCATATGTCTAAATGCTTTTAAGCAGCATTCACATGCACATTGTCCATCTACACAAGCGGGCAATTCATCCACAATCTCACAGCCACAGTGTGTTGATCCGCACATAGACGCACTTAAACCTATAAGGCTTGAAAATACAAAGCTGTTACATTTGCCCACTGCTATAGATATGTAATAGATTTTTTTAGTTCCTCCCTTCCCCAATATGTTAGAATAACTCTTCCAATGTGTTGTGGTTATGGCCAGGGCTATAACATAGAGACAAGCTAATGCATTGCCCTGATATTTTCCCAGAGCGGAGTGGTCCCCAAGTGGTCCAGTCTGATAGAAAAAGCACCCAACCAAGGCCCCAAACACGATATTTTTGAGATGATAAATACCAGTCATTAATTCAGAAGGTGAATTCCAGTAAGCTCATGCCATTCATCACTAGAATTTTTTCCCATTTCCAGAAAATCCGTTCCTGTTAACCTTTTAGACCCTATTCCTGGGCGGTGATGGATGGGCTGCTTAATAGCAGCTCCAAGCACTCTGTAATGAGACAGAAATGAACATAGGATAAAGACCGATGACTAAAGAGGTACATTACCTTAAAAGGCACTAAAAATGTATATATTTTTTTTGGAAGAATCTTGTAGTCTGCAAACTCCGCTGCAGCTCATGGGCGATGGAGGAATCACAGAATTGAGATAATATGGTTCAATCTTAGGTGCAACAATGGAGCTTGGGTCATTTTCATCATTAAGCTACAATGATTTAGTGTCTTTCAATGTGAAAAGACAGACCTCATCTATCTGGCTTGAGGTCTGCACTCATAAAACAAAACTGACATCTATGGTTTATCAATCACAGCCACAGTGCTCCGGACATTTTAGGATTAATAAAAGTAGCTTCATTCATCCTACTTAAAATGCCAAATAATCATTCTGCCTATACTGTACATGTATCCAAAAATATACTGGGTAGCAACAGAGAAAGACTGAAATCAGTGTGTGAGTTGACAGGACTCAGAGGCATTGCTACCTGACAAGACTCACAAAGCATGGCCTTTGGCTTCATACAGAATCAACAGCCCGCACTGCAAGTGCTACTTTGTTTGCACTCTTTGCTGTAATGGTATGCCGTTCTGAATTACCCCAAACTAGTTATTGTTTTACCCTCCAACATTCCAGCAGGGTGAATTAGCAAGGATAACGACGACAACGTTCAATCACAGCTAAAAATCTGAAATTGAATTCACAGACTGCTCTAAAGAGTTTTTTCATAGAAGTAGTATGTAGAAGCAGCAAAAATGGCAGATATGAATATCGTTAGGATCCTTTTGATTGCGACTCATTGTAGTGTTCATGATTGTTCAGTTACAGTTTCCTTCCATGCTTCTGAGGTGCGCTACATTTGTTAAACTAAACTGGGGGTGCCATGGCTGCTCATCTCCTTACTTTGCAAACTACAAGCTGCCTCCATCAACTAGTGCAGAAAGAGAAGTGTTCAAACCATCTATTCTGAGAACATGCTAAATTCTCCCGCCAGGCATAAGAGCTGAGTCGCTGTGATCCAGGCTGACAGCAGGTAGTACAGTGAAAGAAAACAGTGGAATATGCCCCCCCCCCCCAGTGTTTAAAGGAGTGCAGAGCAACTCCTTTAAACACTGGTCATGAAAATTAATTTTATAGCACTCATTGACAACTGAACAAAATGAGTTTGGAGCCATGTGCATTAACAAGCAGTAGATTACCGTGTGTGCCGTTTGAAAAAACATATTTAAAAAATAACGTTTATGTGGCACACATCCACTACACGCATCTCAGAGAGAGCCTCTGCCTGGGAAAAGCAGCAGAAATTACATTTCTCCTTGCAAATATAGAAAGCTGCAGTCTCAAGGACAGATCAGCAGCAGTCTGCCTTTGTTCATTTTCTGCCAAGAAACTTAAGTCTTTTTGTCTGTCTGTGAGCGTCCATTTAAAATGACCCCATTTGTCCTCTCATCATTCAAACCACAGGCTTGTACATGGGCATTTTGTAAAGGTATACCATTCACTCTTTCCATGAGACACCAACTTACTGTAGCTGGAAACTATGAAAGATTTCATTTTTTCCCCCCTCTCCTCATGTTTTTTTTCCAGCAACAAAACTGTTACATAAAGTGTGCCTGAAAACCAACAGAGAGTACTATCCGGATTCTAAAGAGAGATACACTGTTATTATACAATCAACTGTATTTACGTTTTGGGGCACCAAGGGTCTGTTCATGAGGGACTCAAGTGGGATAGTGTCATTTCTATAAGAAATTAGAAATGTATGTTTAAAATAAAGAGCATCTTTGATTGTATAGGACTACATGCTCGCACCAGGTTCACCCTAAGCTCCACAAGAAATAAAGGGTCCAAATTTTCAAAAGTCAAACAACCCTTGGTGTTCCCCGTATTGTTCATATGTAAATATCTTCAGACGTATAATGTGTATTCTGAAATCTGAGATGGAGTAAAAAAAAAAAAAGACATAAGAAATAAGAAAATGTGTATCATTCATCAAGACAAAAGCTATTTTGTTAAATAGACCTGAAAAGAAGTGTGGATTTCTTCAAGTTCATCCTTTTTGTTCGCTCAGGATTATGCAGGTTTTTCTGGATACAAGACCACAAAATATGGATTGAAAATGCAACTTTTACAACTACAGGAAAATGTGAACTTCCTTACTGCAAAAAGCACAGCATTTCTTTGCAGCTGAATGTACAGTGGGTGCAGCAGGTGAGGTGAAATTCAATTGAACCCTACAGGATGCTGCAGGAACAAATCCTTGAATTTGGCCACACGTTCTATGTTCTAAAACCAAACAAGAACAACAAACAATACACGATATGAAATTATGAAACAGGTCATCTTTCTATAAGCGGAACATTACAGAATAAATAAAAAGTATAGTGTTTTTCCTGGCTCATGGCTGCGCAAGACAAAAAAATGAGAAGATACCAGTGGTTAATGGTTTTGTTACATTACGTGAGTTCAAGGGCATTACTCACAGGTTCTTTCCTCCTTTCCACTTCATTACAAGTCAGTATGGGCTTCTATCTCGTCCTCACTACTAATTGCCTTCTCCTGCCTCCCACTGTGGACAAGAAAAGGGATGCAATTTTATGCAGCACATAGCAATCAATAGCAATTAGGTGCATCCCTGACTAATCCCATTGGAAATGCCATCTTGGGAGATGGCCAGAAGAATGCCTCCCACAGCACACATACATCCACCCCAGATTTGGTGGTGGGGTGGTACATACAAACACCCACCTTGTGGACACAGCAACTGCCAGCGCCTTGACGGAACAATTCATTGCTTGATTCTTCCTATTCTACACATTTTATTGCTCTTTTTATCTCCATTTGTCTTTTTCAGGGACCCACTCTCTCCATTGGTATCAAACAGGGATTTTTAATTAGTTAATTAGATAATCTTCTCTTCCTGGTAAAACCATGTAGAATATGGAATGCAATTTCACTTAAACCACTTTGGATCACACACACACACACACACACACACACACACACACACACACACACACACACACACACAAAATGGCAGATAACCAAGAGATATGTACAAAAGGTAAAATTGCATAAATGTTTCAATTGAGAAGACGGGTGAGTGTGGGGCAGACAGTGAGGCAAGCATTGTACCGGAGGGTCACAGTGAAGAGGGAACAATTTACCAAAAGATCTACTTTCCAACCTTCACCTATGGCCAAAAGCTTTTGGTAATGAAAGAATTAGATCAAGGAAACAAGTGGCTGAAATGCTGCTCGTTCGCGTTCAAGTCAGTTAAGGCGGCCTCCCCGTGGTGGTTTCACAGGCATGTCCAACTGGGAGGATAAATGTAAATGTATAGCACCTTTCTAGTCTTTTCGACCACTCAAAGCGCTTTTACACTACATCTGCATTCACCAGTCACACACATTCATACACATTCATACACTGAGCCTAAGTGCTCAAACGGAAACTAACATTCACACACACTCATACACTGGCGGAATAGCCGCCAGGGGCAATTCGGGGTTCAGTATCTTGCCCAAGGACACTTCGACCAGGGATTGAACCGCCGACCTTCCGATTAACGGCCAACCCGCTCTACCTCCTGGGCCACAGCCGCCCCTAGGAGGAGAACCCGGTGCAGATCCACAACATGCTGGGGGCATTGCATATCCCATCTGGCATTGGAATGCTTCTCAATTCTCCAGGGAGAGCTTGAGGACGAGGCAAGGGTGAGATATGTCTGCGCTACTTTACGTGCCTGCCGCCACAGGAACTGAGACCCAGAAAAGCATCAGAAAACGGATGGATGATGTTCTTTAACCTGGGGCGGGGGGTCCAAAGCTATGTGATCATCTGACAAGCACTTCTGAAGCAACATACAAACAGCTGAAGTTGAGAACAGTTCCACCAAAGAATGATTTTTCTTTTAAAACTGTGATGATTGGATCATTTCAGTTGAGTAATTGTTAGAGGTAAGAAAAAGGTAAAACGATCAAACTTCTTACAGAAAAAAGGCCAAATTTAGAGAGAAGTCCACCCAAAAATTCTAATTTGTGTATCTGAATTTTCTTTTTTCATTTCTTTCCTTCACAACTCTACAGATTTATCTTGTGACCCCATGGAGGGATCCGGACCAATAGGTTGGGAACCACTGGTTTATACTGTGCAGTATATAGGAGACATTATCACAATCTTAGCACCCACCAAAAAGAAACAACAAAATGTGCAGATTACCACTTTAATTTTAGATTTTAAGTCACATTATTGTTTTAGTAATTTGTGTCAACTTGATCAATATTAAAAAAACAAAAAAACACATTAGTAATAACTCAGTTATTATTCAGTTATTAATGTAACGTAAGAAAAAATTATTCAGACCAACATTTGAGGGTCCGGCACGGGGAGGAGGCGGAAGGCTGTGATGCAGTTGATGAGCCAGGTGGAGGGAGCTGACCACACCTTACCTCGCCTCACTACTGTCGGTTTGTGAGGCCCCTGGGGGTCAAAGATGATGTACTGGGTGCAGAGGGCCTGGTCGGAGCCTGGCAGTGCGTGGTAGGAAGCAGCACTCAGGGTTTGTGTCACATCGCTGTCAGGCTTGGGCTGCCGGGCCAGGAGTTGGCCTCCCCCCTCCCGGAGCAGCTTGGTAAGTTCGTCTTTAGAAGGCGCCTTAAAGGAGCCAAGGAGGAAGAAGAAACAGCCATCGAAGAGTGGTGGGAGCTACAAAAGATGAATAATTACAAAAAAACAAATCCAAGCATTAGAGGGAACTTCTAATATTTCCTTGTGCATCAAAAGCCGACCAGGAGAGAAAAGACCTGTTATTATATCTATTATCTTCTCCCATTAAAATATGTTAGTCACTCACTGCCAGAGCCAGGATAAAGCCTCACTCCTTGTGAGAGCAGTGGAAGAAGGATTAAAGGCTCTCCTTTTGTTTATGATCAAGTTAAACACTGAATAATTTCTTTGCCAATAAATCTAGGCTCTCATATTACCAAGTGTCTGTGTCGATGCTTTGTATTTATTTCTTTTGCGGCAGAGCCAGGAGACGTTTTTATCAGCAGTGCTCTCCAGACAAACTCTGAAGCATTTAGTGTTGCTGTTTAAAAACAGCAGTGAATTAGGCCACTGGAGACTGTTCTATTCACTGCATCAATGAACTCAACGGTTATGGGTGTAAACTGGCTCTCTCAAGAGTTTCCAGTGAGAATGTTCTTTGACTACACTTTGGTTAGCTTTTGCTTTTGAATGTGTGTGTGTCCTTAATGTAGGATTATGATTGATGATACAGGTGTTTTTTTTTCTAGAAAGGACATCGTATTCTGCACATAGAGGAAGAAAACGGAAGAAACTGACAATGGGGAAATCTTAAATCTACTAAAGAACATGTGTTTATTATCATGTCTGCCTGTGCAGGGTTACCACTACAACAAACTATGTATTAGTCTGTTTCTTAAGACCTTCAAAATGCTAATAATACTCAGGGAATTAAAAGGCAATTGCTCACAGCAAGTATTCACCACCCTTGGACTTTTCTCAGTGCCGTTGCTTTACTACACTGAATCACAATGGATGTGGTTTTTGACATTAATCAAAAGAAAAAGATGTCATATTATATAAAAGATGTCGTATTTTTAACAGCAAGTATAGCCGTGTGCGTAAATAGGTCTGTATCAGCTTTGCCATCTAGAAAATGCAGTGTCCACATTCTTCTTCTTAAAACGGCACAAGCTCTGTCAGGTTTCATGGGACTGGTGAGTGAGCAGCACTTTTCAAGTCCTGCCACAAATTGTCATTTGGACTGAGATCATGACTCTGACTTGGCCTCAGCAGGACATTAATGTTGTTGTTTTGAAGCCACTCCTTTGTAGATTTTGGTTGTTGTCTTTCTGGAAAATAAATCCTCCCTCAAATCATAGTTCTCTTATAGACTGCAGCAAGTCTGCCTCCTCCTGGATTATGCAGTATTTTTTGCTGCATTCATGTCATGTGTTTCCTCTAATGTACACCAAACGGGTCCTAGATTTAGTCAAAAAACACTTCGTTCCCTGACTGGTACTTCTCTGTATGCATTTGTGTCGATCTATCTAAAAATGCAGCTGAACAATGAAAGATATTCTGTATGTATGGCATGTTCTTTCTATTATGAATTCAATTCAATTTGTAGTTTAAAGTATTTTGTTTCTCTTAATTAGTATCAAAAAAGCCCAATTACACTGGGATTTTTAGTTTCAAAACACAAAACAGTCCAAAAGTCCAAGGGAGTACTTTTAATGGCTCTCTACAGTGCCTGCCTGGATAAACACATTCTCCCAAGGACAGAATGTCTAGACAATCTATACTCATCTGCTTCATGTGTTTGTTTGTGTGCCTCTCATTTACCAAGCTACATCTGTTGATGCGACTGCGCTGGGGGCCTTCTCCCGCTTCGTGCTCAATTTCGGGCATCCACTTGCCTGCCTGCAGACATGCCTCCACCCCTGGCATCAAAGAGAGAGAGAAAAATTAAAGCAACAGCTAATTATGTTGACTTGAAAGAGTGTGACAAGGCAATTGCAAAGGGAGGATGACAAAGCTCTTGTCTGTTTTATCACAACGAGTTAGAAGATTTCAAGTATTGGCAAAGCTGCAGTTGTTGACAGAGAAAGATGCCCACAGCATGATGGAGTTAATGATGCAACCCTCGTTTTAAGTTATCTTAAGTTTAAGCAGAATTTGAGCATCATCTCCTTCTCTCTGTCTCTTGAGGTTTTACAGAGTCAAACTGTGACTTTGTGACAGTGAGCAACCCGGCATTTTATGAGTTAGAAAAAAATCTTTTGTTCTAAATCCTTAAGAAAAGCATCTCGAAAGACAGAAACGTTTTATACAAAAGTATAGGCAGATATGCAGGTGGGGAAAAAAGGCACATTTTAATAACCCCTCACTGTCACAGATAAAACATGCTTCTGAACAAGACACAGATCACAGGGCCTCTGTTATATTAGTGAATATTACATGTTGGGGTATATTAAATAAATTCAACACTATTTAAAAGTTGGACCTCTTAACATATTGAAACTAGATCTGATAACATTAAAAATAAAATAAAAAAAGTATAGTGGATGTCAAATATACCTGAGCATAAGGCTTGGCTCAACTAACTGTTTGATTATGTATATGCAGACATAACACTTTCAACGGTGAGATGCAAACACTCCCACAGACCTAAAACACATCTTCAAAGTACCTACATTTGTCCACATGCACCCAACGTTTCATTTCACTTAGTTACTTCCAGTTGCAAAATATGGTGACATGAACACATAAATTCACTTTTCTTATCAAATGTGTTTGTGTGAGTGTGTAAACCTTGTCACAACACAGCACCCTGTCGTAAATCAGCAAATAACACACATGCAGTCTCCAGAACATAGGGTGTAGTATATTTACATTCGTTCACCTCCCTAAATTACAGCGTTCATTTACGGGGCACCTGCCAGAGACTTGGGCAGAGAAGAGGGGAGATACTGGGGTCAATCGCTCCCGACAATGGCGTTTAGTGCTGAGGAGTCATTAGCATATTTTCTGATTATCAACACAACACAAAGACTGAATGACAACATCTCAAGCTCCTTCCCATCAGAGTCAGAGAATGAGTGAACAGCCAGACGAACCCACTTCCTTGATCCATTAGGACAACTACTGGAGGCTAATGCTAAAACCATAAGCAAAGATAGCGTGATGTTTAAAAAACATAAACCATAAAGCAACATTTGTATTTCAAACAAAAAACAAACCTATTAACAAATTTTAACAAAAATCCCTTCATCGTCATGCATCATGGAATGGATGTAGGCTACTATGTATTACATAGGCTGCGTGTGTGCCTCGGTTTAGTTGCGTCCTCAGCCCGGCATCAACTTCCACTGGAAGCCTCTCAGAAGTGTTTTTTAGCAGCAGAGTGTGTAGCCTGCCACATGTTAATGACTTGTTTTTAATATGTGCTTCTACTACATTCTTCACAGCTCTTTGTGAACTGCTTTCGTTTAGTCTTTTGCACGGTGCACTTCCCACATGGAGCATTTCAGAATAAGAGCGTCTTGCCTGCCTGATTTTGCTGACAAGCTTAGATTTTGTTGATTAGGAGATTAGTGCTTGTTTTTTGTGCTTCTGCTAGAACAAAGTACAGGTGACAAAGTAGCAAAACAACAGCCCCCACTTGAGTCCTGGGTTTAATCACCATTGGCAATGCCTCCGGCAGGGCCACGTGTCCCCTGGGCAGCTGTCCAACTGAAGCCTCTCCCTAGCAGCTGAAAAGAAGAAGCCAGTACTCATGTGTATCGAGGAGGAAGCACAAGGGTGCACACACGCTCCCTGGGCCAACAATGGGAGTAGCAGTGACGAGAACGAAAGTGCAGGGAAATTAACTGTAACAAATTGGGAGATAAAGGGAAGGGAGGCAGAAAAATTATGTTTAAGGAACAGTTCAACACTCTGGGACATGTGCTTGTATGCTTTCTTTCCAAGACTGAGATCAGAAGATCAATCTCGCACTTCATGTGTGTATTAAGAGCACAACGGCCATCAGGACTTGGGAAGCCTAGCTTAGCAGAGACTAAAGGCAGGGGGGGGAAAAGTTTGTCCACTCTGCAGCTTATTATCTTGTTTGTTTCTTTTGTTCTCTCATGGGTTAAACAATCAGTGCAGCACTTATGTGCAGCATCTTCAGCTATAGTGCAGGATTGTAAGTTGCAGATGGCAAGCACATTTTTGTTTATATACACAAATGAGATACATCATGTAAATTAATAAGCTTTAAATGTGTCTGTTTTATTCCCCCTGTCTTCAGTCTTTATGCTGAGCTAAGCTAAACATGCACTAACTCCAGCTCAGACATTGAGACTCATGTTCTGACCTCACTCTTGCAACGAAAGCAAATAAGTGTTATCTCCCAAAATGTTGGACTATTTTTTAAGTGATAGTGGCATGATGGACAAAAGGAGTGAAACTATTGTCTGATCTTCAATGTAAGCTTAGTTAAGACATTTAGCTGGAATGGAGCCCCACTGGGCAGGATGAAGTTGACTTTCATGATGGGTTTCAAATACACCACAGATGCAGTATTTCAAAGGAATGAAACGTAAGACCAATAAAGTGGTAAGCTAGGGTTCGGCCTAGTTGACAGAAATGGCACACAAAAAGCAGGTGACATTGAGAACTCAGCCTCTTGTGCGTACACACACACAAAAACAAGGACAGAGACAGATAAGATGCCACGTGATTGTCATGAGGGGGACACGCTGTGTCAAGTGCTCAGCCTGCGTGGAGAAAAGAGACGGGGAGGAGCTGGATATGGTCCAAACACACAAACTCTTATACAGTGACACAGCCACACACCTAAACACACATTCCAACTTGAAATGGCTTACTGGCAGAGAGACCGAGACAAGCGTGCTTGCGGTTTTACACACACACAGTGAAGAGATGCTACTGACGGATACACCAGTCAAGGGCACACCAAGGTGCCAGAAAAAGAGTCTTTGACAGCAAGTCTCTTTTTACTTCCCCTAAAACCAGCTTCTTCTGAATATCTGCTTGTTGACTTGGTTCAAGGATGCCAGGGAGACTGGCTGAGAATAGTTCATTTTTGATAAGTATTCATCTTAGTGGAAATCAAAACCGGAAAAGAGAGTTATTTCATCTTTTCATCGCTAGTGATATTGAATCCTTGAGGTGTAGTGATTCCGAAAACCTAGTCACCCACCCACTCTCTTTGGCTGTCAGACATGTAAGCAGGTGTGCGTACACACACAGCAGCAGGCACAAAACAATTTACTGGATGCAAAATGTTTTTTAATGCTTCCTGGGACATGACATGTGTTGCAGAAACTAAATATGATTACATTACATTTAGAAGTTCCTATTCCAAACTTGTAGCCTGATTATCACCTAAAAGGTTGCAGAGGAGAGGAAGTTCAAGACCGGACATACACGTCTGAGACTAGTTTGGTACTGGGGAGGACTTAACACTGGAGCCTAAGTAGGACTAGATAGGATAAGATGGAAGCCAATACATGGATTTACTCTAATAATAAAAATGTCCTCAAGTTTCCATTGAAGTTTGGAGGACATAGTAACAAACTGCATATTAGCCAATATACCTCCATTGTAACTTTTTCTAATACAGAGATGGCCGAGAAGAGCGGAAAACCCCCCAAAATACTCCAAATAGCTTGTGCAGCACAATCCATTTGTTCTACACTGTGGTTCCTCAAGTCCATTATCTACCTCCTAGATTTTTCACTTGTCCAATACTATGCCAAGAGTCCCCTTACTGCAACAAACATAACTTCAAATGCGGATGGAAATACTCTTTATATGGCTAGAACAGGTAAAATTACAACACAGTGTTGTCTATTGTCTTCTGTCAGCCTGGCAAGAAATCCATTGATAGATTTCATTTGGTTGTGAAGTTACAGCCTGGTGTTGTGTAATGGTAGATACAGAACGGAACCATGAGAACCTGAAGTGGCCTTCTAACTGAAGAGGAAGTGAAGTCTTAACTGAGGACCCGCCTTGATGAGAGGACTGACAGATTGCATTTTCATTTTCATTGTGTCCCTTGGAAAGCTGCTTGTAAATGTAAATGCAATGCAATAGACTGGGGGCGCTGTTTCACTCATTGCATTTGAATATAGTCCACTATAGAGCAGACTAAGTCTTTGAAAATGAAATGTCAAATGCTGTTTCCATTTTCATTTTAATATGGTACTAGAATGCTCACACAAGTATGTGAAAATGAAAATGCATTTTCATTTAAATTTTTACCTAAATAACACATAAATATGTGGAAAATGATAATGTTATTGTGAGATTACATTTTCAAGTTTGCAGGATAATTTTAATTTAGTCCCTTATATGCTTCCATACAAACGAGATATACAGTGTTAATCAGTGAGCAGTGCTATCAGGCTAGCAGACTCACATTTGTGCTCTTTTTTCCCTAAATAAATACCCAAAGCACTTAAAGCTGTTTCTGCTGATAGAAATAGAATATTACATGTCTTTTTTGGACTATGTGAAAAATGCTTGAAGGAAAGCTAAAAACATTAAAGTGGGTAAGATGTTTTATCCACTGTCATGATGTCATTGCGTCTAAAACTATTTTATTCATTATTTGCCTCAGGTTATTCTTGCGCTGCAGTGATGGAAAAGAGTGTCAAAGCCATCTACACTGAATTAATGACTGTCAGGACTAAGGAATGAAAAGAGCTGAGTGTAATTGTCATTCACTGTCACGGTGAACTCTAATCTTCCTATTAGAAGCCCTCAAATCTAGGAGATAATGAGGTAAATATTTGGGTTTTGGATCTGTAGTAAAACTAGTGGCTGAACATGCTTTTGGTGTGAAATCTTCAATTAGAGTTTAAAACAGAAAGCCAGGCCAAGCTTAGACTACAAATGCATTTAACATATAATAATATAACATTTCATATTTTGGATAATATCTGCTCAGTGTCACTGCAGTAGGAGGTTACCCAGGTTCCGAAAGCAACATAGTTTAATATGGCATCCAAAAATAGTGTAAATGGAGAACCACTCCAGGTGACGTATCACTCCATACTCACAGCTGAATTTGACAACCCAGCAGCCAGCAAGAAGACCCAGGAGGGTAGAGTAGGTGGTGGGCATGTGTCCTTCTGGCACCATGACATGGCTCACTAGAGGAAGAAGACACACACACACACACACACACACACGCCAAATTGAAAAGGTAAAAATGAGTTGTGCTACACATTCCTACTGCCAACCTACTGCCTTCTGCTCTCCTGTTTGTCTCTACAAGATAACAATTTTTGACCACATAACAACGTTTAATCTTCATTCCACAATTCAGATTGTGTATTTTAGATAATACCAAAGAACAAACTTTTGAATTAATAGATTTTTAAGCCAGGTTGAATGAGTCATGGACATGACAAGAGCATCTGCTAACTTGTTTTCTGACATGTCTGGAGTTCGAATACATCCCCGGTGCTACTAACAAGAGTTAAAGGCGGTAGATGACGCTGTCTATTGCCACACATGCACTATATATATATATATACAGTGAGGAAAATAAGTATTTGAACACCCTGCTATTTTGCATGTTCTCCCACTTAGAAATCATGGAGGGGTCTGAAATTGTCATCGTAGGTGCATGTCCACTGTGAGAGACATAATCTAAAAAAAAATATCCAGAAATCACAATGTATGATTTTTTAACTATTTATTTGTATGATACAGCTGCAAATAAGTATTTGAACACCTGTCTATCAGCTAGAATTCTGACTCTCAAAGACCTGTTAGTCTGCCTTCAAAATGTCCACCTCCACTCCAGTTATTATCCTAAATTAGATGCACCTGTTTGAGGTCGTTAGCTGCATAAAGACACCTGTCCACCCCATACAATCCGTAAGAATCCAACTACTAACATGGCCAAGACCAAAGAGCTGTCCAAAGACACTAGAGACAAAATTGTACACCTCCACAAGGCTGGAAAGGGCTACGGGGAAATTGCCAAGCAGCTTGGTGAAAAAAGGTCCACTGTTGGAGCAATCATTAGAAAATGGAAGAAGCTAAACATGACTGTCAATCTCCCTCGGACCGGGGCTACATGCAAGATCTCACCTCGTGGGGTCTCAATGATCCTAAGAAAGGTGAGAAATCAGCCCAGAACTACACGGGAGGAGCTGGTCAATGACCTGAAAAGAGCTGGGACCACCGTTTCCAAGGTTACTGTTGTTAATACACTAAGACGTCATGGTTTGAAATCATGCATGGCACGGAAGGTTCCCCTGCTTAAACCAGCACATGTCAAGGCCTTCAGTTTGCCAATGACCATTTGGATGATCCAGAGGAGTCATGGGAGAAAGTCATGTGGTCAGATGAGACCAAAATAGAACTTTTTGGTCATAATTCCACTAACTGTGTTTGGAGGAAGAAGAATGATGAGTACCATCCCAAGAACACCATCCCTACTGTGAAGCATGGGGGTGGTAGCATCATGCTTTGGGGGTGTTTTTCTGCACATGGGACAGGGCGACTGCACTGTATTAAGGAGAGGATGACCGGGGCCATGTATTGCGAGATTTTGGGGAACAACCTCCTTCCCTCAGTTAGAGCATTGAAGATGGGTCGAGGCCGGGTCTTCCAACATGACAATGACCCGAAGCACACAGCCAGGATAACCAAGGAGTGGCTCTGTAAGAAGCATATCAAGGTTCTGGCGTGGCCTAGCCAGTCTCCAGACCTAAACCCAATAGAGAATCTTTGGAGGGAGCTCAAACTCCGTGTTTCTCAGCGACAGCCCAGAAACCTGACTGATCTAGAGAAGATCTGTGTGGAGGAGTGGGCCAAAATCCCTCCTGCAGTGTGTGCAAACCTGGTGAAAAACTACAGGAAACGTTTGACCAAACAAAGGCTACTGTACCAAATATTAACATTGATTTTCTCAGGTGTTCAAATACTTATTTGCAGCTGTATCATACAAATAGTTAGAAAATCATACATTGTGATTTCTGGATTTCTTTTTTTTAGGTTATGTCTCTCACAGTGGACATGCACCTACGATGACAATTTCAGACCCCTCCATGATTTCTAAGTGGGAGAACTTGCAAAATAGCAGGGTGTTCAAATACTTATTTTCCTCACTGTATATATATATATATAGTGCATTTCTCATTCAGTTAACTTCTCACTCACTCTCAATATGCTGCTGTCCCTTACTTTGCCTGGTTGAATAGGTAAGCTTACTGCAAACGTATCAAACACTCATAACGACACAACAAAAGGCCAAGTAACAGCGTACTTCATAAAAGGCTTTAGAAAAGGGCGCATAATTATAGGTAAATTAAAGTTTAAATACTAGCTTATTGCCTCTTCATTCAACAAGTGAGCGTGGTTGACAAGTACAAAATGAACATAATTATATCTCCAGGGCAAAACCTTCTTACATTGTGCACTGGCCGTGGATTTGCATGGATTTGTAGCCTTGAGTTCAAAATGTAAAAACCCTTCTCTGAAAGCACCAACTTTCGCCCCTTCGGTCAGAGAGAAGAGTTGTGAGAAACGCTTCTGTTTTTCATTAGTGCTTATTCATCACCCTGACAGTACCTCCAAACATTTTATGAGGAATGATTTCAATTACTTTTGCTCTCTAGTGTTCCCCCAGCCATTACTATGCAACGGTGAAGGAGCTGCTGTATCACAATGATGTATACAGCTCTTAAAAGCACTTGTTAGTTACTGTTGAACCTTCATGAGTGATAATGCTCAAGCACCTGCTGTTGGCCTACATACAAAAATGGTCTGTGTAAGTCTATATAGTTTAGCTATGTAGGAAAAGGACTACTTAGATAAAAACCTGTGCTGGTGGAAGTACTGCATATAATATTCATAGCAAACATCATGACCAGGGCAAGAGACTACCTCATGACTACAAACCCTGTGGCTGGCTGAACCTGCAATTTACCCATCTAATACATCTCTCAGTTGAACACAGCATCCAAATGATGGTTGATTACCTATCAGAGTGTTTGGCAGTGAACACACATACCAGCCATGGTCCCAATGTACCAGCAATTGGCTGGTGGCTGCTGTTAATTTGCAATGTTGCTTAGAGCCCGCATGTCTCAAACAGCAACATTAAAAAGCAAATCATATGTGACCAGAATTCTAAGAGGCATCGCCCAGAACACATGGGGCGTTTCAGCCCCCTGAGGCGGCGTTACTGGACCGCACACACACTACCTGAGCCAGAGAAGGTGTCAGCAATCTTCCCTCCCAGGAGCTCTCCCAGTTTGGCCAGTTGATGCTGTTCTGGCTGCGACAGCTTGCTGGCCAGAAACACCATAGTTTCATCCCTCCTCACACAGTCGCTCACCTAGAGAAGGAAATAAGATCATGGTGTAAAAATGTCTAGGCCTATAATGCCTATAAGAATATTAGTACTCTAGGGTTAAAAATTTCAAGGGAAATAAAAAACATTGCAGACATACCACAGAGAGACTGGCTGAAGGGCTAAGAGATGTATTAGCATATTGGGCTCCTTCCGAGGCTTCCTGGAAAATCTCCAGCATCTCCAGACTCGCTGTGTAATCTGCAGGCCGTTTTCCATACAGATTTCTGTGAGGAAGAATATTCAAAAGATAAAGTGTGTCAGTGTCTCACAGTATGCTTACACTTCTGTATTTCTGCATCATTTGGCAAAGTAGACCATCTGGTGACCAAAGGGACAGTGAAACATGTTGAATCTTAGTCTTAGTTATTTTATTTATTAATTATTAATTTAACTCTGAAGTAAACAATTGTTTGGAAGATAATGAGGAAAACACTGCAATTAAGTATTAAAGACATGTTAAACCTAAAAGGCAAAACATGACAGCATACTGAGGAAAAAACTTAATGACCATATTTACTAAGATTAGTTCACCAAAAAAGGATGGTCGTCTCACATCTCCACACTGGTGAAGAAAGCTCAAAAACGCCTGTATTTCTTGAGGAAGCTTAAGAAATTCCCACACCAAGTTCTTGTCAGCTTTTACAAAGGCGCAATAGAAAGCATCCTGACTGGAAACATCACAAACTGGCACGGTGTCTATGTAGAGCCCAAAGGATACTAAAAGGACAGTACCCACCCAGCTACAGCCCATTCACCCTGCTGCCTTCTGGGAAGAGACAGAAGTTTCAGCTGCCACACCACCAGAGCAGCTTTTTCCCCACCAAGCTATCAGACTTTTAAGCTCAAATTCATCCTCAGCACTGCTCCACTGATTACAGTTTATTTCTGTTTACCATTTTTATAATTGCTTCTGTATTAATGCATATTATCTGCTATATAGCAGAAGGGAGTTACAAAACTCAATTTCAATATATAACTTGTTATATTATGACAAATAAATGTCCTTACCTACCTACCAAAGTACACTATTCTGGCCAGTGACTATTTGAGCAATATTTTCTTTTCAAATTCTATCCTCTTGTCCTGTGTCTCTTAGCAACTAGACAACACCTTTTAATCCTAAATCTAAGTTAGACAAGTGTGCACCTTTCACAGAATAACGTCCCAAAGTGCTTCACAAGAGTAAAATATTAGAATTAAGACCATCAAAACAGGAAAGAAACAATAAGCCTTAATAACAGACCTTAAAAAAACACACAAGATTTAAGTATGCGCATGATGTTACTATGTGATACGTCGAAGGCAAAGTCTTCATTTCATTGCAATGCGTGAAAAATTGGGTTTAAATTAGACAGACAGACAAAATCAATATTTGCTAGTCCAGAGCTCTGAGAAAAACAATTTGGCGATGTCACACCCTGCTTGATCTGTGAAACTGGGCACCCATGTGTGTTATTCACTTGTTGGAGCATAATTGTTTGATATGAGGTTGAGCTGAAACATGTGAAGTCATGTCATGTCCATATACAACACACTACTCAACGCATGTAAAAAAACAAAACAAAAAAAATCATAGCTGCATAACATTACTGAAAGTCCTGGCTTTTTAGTGCATAAGCTTTCTCAATTACATTAATTTATCTGGTGAGAAGGCGACATTTCCTGTGATACAGAATAACCCCTCAGTACTCAGTATGCGTAACAGAGGCTTAGGATCGTCACAAAAGCAACATTTTGCACAGAGACTCAGAAAGAGGAAACTGCCACCATCCTCTGATTACAAAAGGTACACTGAAGAAGCACCTTTAAAAGTAAGTTTTTCAGTTTGAGAGAGCTGCATGAAATAAGTCCAGAGGTCACCTTCAGGAGCAGGAGGAAGAGGAGAAAAGATGAAGAAAAGCACGAGGAGGAGGAGGAGAGGACAGAAGAGAAGAACCAAGCCCAGCAGGTCGTCTCTAAAAGATTAGGCGTCAGCAAAGATAACACCTGGGGGACAATTAATAGGTCCACTGGTCCATAAAATATTTCATTTGGATTCATACCCCAACCCCATACACACACAAATACAAACAAACATAAAATGTCCCTGACACATATACGTAAGCGCGTGCACAAGCCTGTTTATGCAGCTGCACGTGAGAAGAATATCTGAGAAAAAAAAACAAACAATAAAGCGTTGAAAATTGTGCAGGAGGTAAAGTCACAAACACTCTCCCACAAGCCTATGTTTAAGTACACAAGTGGGAGGAAGGCGGTGGTGGTTCTAAAGGATAACCACTGTAACCATGACTCTTATTCTAACTGGGAGGAGAATATTCAAATATTCAATTCAAGCTGCACACAAATACAGAGTTTCGTTCACACCTTACACCATTCATAACCTTTCTATAGAACATCCCTTCTCCGCCAACATAACACTTGTTATTGTACATTGTAACCAAGCGTGATACCTTCAAAAAATGCTACTGTGCCTGGTCTGTCAGATCAAATGCATTTTTCAAAACTAAATCTGCGTGTATTTAGTTACAAAAACATGTACATTTCTGTCTCAAATGCACTTGTCCTCAAAGAATAGCATGTGCTAAGATATTTATGAGGTCAATTCAAAATTCAAACCAAGCTCGTGCTCACCCAACAGCTGACAGAGCTTTTGAACTATGGCAGGGCTCAGCAGTACGTCTTAAAAAGGGAGTCATAAGTCTAATGATGAAAACGTGTAGCAAGGAACTGATGAGGCAGTGGGCGAGGCCTGGATGCATTTTTAATCAAAAGGTTCATTAGTTACATTTCCTTCTTAAACAATCCTATGTGTCCTGATGGTTTGGACCAGATGGGTGTTACAGCTTATAAATGATATAGCATTTGACTCGCCCGACGCCCCCTGTTTAACTCTGAAGTGCTGTGTATAGTTCTGTTATTGTTATGCAGTCACCCTTCACAAATACTAGCAATAACCCAATAAAAATTATTCTTAAAAAATGTGTGTTGTCCAGTGGATAAGAACCAAAAATCAGAAATGTGCACTTTTTACAGACAAGATAATTCAACTTTTTGCACTGTTGGTGCACATTTCAAAGATTGGAACAAATAAGAAAACGGAAACATTGTCTCATCTTATTGAAGGTAAGCCATGCCAACACATTAAACAAAATATCTCGTGTAATGTCTAGATTAAAGTGTTTATCTTTTGTAAATGTAAGTGCAAGTTCTGTTTTCAGTATTGTATGTAGTAATACAGATGCATTGATTAATTGGTCAATTTAGTTACCAATTATTGTTAACATTTGGAGACGACTCATTTGTCGTTTGACTGTATGTAGTATAATTATACCTATCCAGTGTATTGGATTGGCGTGCCAGTACGAGGCACACAGGTGATTTTAATTAATGTCTTTATGGATTCAGTGCGCTGGGCTTGAGGTGGTCATTAGGACTGAGCCAATTCACATATGTCTTGTCCCCCCCCCATTAACAGTTAATGGAAGTTAATTAATTTTCATACTGCACTGACATGAAGTCAGTAGTCACAATCTAAAAACCTATGATTAGGAAAATACCTAGCATTAAAGTATACACAATCTGTAGTAGTAAAAGGTAGAAAATACACAGAATACAAACATGGTCCTTTAAGATTGTGAACATAACATATGCTACTTGCTAACACCTTGCAGGTCTCCTCTTGGCTGTCCAAATGTGCTGCACTTGTAGATATTTATGCTTACAGGACTGAGACTTATAGTCAGGAGCCCCGCTGTGCATGCTGTAACTTCTCAAAGAATGCTTAAACCTGTTGTTTTTGAGATAACAGGGAATGGTTGCCTGTATAACACACATCAGCATTCACTTAAGAATTTGACTTCCCTCAGTATTTCTAATAACCCGCCCAGCAAGTCAAATACTTGAGCCGGATAGAAAGTGGACTCACAGTCACTGGTTTAGAGGACAGGGTGCAAACGACGCAAAATACAGTCCGATCATTCAAACCTAATGTGCACACGCAAACATACACAGAGGAACAATGAAAATCTGCAAAGCCTGCATTTCCAAACGTCGAGCAGTTATTCCATTAGGAATCACATTGGCAGATGTGGCAGATGTGGTCATTCTTGTAGCATCCTGACAGATCTCAGTCAATCATAAAGACGACAAAATGTAAGACTCTGCAATCAGGTCCGATCAAAGGAATGAGAAGGGAGAAGACAGAGGGTCATTGGTATAAAATGATAGCAAAGGCAGAGCTAACTGACCAGTATACTGACCCTGATCAAGTACTCTTATTGATCACACTGATACCAGCATCATCCCCCTTATTATCGACATTGTCCTACGCATCTACCCTGCATCCACAGATCAGAAATGCTGATACAGCATCAACTGACTCAACAACTAATCAATTTTCTTACATCTGTCCACCTACGTGCTGCTCTAATGGGCGCCCTGTTCTTAATAACAAAGGGCTAAATGCCTGGTACAGTGACTGGGAAAAAGCATGGCGATTTATTGAAGATGTGAAAAATAGGCACTGGTCCAGAATAACAGAAGCACCTCTATGATGTAATGCAATGAAATACAAGAGTCTTGCAATAAATATGAACTTACATTAAATGTTCAGTTTCTGTTGAGATTACTACTTGACTCAACTGAAATTAGGGGGGGGGGGGGATCGATACAGCATAGCATCGTGATATTTGCCATGGCAATACTGTATCGATACATGGACGCCAAGTATCAATATTTTATTATATAAATTGCAGATTGGACTTTTAAGTTTTTGGTACTAGAATAATAAAATCTATTGCTTTTTTAGTCCACTAGAAAACTTAACAGGACCATATAGATGACTGAAAAAGTGATATGAACAAACAGAGAAATATATCTTTTGACAAAGTGCTGACAAAGTTTGACTTTAGGAACCTAATTGGAAGCTGGAAAAAGGTAATAAATTGCAATATATCTCAATATATTTAAAATCGCAATAAAATCGAATCGCAACATAAATATCGTGATAATATCGTATCGCGGGGCCTCTGGCGATTCCCACCCCTAACTGAAATGTTGGTTCAGTGGTTGGAACACTTTGTCTGTTCCTCACAAAGACCTCACAAATTAATGATTAAAGACCCCCAACAAATACTCACAACTTTAACATTTAAAAGAAACATGTAACATCCTTAAATCCATAATGTCTCTTTCCAGCAGCAGTACACAGCTGTGTTTTAATTTATCTGGATTCTACTACATCCTACATAGTGGTGTATAGGGCTGTACATAACGATTATTTTTGAAGCCGATTAATCCAACGTTTATTTTTCAATTAGTCGATTAATCTAACAACAACAATAATTTTGTGTATTCTAAAGAAAAAAATATTGCCTATTACTTGATTGACATACCAATTTATCCAAAATAAATACATGTCTGATAAATAAATCAAAATTTTATTTATTTTACATTTATTAGCACATTAGAATACTGACAATAGTAGCAAATCTTAAAAGGAATCCAATTTCCACGTCACTGATGTGTTGTGATACTAACAATAACAGACATTAATTAGGCTACCTTACTGCAAACTTATTTATTTCAGTAGTTTCTGATATGGATTTATTTCAGTATTGAGTAATATGCAATATGATAAATATATATAAAGATTTTCACATCTTGTGGTGGGTCCACATGTGATTCGCTTGTAGCAACCCTTTTTATAAAAGCCACACTCCGTCTTCAGACCCGTTTCCTATCTCCAATTGTTGCTTGGAGTGTTATGACAGCATCTCACCTTTAAAATAATAAACTCCAACCATCTGGGGGCCTGTTTCAACACCTAACGTGGCCTAATTAAGTATGGTAAAGAGTGAAAAGTGTGCAAACCAACCCCGGTCACCCCTTTACAGGGCTGCTGGAAGTCAGTCACAGTTGGGGGTGCTGAGAGAAGGTTAGTCTGTATCATGATGATACTAAATGATACGCAATAATCACATTTTTCATAATCATTTGAATTATAACATATCTAAATAGATATTAAGTTTCCAGCAGCAGACTTGAACACCAACATACTGTATGTCAAAGCAGCCACAGCAACTATACAGTCAAAATATACGTGCTGAAGGGAAGAGGGAGAAGAAGGGCACTGGGGGGTTGCAGCAACCCTACTTCCCATGTTCATGTCTCTACACATTGATAAGAAGGTTTATTTGAAAAGTGGGTAAATTTTTTGCACGTCAGTCAGGGCCCGATTCAATTGAAACTGATGAAACATAGCTTAGACCTCCAATGTCTCCAACTACGACTTACAGCACGTTCTGCGAGGCTCCAAGCTTCAGCAGCAGTTTGACGATGGCTGGGTGACCATTCCTCACTGCGTCATGGAGTGGTGAGTCATTTTCATAGCCAGGTGTATTCAAGAGGGCTCCACTCGAGACCAACATCTCCACAACCGCCAGGTGACCAAGGTTGCACGCTTCGTGCTGGAACAAAAAGCAGTAATGCTCAGAAGTCACCCTACTCTGCTTTGATCTGGTTAGTCTCCTGTTATCCTCTGAATACAGCCTTATTCTCAGTATACATTATAAATTATCAGCCATTTCCAGTCACTGTAATATTTATCTTTTTACCCCCCAGTTGATATTATTTTAGGTGCGGTAGGTGCTTCAAAGAGTTCAAATGAATATGAATCTTTGTATGGGAGTGTTTTAGATGGAATGTGTAGTTCTTCCTCTGGGTATTTTGAAAATATGAGGTTGACAGATAACTTCATAAATGCCAATCAGATATTACAGCTTAATCACACTTCATTAGTTATGTAGAATTCAACTCATACCGGGAAAGGTTCTCTTGGGGAGAACCCTTAAATATTATCTTGACCAGCTTTTCTACTTTTCTGAAATGGATTAAGGATATAACTTTATAAAAATTGGTGTTTTTAAAAGATTATGTTTGCAACATAAACCTGAAGTCAATTTGACAATATAAAAGTCCAGGGTGAGAGCTTTTCATTTGGGAATGAGATTAGGTTCTAGTGGAGCCACTGCACTGTATCTCTCCCCATTTTCAACCCATACAAATTAAGAGCACGGCGTTTTGACAACTGTTTAACGTAATGCAGCTTTCTTTAATCATCTGTATCAGATAAACGTTTTTTTTGCTTATAGCGAGGAAAAATAATCGATGGATCTGTTAAGTACTTTTGTTTGTTGGAACAATAAGGGGGCTTGACAAATACTGTGAGCATGGATAAATCTTAAAGATTCATCAGCTGAACTATAATCCACATCAGATGAAATGGTGCTGAAAATTGTAGCATGTCATATCAAGACAGCACCCAGCCTTCTAGGATGCACACAAGTCTGTCAAACATGAATATGTCGTGCTCTAAGCTTATTGGCGGCAATTTATAAGATCAGCTGCAAACTGTCAAAACTCAAATTGAAAACTCAAGTCTGAGTGGAGCATCTTGACAGCAAGTAGCCACGTGAAGTGCTGCAATAGGATAGCGGCAAACACTCTTCCACTCATTCTCAAAGGGGTACATGGCCCAGGCAGAGCTGAAGGATTTTAGTTTTTCGTGTGCAGGCAACTTACAGCTAAATTGTTAAACAAGTACAGACCTACATATTTTGGAGGAAGACAGCATATATCAAAAAATGGCGGTACTTACAGTAATTGACTCACTCAAGATTAGAAACCTTGTTTTCTGGCATGATATACTTATACTTTACCAGCTAATCTAAAGCATTTGTGGCCATGTTCCACAATAACAGTACAGATTGTTGTTTTTAGCCTGCTTTTGGTTGCAGTTCATGATAGGCCTCATGCTAAGAAAAACAGCACAAACACCCACCCGCATGGCAAATAGGTGTTATGCAAACCAGGGGGACAAAAAGAGCTATTTAGACAGGAAAACTAAACTTGCGTGCATATTCAGCTATTCAGTGACTGTGCATGTTGGTTTAACCGAGAAGACAACACAATAAACAGTAAATGGCAAGATGTTGGGTAAATGTTGCAAGAGTTGGCCAGAGAAGAAAAGCTACAGTAATGACCCCTTTGTGTGGAAGAAAGTTTTGTCATCAAAGTCTGACAACCCATGAAGCAAAAAACGACAATGGCTGATGTTATTGACAAGAAACACCACAAATCGCTTCAGTGAAAAGCAAGAAAATACTGCCAGAGAGTGGAACAAAACTAGCGTCATTTAACAATTGCTGTTTTGTTGATGAAACATTTTGCAACCAAGAGTTTTTCCACGCAACAAGTACAGCTCTCATATTTATCATTTAGTGTATTAGTCTTACCAGGGGTGTCCACCCAGCATTATCCTTCAGGTTAGGGTCAGCCCCTTGGTCCAGCAGTTCCTTGACAGCCTCAACATCTCCCTGCAGGAATCAGAGAGAATAACAAACCTGAGGTCAGAACAGCAGACCTGTAAACGCAACCCTTCAAACACAGCAGCTGATCCCAGTGTACCAAAGCCCTGCTGTTTATCAATTATGCTCCACAGTGGGCCATTGATTACCTTGTCTGGGATCCAGAGGGGGATTATAGCTATGTTTACAAGGATTACTGCAAGACAGTTTACTCTCAACAGACCGGAACATAACTGTCTGATCATCTGAAGACTAATTTGTTCAACTGAGGGGGGAAAATCCATAGGAAGAAAGATTTATCTGAGCTACATTTTGAAAGAAATGTTAGTTTGGCCATTTGTTGAGTAACGAAATACAGAACCAGCAGCAATTTCAGGGACAACATTACATTATATTATATGTTAAATTTAACCACTTTAAATATCTAATGTATGAAGGATGTCATGCAGAAATGCTGTAATTTATTTATACTGCTTAATTAAGGGAACATGTGCATTTTTTAATTTCAGCTTTTAATGCTGTCACTCTACTGCAGCAAAGTGGAGTGAAGTAAATAAGTTGAATTATTCAGAAACCGCTCAACCTTTATAGCAGCTAGATGCAGCAGGGTCTCTCCCTTGTGGTTCCTCTTCATAACTGCAGGGCTCCCCGAGGTGGCCTGTCCAACAGACGCACGGCCAGTACAGGGAGATTTTCTACCAACAGTGGGGCTGTCTCCTTCTCTTGAGGTTTTGATGCTCTTTTCACACCTGGGGCTAGTCGAAGACAGGGGGTTAAGGACAGCTGGAGACATCTGTGATTTTCTCTTCCTGCCTGGGGAAGCCCTGGGCCTTTTTGGCGTGGTCTCCAATGTGGCGACCTTGTCCTCCATTCTGGCTCTTTTTGAGGAATGTTTTGAGGGAGATAGGTTGTTCTGTTTTTCAAGATTGTCAGATGGGATGGGGTCATTTGCAGACAATTTGTCATGCGGGAGGACGCTGTCTGACATGCTCTGACCAGGCTGGGTTTGGTCATTCAGTACAGTGACGCCGCTTCCTGAGAGACTCTCCCTCATGGTGCTGCTGCCAGGGCTGAGTTCATTAGTACTCCTCTGTGGCAAGTCAGGCTGAGTCTCGTCAGATGTGACATCAGGGCTTAAGAAAGAAACCCTTTTACTGGACCTCCTTGCCCCTTCAGCACAGAACTGCTCCTTTTCTTTTAAGGCATCTACCTCCTCGGTGATCCCCCATTGCTGGTTTATGGCATCCAGCCTATTCTTCTTCATCTTCTGCTTGGTCTGTTTTCGTGTGGTCCTAGGGGCTCCTCGCACCGACACCTTCTTGCTGGCAGCATTTTTCTTAGCCGACCTCTTCTTCCTGGATCTGCTTTCATGTTCGCATCTTTGAGAACAAGAAGAGCCGGAATGAGAGGACGAGATGAAATTGAAAACTGACAAGTCCTGACGTTGAACTGTAATGGTGTCTGGCTGTGTTGTAGCTGTATCTCCGGAAGACCTGCTCTCCGGTACGGTGGCCTGTGAAGGCTTCTCCACGATGCAGCGTACTTTGCGGCTGCGGGGGCTGAACCAGATCTTGAAGTTCTTCTTTTGTCCAATGACAAGGCTCTCGGGTTGTGTTTGAGTCTCGGCTGGAGGGGAGTCTGCAATGAGGTGTGAAAAAACTAAATAAATACACTTTTAACAAAACAAAGTTCCCCTCATGCGTGTGCTATAATTGGTCATTGTGAATTGGTCTGTGTATTTGTAATAACCTTGCATTACCTGTTGAGATGAAGAAGAAATGAAAAATAAAACCAAACTTTAATATTTTGCGTTGCCTACCAATAATACTGACATTTGACAGAAGTCCCTACTTCTTAAACCCTTTTCTGTGTAAATGTAGACACAACAACAGCCTGCAGATCTGTTCACATTTTAACTACAGGGCTTAGAAAGTTGCCCTGTAGTTCTTTGTCAAAGCTGAGATCTAGTCGCAAACTAAACACTACCGTGGTTAATTGCATTGCATAATTACTGTCATTACCGGGATGCTGGATGGGCGATAAAGATAATAAACCACAGGAACAAGCCACTAATAATGTCATTCAGAGATTAGATTGGCGGAGAAAAATGTTAAATGTTTCAGTCAACAACTGATGGAAAGGGATGTGAGCAGATGAACATGGATAGAAAGATAATGAACAAGACACGTAGATTTGAAAAGATAACTTGTTAATTGTGATTTAAAGCTGCCATATAATCTATCTGGTATCTATCTACCTGGTTGTTCTATGGGACTGAGCAGGGACTCCAGACTGCAGAAGAGCTGTGTGATGCTACTGAGCTGCCTGTTGATTTGGATGTCCTTCACCCACGCAGGGCTGTGACACACCACGCAGCCATCTCCTGCCTGGGGGCCAGCACAGAACCTGAGCAATAAACATATCTTGGATTAGGAGTTCACTTCACAGTTCAGTAAGAAGAAACACAATGAGCTCATTAATTTACCCTTTAAGACCATTCAGTCATGAAGAGAATGAATAAATTGAGCCTATAGTTTATGCCTAGGGATATTAATTGCCTTCAAGACTGTAAACTATGCACTGCCAAGAAACCTTGCCATTGATATGCATTATTTCACTAGCACAGGAAATAAGCACCATAACAAAAGAGATGCATGTTAACCAAAACATTTTTTAATGGTCATTTCTAGAAATGTGAGCTGCAAATTTACTTTTTTCCCCCCTCCCTCCATGTCCCTTATATGTATGGAAACCATGTAACAATAGTGCTGTTAAAGTTTACTGTCATAATTTGACCTCAACACTAACATTAGCGGAAAAACAATTATTGAATAGTATTACAAGTTGGTTTATTGACAGAATATTAATGTGTTAATCCCATATACTTATTGAAATATATAAATAAATCCTACTGAACTAAAAAAAAAAAAAAAAAAAATACTCCTCAAATCTGGCAGGGGGAAAGCAAAAGACCGTTCTCACAAGGACATTTTGATTCATAGTAGCAGGAAATGCATACGGTGTTTAATACAAATTAAATATTATGTAGGGCTGTTCAATGAATCGAAATCTTATTAAAATATGGCCTACTCCAATTTTCAAATCGCAAGATGTGAAATATTTGTTAAAGGATATTGATATTATTATATGTTAAATTTAATATTGTCGTGCTGCAGAGATGTCTTGGCCTACACATCATATTGATGTGGTCAATGAAAATGAGAATAATTATAATTCCGTCCAATATCGTATATCATATCACAATTGCAATATCAGTGAAAATAATCACAATAAGAATTTTTAGTAACACTTTCTATGAAGGCAATAGCCGTAAAGACATATTTATAATACGACATAATGCTTCCATAAGCCATTATAACAATTGTTATCAGAATCTGGTTTATTGCCAGGTACGTTTTCACATACGAGGAATTTGTCGTGGTATAAATTGGTGCTTACAGTACACATGAACATAAATAGAAATATAAATATATTTAAAAAATGTACTTAAAAGTAAGGGGTTCGAAAAATGTATAAGTATACAAAAAATACAATAATACTACAATACAATACTAACAAGTATGTGCAAAAGTTCGCAACATGTGCATAAACACAGTTGAGCGTTGTTGTAAAGTGTGGGGTCAGGAGTGTGTATGAGTGTGTGTGGGTGTGTTTGGGTAGGAGGGCATGAGAGTCATTAACAGTGGGGATCCAGGCTTTATTGAGGAAACCCACTGCCATCGTAAAGAAACTGTTCATGTGGCGAGAGGTTTTGGTCCTGATGGACCGCAGCCTTCTGCCAGAGGGGAGTGTCGCAGTTTGTGTCCGGGATGGGAGGAGTCAGCTGCAATCTTTCCTGCACGTCTCAGAGTCCTGGAGGCGTACAGGTCCTGAAGAGATGGAAGGTGATAACCAATAACCTTCTCTGCAGAGCCAATATTTCTGGTCACCACATGGTCGATCTCCCACCTGTAGTCGGACTCATCCCCACATGAGATGAGCCCAATGAGGGTGGTGTCATCCGCAAACTTCAGGAGCTTGACAGACTGGTGACTGGAGGTGCAGCTGTTGGTGTACAGGGAGAAGAGCAGAGGGGAAAGAACGCAGCCCAACGGGGAACCGGTGCTGAGGGTCCTGGAGTCAGAGAGATATTTTCACAGCTTAACATGCTGCTTCCTGTCCATCAGGAAGTCTGTGATCCACCTGCAGGGGGAGTCAGGCATGCTCAGCTGGGAGAGCTTGTCCTGCAGCAGGGCTGAGATGATGGTGTTGAAAGCAGAGCTGAAATCCACAAACAGGATCCTGGCATAGGTTCTTGGGGAGTCCAGGTGCTGGAGGATGTAGTGAAGGGCCATGTTTACTGCATCATCTACAGACCTGTTGGCTCTGTAGGCAAACTGCAGGGGGTCCATGAGTGGGTCAGTGATGGACTTTTAGGTGGGACAACACAAGGCGTTCAAAGGACTTCATAACCACAGATGTCAGACCAACGGGTCTCTAGACGTTGATGGTGTCAGGTCTGTCCCATTGTCCCATAATCACTTACAAACATGCAGTAGGTGCTATTGCAAAGTTCATAAGTCATTTTGACCTTTTGATTTAATGTTTCATAACTAATAGTAAAACCAGTTTATACAGGGAGAATGTTCCGGTGAAAGTTAGCGAAGGAAAATATTTAAGTTACTTAAGTTGTCAGTTTGGCAGAACATGTGCAGTGTAGGTCACAGAGTGTCCGTTAAGTCTTTTGTTTCCCCAACTCCTGAAAAAGTGAAGGCGGTTAGTGCTAGCTAACATCTGCCCTTCCTGTAAAGCATGTTTTCTTTTTTGGCTGTATTGTAACATCAGCTAAATTAGTAATGTTGCTGAGTAATGTTAATTAGTTGCATGTCATTACCACCTAACTTGTCAAGGAATGAGAACATCAGGTCCGAGCTAAACTGGTGTACTGCACACATACTCCTGATAGTTAAGTTATATTATTAGGCCTATTATGTCAGAGAAGTGTGGACAACTGGTTGTTAAACGAAGGACGCTGGTGTGGAGCTAAGGTTAGTAAAGTAAATTAGGGATGTAATCTAGTCCTTTTAAGCAATTGAGGAGATGTTTTTTTGTATTTTAATGTGAAAATTAAATGCTTAATAATTATGCAGGAATCACGTAAGAAAAAAAAGATATATTAAGACGGATCATCGCCCTCTGAATTGTTATAAAATCGAATCGTGAGGTGCCAAGAGACTCTCATCCCTACTGCCCAACCAGTATTCCAATTCACTTTAAAATGTTATTTAAAAAGTTTTGTGGAGTGGTTGCCACAATGTCTCCAATTGTCCACTGCATCTGTTTGGGGCTGTCCATAGGAGATCTGAGCCTCTTATTACATGATGTTATATGGTTGGCAACAGGTCTTCTCTTGAGCGATCTCTCACCAGCCTGGGAATGAGTGTCCTTAAGTCCCTAAATTGTGTTTTGTGCTAAACTGCAAAATGTTAAAAATTCATACAGAATGTATATAAAGTGAAGAAACATAAATAAAAGTTTTTTTCCTGCGCAAAATGTGCCACTTTACTTAAAGCAAATAAATACATGTTATAGATTCTTATAATTAGTTCATATAGTATTATGTCCCCTGGTAATATATTATCCAGGGATGGACATTTTAACACTTCACTTAAAACAAACAAAGACAAGCTATGTAACATTAAACATTCCTATAAGCTATTATTCCATTTTATATCACAAACTCTAAATTGTGACTAAAGTGTATTTATAACAAGGCAGAGTCTATGGTTATGTACTATAGAACACGGTCGGAGATTCTTGGCACACAGTGGTGTAAACTGGTTTTACTATTAGTCATAAAACATTAACATAATGACTTATGAACTTTGCAATAGCACCTAATGCATGTTTGTAAGTGATTATAACAACTGTCATAATGTCTTATGGAAGCAATATATCGTGTTATAAATATATGCATACAGTAAGTCAGTATAGCGATGACTTTCATAGAAAGTTTTACAAAAAGCCTAATATTTTGGTTCTGCTCCTTTTAGGTATGCCAGTGAACCAGCATGCACAATACCAGAATGCTAGCAGTAGCAGATCTGAATGGAATGGAGCCATAATTAACATTATTACCAGTGTCCGACAAATAAAAATGTCCACCATCTTGTTAGTGAGCATTTAGCTGAGGTTTACATTACCTGCACAGCATATGCTCGCACGTTCCTAGACACACAGGATCCTTCATTAAATTTGAGCTGGAAAAGGACAAAACAATTAAAAGCGGTTAGTACAGTCAGAATTGGCAAGAGCAACTCCGCCACATTGACCACTACTTTGGCACAGCAGTGATTGGAGTTAAATGCTTGCACCACCATGCTCCAGATGACAATAGTAGCATGCTGATGTTTAGCAGGTATAATGGTTATCATGTTCATCCTCAACATTTGCTACAGCTGACGCTCACGATGAATGTTATCCCATGTATTGGAAAAAAATTTAATTTTGACCTAATGATGGAGCTAGATGAAAGTTCAGGGGAAACCTCATAACACCTCTTAAAACAAAACTCTCCATTTCCTGCAGAGACAGAGAGAGTGAACCTCTCCACCCATACAACTATAAAGAACATCCTAAGGAGCTGCACTACATACTGATTTGGTAATTGCACTGGATAGTGGAGACAGCAGAGAGCAGATCTCAGACCCTACACTTACCATAACCTCTGCATCTCAATAGCCACCGGCGCTGTGAAGGACCCCACCTACACTGCTCACAGACTCTTCACCCTCCTGTGATCTGGCTAGAGGTACTGGAGCATCCTAGCATCCAGTGTGTGCAACAACCTATTCTTCCACGCAGTCACACATAATTTACTGCTAGGTCTCAGCACTCACATGAACTACATCAACCCACCCATTCCCGCATCTCACACACCAACTTCTTATAGGCAGTGTGCTTTGGACTGTACTTACACTATGCCCTTTAGCAGCTATATGCCTTATTCTGCCTTGGAAATGTTTACATCCACAATCAAATTAAATGCAGTTTCTGTTGCACCTGAGGATGGACAAGCTGTTGCACCACATGCCAGCTTGTCCATCCTAAGGCTACTCCAGCTGCTATGTGTAGGATGGATTGTCATGTGTTGTTCCCAAGCCATATTGTTCTATTTAACTATGATGTATTATCCAGTTTACCATATTGTGGAGTGGGTTTTGTAATGCTGCACTGTGCTTTGCTCCAGTGTTATTATTGCACAGTGGTTTTAGAAATGTCCTGCCATCATGGCACAAGTATAATGTTATATGGATGGGTTGTCAATAAAGATCTGGACTTGATTTGAGTTAACTTGAATGGAAGCACAACTCAGCAGAAAATGTCAAGAAGATAACAATAACTAAGTCAAAGATAGCAATCAAAGGGCAGCATTAGATTGGCTTAATTAAAACACGTAATCATCTTTCACCTATCGACTCTGTAACTTTGACGTCAAAAGGTCCCACTCCAAGTTTTATTCAAACATCTGGCATTTTCCAGTGTCTTCACTTTTCTGCAAAAGTTCCCTTTCCACATAAAGCAATCTAATCTTACTGATAACTGTGAATTACACCATTTTTCAATTGAGCTAATGATTTGCCAAATTGATACTTGACTCCAAAACAACTGATTAACTTAACATTTAGGGCTAACGTTTAATCTGTGTAATCCTAACGTCATTTGATTATTGCGATCAGGTGTTGTTGACGTTACGTTAACAGAGCTCACTCCAACAGTAACGTTAACTTAAGTTCAGCAACGTTAACGTTAGAACCGCAGAAACGTTAACAGAAGTTCACTACAACAGTAAAGTTAACTTTACGAAAACGTACCATTTGGAACAAAGTAGCAGTCGTCGAAAGTTGGCAACCGCCTCCTTGGTGTTCTTCCATTCCTTTGTCTGCACAGGGACATCAGTATCCATTACTATATGAAATGCTATGTGTTTTCTGGCTCTGCTGTTGTAACTCTCTCTTAGAAATGAAAAACTTGCTTCCTGCTTACTTGCATCTCCCGCCAAATATTTACGGAAGTAGCCTGTGAGGGTTGCCCAAACACGGAGATGACGTAATCCGCCCCCCTCCAAAAAAAGCAAGATGGTGGGAAATTTAATTTAATCTAAACCCGTACAAAACACGTAAATAAATAACATGTACTGTCGCATTTTTTTGGTTTAATTTAACAATATCTTTTTTTTTTTTGTAGCACTAAATTTGATGGTGAGTCGCCAAAGTCGTTCAATCGTAATCGTGCCATTCTGGCAAGACCGACCAACACAGCACCTTTACTGTATTATTCATTTCTCCTGTTTTACAGGTCGGTAAGTTGCACAAAAGCATAAAAACGATAAATAAACATAGTCAATCATTATTTGTTATGTTTAAGTTGTTTTTGGTATTCACTGTGTAGTTTGATTATAAGTTACTTTTACCCATTAAGCATGACAGTAACGGTACAACAAACAAATGATAGCTAAGTTAGCACTCACGCTCCCTAGTCAATGTTTACAGCTCCTGGGCATTTTCTTCGTTTTACATTTAAAGTGTTTTATTTGTATTTTGTCTATGAAAATAGGTTTTGTGTTGGTTAAAGGTCATTCATATCAATTAAATGCTAAAAATGTCAGTCACAATCTTGCCTGGAACATTATAAACAGTTGGTAAATTGAGAACAACAATGTCTCAACAGACTTTATTGATTGACTTCAATGACTGTATTTATTAAATAAATAGACCATAGCAAGACCATCAAGACCAACAGCAGAAATTTTCCTGTGTTATTATATTATTATTTTGTTGTCTGTCCACATCGAATGTTACTTTAATTCTGAACACTAACACACAGTTCAACAGATACAATTTCTTCAACTTATTTAGGGCCATTTAGTTTGCATCCATATACCATACTGTTCCAGGTGACCCAATAAATATGTCAACAATAATGAAATGGATTATCCCAATATTGTGTCATAGAATGGACAACATTTATGTACATAAAAATGAGCTTGAATCAACACATGTGAAGTAAATGTGTTTATCAGGTTGTGGCCTCTAATTGAACAAGTAATATCTAATAAACATTTTAAACAGTTGTCTGGTCTTTTCAAAAGGAACAAGTTTATGTGTTTTTTATTTTCTTTCTTCTTTAAAAAAAGAAGATAGAATTTAGAAGATAACATCAGGCAAGATAAGCTCCTCACACTCAAACAATAAAAAAGTCATTTGTAATCAGCTGGGATATTAGTGGATTAGGTCTACCATAACAGTTAAATAAATCTTGCATGTGATACAGTGCTCAAACATTAGAAAAGCATGTACAATAGAACAGCAGTTGCATTTGATAAATGTCTTTATTAGAATAATAAAAATAGGCTTTATACATTCAAGACAATTTGGAATTGGTCCATTGGGAGGAAATTAAATGCATTAAATATTCATTACACTCATTCTAAAAGTTAGGTATGCCCTTAGAGGAAATGTTAATGAGTAGGGAAAAATTGTGCACATTAAGGAAGTGTGAATATTTTCTTCTTTTTGTTTCATCCAGTAGGCATAATTGCATGTTCCTTAGATAAAAAAAAATACTAATTTGTTATATATATATGTATATATGTTTTTGATTTACTATGGTATAATATTCTAATAGTGAACAGTGCCCCAATCACAAAGAAAAATTTAAAGCCTACATGATTAAGTTTATACTTCATAAATAATAATATACAGGTGCATGTTAGATAGGAAGACAGTCAATAAACACAATACTTCAATTTATCAACTTTTTTCATCTGTGCATGTACGCAGATGTGCATGTTCTCTTCTGCTTTTCATTAATAATTTAATTACTAAAGATAGAAATATCAAGCCCTCTTCATATGATCAGTCAATATACTTACAAGATATAATCAGTAGTTTTAAAACATGAATGCTTTAAACTCCTATTTTTCACACACTGGTACATATTAATGATAGATTTACTATAAACCGATACTATTTCATTGTCAGTGGGCACTGGCAAAATGGCAAAGAGAAGATGGCAGTCAGCTCTACGTTTGCTGTGCCGTAATGGAGCCCAGGCCATCACATTCGTCATTGCTGTGAACTGGTATGGTCTCCATGTCCATCTTTCCCATGGCAAAGTTGATGAAGACCTGTGAAGGTTCAGTAATAATTTAAGTGCTGTGCCAGTATAAACGACAATTATTTTTCACTCAACTCCGTAATTTTATTTAGCCTATTGGTCAGTCTAACTCCCCAGCCCCCCTCTCCTTATTCTGCCTATGGTATCTTCCAATCCCACAGCCCCAGAAGGGCAGAGTGGTTGAAGAATATCAGCACTGGCTGCATATAAAGCTCATGGATTCTCTTCCTAACTTATATTCCATTTATTTTCCCTCAGGCACACCCTCTGTCAGTTTCCCTCTGCCTCTTTTCAACTTTTTCAACTCACTCTTTCACTCCCACTCAGCTTTCTTCTGTCCCTGCTTCCCCTCCAACAGCCTCTCTTCTTCTCTCATCTCCTGTCCTCTGTCCCTCGCTGCCATCTACCCACCCCTACAAAACCTCACACTAGTTCTCCCTCTCTCTCTGTTTATTTCCTGTCTTTTTTTTCCTCACCTCATCCAGTGTGGTCTGGCTCACAGAGAAGTGTTTGATCTGCAGAACATTCTTGTTGGATTCCAGCTGGTCGAAGATGTCAGCCACCCCTCCTGGAGCAATTGGTACGTGGTACTCCACCATGGAGGAGTGGTGGTCCTGTGTATTGGGAAAGAATGCACAAGTTGATGGTTAAATATTCTGAAATATGCTCTCTGCGTAACCAAAGAAGCTTTTTACACCAAACTGAGCAAACTCACATTGAAAATCACATTGAATCAATAAAATAAAATTGCAATTTGCTATATGCAGTATACTGTTTAAAGAAAATCTCCACATGGGTAGTGAGGTCCATTAACAATGGATCAAATAACTGTGGTAGTTTGAACAGGGTCAATAACAGTGACAAATTCACAGAGAATTATAACCAACTGCCCTCATAAACCTCCTTTCTAGCTGCAGTAGGCAGCTTAAAAAAACTCACTCACAAACTTTACGCAATCTGCCCAATGCCAAACAACTGAAAGACAAAAAATAGCAACCTGCTTGTAAACATGATGGAGCAGTTAGCTGCTAAAGCACCAGATATTTGAGTTGGTGAAGACCAAAACAGAGCTAAAGGAGGCACAACAGACTCGCCTTAACAACTTTATAAGGTGACAACAACAGCTTGTTCCACTACACCCAAGTGGCAAAAAAGTGTAATGCTGCTTCAAAGCTACGAATAGCCATCAGCTCATGTGAGGGCACGGTACAGCAGGAATTTCAATATTATAAATGAATGTTCTCTAGCCAGAATTTTTAACAAAAACAATCTATACACACAACTACTTCACCAAATGTACTGCAACATTCCACTGCATTGTTTACTTAGTCTTTTTTCTGTTCTCCACCAAGTACTCTTCTTTGGATAGCTGGCAAAGCTCACCTTGAGATAAGTGCTGGGAAATTGGCGCTGCATGAAGCCAGTGATTGCCTTTGTGTCGCAGGAGGCCTCGGCCAAGTACATCTTCACAGTGAACCCGTTGCCAAACCTGCACGACGGAGATTTTACAAACAAAACACGGTGTTATTACTTGTCTGAGACGCGGCAATGAGGTTGTGCAGGGGCAGAGTACACTATTCTTACAAGTAAAATTGAGCATTCAGTTGCACAAAGGAACATAGAGATGGGAGAATAGGAGGCCATGGAGACAGCAGAGAGCAGTAATGGCTGGATTGGAGAATGAACAGAGGTCACTAACCTGTTCTTAATGTGCTGCAGGGAGCCCAGGCAACGGAACTGACCTTTCACCATGATGGCAAGACGGCTGCACAGTGCCTCACACTCCTCCATGCTGAGATATGGAGACAAAGAGAGAAAGATAAAAGGTCACACTTCCATCCTTTGAGCATACGGTAATGAGCCATGCCTGCTGTCAAATAGAAAAAAACATGTTGTGCTTATCCTATATACATATATTGTGGGTGGAAATCCCACCTTATTTTTTACCTGTAATTATACCCCTAATCCTAAACAATTTGTGTCTTCAAAATTGTGGAATTTAGCCATGCATATTTCAAATGTTTCTTTGTGATATCCAAGTTTTTTTCTTCATGGACCACCAGCAGAGTATGATTAATCCGGACAGGCTGCAGCAGGTGTATGCATGTGATACTCTTCTGACCTGTGAGAGGTGAGGACCACTGCAGATTTTCCTTTCACTTCCTCGGAGATGATTTTCCACAGGTGGCGCTTGGTGCGAGGGTCCATGCCGGAGCTTGGCTCATCCTGTGGAGGGAGCAGAAATGAGAAGAGGGGAGCAGGATGTGTGAAAGAAAGAGTGGAAGGTTGAAATCAAGAAGGAGAGGTCAGGGGAAAACAGGGAGTTAATTGAGGAAGGCTGCGTGTTGCAAACAGTGTGTGGTTACATACAGTAGTAGGGGGGAAAAACAAGGGTAGGAACACGAAAGAATAAACACAAATGCACAATTGCAAATTAGGAAGGGAGATAGGAGGCCCAGTGTTATAGACAAAACAAAAAAAGGGGAAGGTCAGGGAACAAATGAAGACAAAGACAAGAAAGACAAGAGGCAGAGGGAAAATTAAGAGGACACACAAGGAAACAAAACAAAGGGAGAGGGTTGGGGACAGAAGAAACGAGAAGGAAAAGAGAGGAAGTGAAGTGAGGATTTGATAGAGACATTAGGTAGAAACAAAGTTGAAAGTTACACGAAAGACCACCCTTGGGTAAGCCCGAGGAAGCAGACTAATTAACTATATGAGATCTGTGAAGTCTATGGGATCAATATCTACTTTCCTTCAAAGACCCTTTCAGGAGAAACAGTAGTGTATAGTTAGTTTAATATTTGTTGTCTGGTGGGCAGTTAGGCAATTAAATGGGCAGCTACAGCTGCATGAACAGGTGCGTCCTCACCAGGAGTAGGATTTGCGGATGCCCGATGAGAGCCAGCGCAGTAGAGAGCTTCCTGCGGGTGCCACAACTGTAACCATCAGTAATGATGTTTCTGTGGTAGTTCAGCTCCAGCCTCTTCAGTAGGTAGTTCACCACCTTTAAACAGAAACATGCAGGGGGTTATACAGTGAGTGAACAAATGAACAAGCACCGTATGGAGTATGTGTCATGTTTAACTTCAATGCCAATTAGCAGTGTATTTTACCTTTTAAAGGACAGGACAGTAACCCCTTTTACATGAGAGTTTTCAAAGCAATTTAAAGGCATCAAATAAGTTATGAATTACTGTATGGACAAACATCTTTAAACATCTTGTTAGATGCTTAGCATGCTGGTTGATAAGTACTACAAAACCGGTGAACCTCCGTGTCATAAACACACCAAAACCAGTGGTATGTATAGCTAACACGTAAAGACATGATCTGATATAAGCAGGACAAAATGTAAATGATATAAAGCAATAGTAGTTTATGGTAATATAAATTGCTTTGTCTTCTTTCGAATAAATTTATATCTGAAGGAAGGTAATGGAAGGAGATATGTAATTGCAGTCATATTCTGGAAGTCAGTTCAGTGATTGCTATACATGGCTTTATGACCACAAAGGAAAGTGAGACAATTTCATAGACCAGTATGTTGTTCACTAGTTTCATGCACATTGAGGATAAAGTCGAGCCCAACTGTGGCTCCAGCAGATCTTAACACCATCAGACCTTTGCAGGAAGTTGATTTTCCGTCACTTTAATCCATCAACCGGAGGCCCTCTCTCAGGTGTAAAAGTCCAATATCCCACAGCTGCACTGCAAATAACTGAGGTATCTATCAGTCCCTCTCCCATACATATTTAATGTTGTTTGTACAACAATGATGACTTTATTCTATTTAAACGACATGCTTTACTGGGGCTTCAGTTTTAGAGAACAGAAACTGACGCAGCACGATCTATTCGGTGCATATCAGTTTATCCACATCGAAAGCAGAAATGTAAAAACCATTAATGGGTAACCATTTCAGTCACTTCAAAAAAATCTCAACGCTTGCCTATTAATCACATGAAATAGTGTGCTGTAAATACCAGCTCATTTTCAAATAGCTTGAGGTGATTTCCCATCGGTACGCTTTGGACTTTTTTCTCATCAGTTAGCAGGTTTTGAAACCAGATCAATGAAGCACACCAATTCAATAGATGGCTTTCTCTGCTTGTTCTCTATAAGAGGATTTGCCTTTAGTGTTGATTTTTCCGTATGATTCTGAGTTCACTGATCCAGGTTATTAGAACACAATGTAGGACATTACATACTTTAGACAAACACACAGTATCAGCGGCTAAATTTGAATGATTAGCACTGGCAACGTAGCATATGCCTGACTGGTTCAGATCAAAATATGTTGGTTTTTTATGTTCTCTCATAAAAGCCCCTTTCTATCACCTTTGATGTAACAGCTCATTAAGCCCAACAAAACCATGTCAATGCGAAATGACCCCATTAAGACTTGTCTCATTATCCACAGCCAGGGAACTGTCAGTGGGAGACAACATAAGAGGAGCTCTATATATAACCTCATCTTTGTGAATTAGCCAGACACCGATGCTGTGGCCATTATAACCTTTGTTGTCACTACCCTGACCAAAGAAGAAGAGCTGTAACAACAGCAGCGATGGCGATTAGAGACAGACAGATCCATTTCTGTGCTTCACTGTCTGTGTAAGTACTTGTGTGTCCATGTGTCTATGTGCCTCCTTGCCTATATGTGTGTGTGTGTTTTTCTGTAACATGACTGAGATCATCAGAGACAATGGCTGTTTTGTGCTTCTGCATCCTAAGTTGTAAAATGACGTAAAGGGAGGGAGCCAAACAAAGATAGATGTTTTCCTGCATCTAATTTCGATTTGTCGTGATGTTTTCTACACATTTTTCTGCACACCTCAGACCTGTTCATTTTCTGTTTCTTTTTGGAAAAAAAGACATTGAGATGGAAAATCAAAAATCACAGTGATTGGTTGCTCTGCAGCAGCGAAAGACAGGCACACTCAGTAATCACCACAGAAACAAGATTGATTAGTTCTCAGAGAGATAAATGGGAAGAATGGGGCTAAAGTGACATGTCAAATGAGATCCTCTCTTCATCAAAGTATCGTTTAAATGTAAATTTGTCTGCAGCGAAGCATACAGCATCAGCTTAATTCTGAAATTTTTGGATTGCACGAGCTGACAACAAAAGCTTTCCTATTTTGCCCCAGATAGTAGAGCTTTCAGCACACATCTCTCAGCACTTCCCACCCTCTGATTCAGTATGCATGGACGCATCAACTGTTACTAGTCCTGCAGTGGGAGTGCACCTTTGAATTGATATCAGATCCTTTGTCATTTTGTGGATGGTGTTGTCACTACCCGGAGCTTTGAAAAGCAGCTCTCCCTTACCCCGTCTATTTCCCTCTTTGAGATGCCTCGTATGCGAGCGTAGAAGTACAAGTGCTCTTCTCCAGTGAGCAGATTGTCCAGTGCATCCACCTGGGGACAGTAGCCGATGTTAATTCCCTTGTTACGGCATTCCATGATGTCTACCAATTGCCTGGGAGGGGAAAAAAGCAAAGGAAAGACATATTCTCTTAATTGGCATTCACCACATGGTGTAGGGCAGATGGACATGTATGGCTTTCCACTGGCCCTGCTGTTTGCAGTGTGCTGTGCTGGGGATACACACCAAACAGCTTAACGGCAGAGCTGTATCATGAGTCCAGTGGTTGTTTATACTGTATAGGAACATCTGAGATAAAGGTCTAAAGATTTAGTTACTACTTGCTAAATCCCAAACTATTAAGGTTCAGATTTTGGCTGATGCAAGGCAATAACAATCCCTCATTTGCAGTGTTGGGCAGTAACACATTACTAGTAACGCATTACTGTAATAATATTACTTTTCCCAGTTACTAAGTAGTGTAACTAATTACTTTTCTAAAACTGTAATATTATTACTAGTTACTAAGGCAAGTAACGCTGCGTGACTTGTTACTGAACGCACTGTCCTTGATGTAAATCCACGACTGTGCGACAGCTCAGCTGGAGCGGACTTTGTTGTTCATGTCCGCTGAGAGCCAAACTAAAGGAAGAATGGAGAACGAGGGGGAGAGGCGTTCCTTCCACAGCAGTAAGTAGCTGCTGCCATTATTGTGTACAGTAAGATGCAAAGAACATTGTCATCTAGTGTAAACTCTGTGCAACCAGCAAAAAGCTTTCAGCCGCGAACAATTCTACATCTGATTTATTGAAGCATCTGCTGAAGTAGCACAGCAATGTGAAACTTACAGAAAGAATCTCCGGCAGCTTCTGTCACTGATGCTTGGAGAGAGTGGCGTTAACGTAGCGTTTTGTAACTGCTGAATACTGCTCTTACAGCTGTTTAAATGTCGGGATTTACTTACTTTATTTTTTTATTTCAGCTGGTGGCGTCAAGAAACATAAGGCCTAGGCTATATGCTTTGTAAAAACCACACTCCTTGCTGCTGTTATGCATATGATGTTAGTTAAAAAGTCGGGGGAGACTACTTTGTTTGGGGGTGAAGGGGGTGGTAGGGAAAGCAGTGTTTCCCATAATTAGCCTATAATTTGGATAATTATCAACGCGGACCGCCACATATTGATTTTCCAAATTTTTACTAGCCGTATTTCAAATCACCCAGTAATAAGTAAAGTAATAATATTACTTTTTTAAGGAGTAATAAGTACAATACAATAAGTACAATAATACAATTCTGAGTAACTTGCCCAACACTGATCATATGTGAATGTTTATGTTATACAAATTTAATCTCGCTCAGTTTCATTAGACAGTGCATCTTGGGCAGCTATAAAAATAAAAATGATATCAAGGCTTCTATCATGTGCTCTATAGTGATTCTGAAATAATCTTCAGTTTGTAGGAATATATTTTAAGTATATAAATATTTATGTGATCTGGTGTATGTAGGAATGTGAAAGCAGAACCACGTAAAAAACAAACAGAAGGAAAAGCAAGAGGGCAAATATGGCCTGCAGCCAGTGACCATGAAGCAAACGTTAACCAATAAAAATCTAAATTCTGTTTTTTGAAAATCTTTTTTCTTTTACTGTACTAAGTAAACTCTGCTGCAGAAAACATAATGATAGTCTTACTCAAAAAGGTAAATGGCAATAATTCTTCAGTTTTTATTCTATCCTGAAGCAATTTTTTTTCAAGTTTGTATTTCAAACAAATAAATTCAGGAGGAGCTTACCCATTCCAGTCTCTGATCTGTGCTGTGCCATCAGTGGGGCTAACATCTCCAGTAAGCATCTTGAAGGTGGTAGTTTTTCCTGCTCCGTTTACTCCCAGCAGACCAAAGCACTGTAAGCAAACATTCCTTAGTGATCCTGAAGCATTTGTCTACTTTACAGTACTATAATACGATGGGCTTTTTCAAAGATTACACAGATGTAATGACGAGAGGGGTGTGATTTTAAGAAATATTGGACATCAACTATATATATTTATTTCTGGCATAAAAGTTAATTTATTTCCTATAGACAAATCCACCTGGAGCATTGCCTCCAGTACTGCAGAGACATAGTTGAACTAAATGCAATTTTACTGACAGTAAAAGCATAGATTGCAGATTGTTCCGTTATCTGAAGAATGAAGTTGGCCTATGAGATTGTGGATATTGTTCATCTTAAAGACTAGTATGAAATCAGTAAGAATATAGGCATATTTGAATGAAAGATTACATTTATCACTTATGACTGACCTCCACTGGATGAATGTGATGTTACTTAATCCTAACCAGCATAGAGTGTTTCAGCTTTGTATGTAAATATACACTTCCTGATTTTTTTATAGCAGCGAATAGTGCCTTCAAATCCCCAAATGTGTTTCCAGGTAGTTTAAAATCAACTGTGAACTGTGTTGAGATTCAAAACACCAACAGTGAGCTGTAATAAAAGTTAAATCTTTACTATTCCATTGTACAAAGTAACCAGTACCTATCTACAACATTATCCAACTGACTTTGATTGATTTAATTTGTATTAGTAATTCACATTCCTCCTAAGGCTTGGGTTTACCTCTCCTGCAGGGATGCCCACAGAGAGCTTCTTAACAGCATGGACCTTCTTCTTGAAGTGTTGATAGACTTTAGTGAGCTGGTTGACCTGCAGTATATCTGAGCTGGCGGCTCCACTGGACACCCGTAGTTGCTCAGCCGCCACATCCTCATCCTCGTCCTCGTCTGCACATGCCGCCTTGGGCACCGTCTTTCTGGCACAAATCAGATGCCTGCAAAGGGAAGAGTATTTATTTATTTTTTTACAATAACTCTTGTTAGGTGTTGAATTTAATGTGAGCAACTGGCAGAGACACAAAAAACACCCCCATGGATCTGTGATTGACTGAAACTTGTACCCTAAACTTTTTATTAAATATAAAAAGAGTTAGATAAATTTTTACCTGAAGTGGTTCAGGCGTCTTATACTGTATCTTCAGGGCTCAATATTTTTGAGTAATTTAACTTTTTATTGTTCTATAAATTACTTAAATGGATACATTTTCAAACCACTCATTTGTATATTCTCAGTTCAGCTGTGTTGTCTTTATAATATCCAGGAAAAAAACAATTGCAATTGATCTCAATTATGCATCCTGCATTCACAGAATATTCTCATTTAAATTACAAGGCTGAAGGTGTCCCACAGGACTTTATAATCATTCACAGCATCACCATGCTGTCTCTGGCTTCCGTTTCCCTCACCTGACTTTGCGTATGAGGAACCTGTTGAGCAGAAGGCGCAGGGTGAAGAAGAACAGGCCTTGGATGAAGGAGGAGATGAACATCCAGCCCAGGCCTTCTGTGGAGAACGGGTTCTGATAGGCGTCAATGCCGTAGCCACCGAGGATCTGGACCTCTATGTTTGTCCTGGCCAGTTGCAACATCCCGTTACCAAAGTTGAACTGGGGGAAGATGAGGAAGGCATGGCACAGCCTCTTAAAGATGTCCTGGCTGACCTGCAGGAGAAAAGGACAGAAGACGTTGGGTTGTTAGAGAAAAGGGAGGGGAAGAAGTGAGAATATAAAGTCTAAGGTGACCTGAGAGCTCATCCTGAATTGTAATCTTCACTTCCCTGTCACTGGATATGTAAGGCATGTTTGCCCTTCTCACTCCTCTGCAACTCTATATCACTACAGCTACAGGGACTGATTCAGTTTCATTCAGAAATGAATGAACAGTCATACATTAAAGTGTGCATTTAACTATGTCAGAGGTAGTCAGTTGCTAACAAAAGGCATCTGGACTTTATGCTTACCTCAATCTTGCGTATTGAAATTTGACCCATAAAGTACAGAACGGAGGTGGTCAAGATGGTGTTGACACTGATGAAGAGGTTGATGCACACATAGGTGATGAAGGCCATCTCTTCATCCTTGAAGACATCTGATAACAGATACATCCAGGGGAAGGTAGCAAACCTGAGGAATTGACAATGACAGGACACTTTCAACACAGCATGAAGGAAAAATAAATCCAGGCCTTAAAATAGCCTTGCTGTGATCAGGCTGGGTTGGATCCAAATACAGAAAACCCACAAAGACAAACACACACACACACATATATATATATATATATATATACAGTCCTCCCCAAAAATGTACCTTCTGAAATGACATGACCTTGCATTTTTTAACTGAAATGGTTCAGGCCTAAACAGAGCAGCTGTGAGCCTGATGAAAATAGACACCAAAGAATACTGAGAAGGGAAGGAGGAAAAATACCACACCATGAGGAGGGTAAACATTCAGTCACGATGCCAAAGTAGGGGAAGATAAATTACTTCTCCCTTTATTCCCCTGGTGGCAGAACATCCTTTTTTTTGTTCTCTCTTTTCTTTTCTTTTCTCTCACATAATCTGCTTGTTCATTTGATTGGGGTGTCTGGGTCAACGAGACACACACGGGGGGAAGGAGAGAGAAAAGAGAGAGTGAGAGAGAAAGAAGAAGAGAAAGAAGAAGAAAAAGTAGGGTGGGAAAAGAAAAAGCCAAACAGATAGAGCCAGACAGAGACAAAGCATCTGCGTGCCATGCCCAAAAAAGGTGCTTGGTAGGCAGACTGCGGGAGCCAAGCTATGACAACGAACAGAAGCAAGAAGGCTGCGGACCAGACCAGGTGGGTGCAGCCTGACAGATGGGGCGCCGTGATTATTCATTGCTTGGGAGGGAGACATCTGTCTGATAAATGAGAAGCAGAGTGCTGACTTGGCCTCCTAAGATCTAGGGCTCAGGATGAGGCCTGCAACAGCAACGTGAAACAGGAGACTAAGCTTCCGCTACAGTTGGGGAATGATGTAAATAATCTCAGTAATCCAGATGCGGGAAACATGGCTTGTCACTGGCTTGACACCTTTCTCATATTAAGATTGATTTTAAAACCTTGGTATCTCGAGAGAATAGCAAGCTAGTCTTTCTCACACCAAAGTCATTACTAACATATTGCCCCCCCCCCGCCCCCCCAATCTTTGGCTTCAATACATGTAGTGAATTTTCTATCAGCCTTTCAGTCCTACCACCATCTGTCTTTGCAAGCAATTCTGTAAAATTGAGCTGTGTTTACGTTTGAAGAACAGCAGACTCCATATGCTGTAAAGCCAACCTGGTGGCACACACTAACACGCAGCGGAGGCTAGAAAACACAGTGTATGTGAGGACATGCTTACAAAAATTCAGAAATCTTCAATTGATCAAATCACTTTGGCAAATCCTTAGCAAGAAACACATGGTCAGTTTGATCAAGGTCAGGTGATTAACAACACCGGCCGAGAAAATTCTAAAATGTGGCCATAAAAACGGCTAGCTGATGTTGAGGGTAGACAAGATGTTTTTCTTCACTTCGCTGTCATCCACCATATTTCCCTGATTCCATCACTCTAATAAGGTTAATTGTTGCTTACTTGGGGTTTGCATCTTGTGGTGAACTTGCCAACTCAGGTCAAGTTTTTATGCAACAAGTATAGACTCAATATGCTAATTTTTTCTTTACTAAAGGACAACTACAGATTATTACAGATATTACAATTTGGGCTTTCTGCCATCAGTTCTATTAGTTATAACAATTTACTAAACAAAGTAGTTGCTGGAATCTTGGAACACGGCGCCACTGTTAAAAACATGTCCAGTGGGGCAAGAAACACCAGCAGTCAGATGATCATACAGATTGAAAACAAACCTCCAGGTTAGTCAATTGAACGTAATCCATCAGTTTGTAGATCAACTTACTGGTTCAACTTTGGCTACTTGCAGTGGTTGTGTCATTGGGATTATTACTAACATTATTGATGCACATGCTCATAGTTTATACCAACAATATATAAGGACGTCTGTCCATGGACATTATAGCAGTCATTAGCTGCCTGAAAATAATGCGTCTTTGCTCCTCCTGTCCCTAAAGTCTCCCCTCCCTCACCGTAGGTCCTTTGTGTGATTGTATGTAAATATTAGTGCCGGGCAACAATTAAAAAATGTAATTGTGATTATCGCACGATTTTCTGCGATTAATCGAAATTAATTGCATAGTTATGCACAAAATTGAATAATGAATTCTAAAGTAGTATATTGCGCATTTTTTATTTAAATGTACTGCTATATACACAAAAGTGCAATAACGTGGTTTTTAAACATGTTAAACAAATAAGGTGCTTTTTATCAGCAGTATTCCCTTTCCATTTATTTCAGTAATTCCATTCAAAAAGTGAAACTTGGATATTATATTCATTCATTACACACAGACTGATATATTTCAGATGTTTATTTCATTTAATTGCGATGATTAAAACTGACAACTAATGAAAATACCAAATTCAGTATCTCTGAAAATTAGAATATTACTTAAGACCAATACAAAAACAGGATTTTTAGAAATGTTGCCCAACTGAAAAGTATGAACATGAAAAGTATGAGCATGTAAAGCACTCAATACTTAGTTGGGGCTCCTTTTGCCTGAATTACTGTAGCAATGCGGCGTGGCATGGAGTCGATCAGTCTGTGGCACTGCTCAGGTGATATGAGAGCCCAGGTTGCTCTGATAGTGGCCTTCAGCTCTTCTGCATTGTTGGGTTTGGCGTATCGCATCTTCCTCTTCACAATACCCCATAGATTTTCTATAGGGTTATGGTCAGGTGAGTTTGCTGGCCAATTAAGAACAGGGATACCATGGTCCTTAAACCAGGTACTGGTAGCTTTGGCACTGTGTGCAGGTGCCAAGTCCTGTTGGAAAATGAAATCTGCATCTCCATAAAGTTGGTCAGCATCAGGAAGCATGAAGTGCTCTAAAACTTCCTGGTAGACGGCTGCGTTGACCTTGGGCCTCAGAAAACACAGTGGACCAACACCAGCAGATGACATGGCACCCCAAACCATCACTGACTGTGGAAACTTTACACTGGACTTCAAGCAACGTGGATTCTGTGCCTCTCCTCTCTTCCTCCAGACTCTGGGACCTTGATTTCCAAAGGAAATGCAAATTTATTTTCATCAGAGAACATAACTTTGGACCACTCGGCAGCAGTCCAGTCCTTTTTGTCTTTAGCCCAGGCGAGACGCTTCTGACGCTGTGTCTTGTTCAAGAGTGGCTTGACACAAGGAATGTGACAGCTGAAATCCATGTCTTGCATACGTCTGTGCGTGGTGGTTCTTGAAGCACTGACTCCAGCTGCAGTCCACTCTTTGTGAATCTCCCCCACATTTTTGAATGGGTTTTGTTTCACAATCCTCTCCAGGGTCCGGTTATCCCTATTGCTTGTACCCTTTCTTCTACCATATGTTTTCCTTACCTTCGCCTCTCTATTAATGTGCTTGGACACAGAGCTCTGTGAACAGCCAGCCTCTTTAGCAATGACCTTTTGTGTCTTGCCCTCCTTGTGCAAGGTGTCAATGGTCATCTTTTGGACAGCTGTCAAGTCAGTAGTCTTCCCCCATGATTGTGTAGCCTACAGAACTAGACTGAGAGACCATTTAAAGGCCTTTGCAGGTGTTTTGAGTTAATTAGCTGATTAGAGTGTGGCACCAGGTGTCTTCAATATTGAACCTTTTCACAATATTCTAATTTTCTGAGATACTGATTTGGGGATTTTCATTAGTTGTCAGTTATTATCATCAAAATTAAAAGGAATGAACACTTGAAATATATCAGACATTATACGAGTTTCACTTTTTGAATGGAATTACTGAAATAAATCAACTTTTTGATGATATTCTAATTATATGACCAGCACCTGTATAAATCTGTTTTCTGAACAGGTATCAGCAGAAACATTTTTCTTTTATCAGGGAGCAGCATAAACAGTCTATGTTCAGTAGCAAATGTCGCTGTTAGAGTGAGGTGAAATGGTCGAGCACAAGGCGTAGTGACAAGTGGGCGCGTTCCTGTGAAACTGTCATCGTCATGCTTGCCTCACGCACACTTTTTGTACGCAACGCGCAGCACAAATCGTTGGAAGAGAGACTGATCCTCGCTGTTTGTGAGTTTCCAGAATCTATTACTGTTTACTAAATAGTTATCAGGATATCAACAGGAGGTAAATCGCATGGCAGAGCATCCCCACAAAACTAGATGTAGCCTAGGCTACCTATCAGGTAAAGTTACGTAGCCTACAATTTTAACTTGCTCCATTTACTGTGTGCTGAGTGCTTGTCTCCCAGTCTGTTCACCTGTGGAGCGCAGAGCAACCCCGCAGGGCCAAGTAACTATGTTGCGATTGTAAGAACGTTCCAAAGACCGACATCTTCCACAATCCTAATCAGCATGCATTGTGTAGCTATCCACTGCGCTATGCCATTTGATCGCTTGTCTTGCTTTTGTTTATCTACTTCTCCCACACGCTGCATCCAGCCTAGTCTGCTGAAGTCTCCCTCTGCTGCTTGTTTGGTTGGTGATTTGCAGGCTGATCAACATCCCACCCCTCCTGGGACCCATGGTTTTACTGTGTATTCACAGCCAGTGAGCAACAGACTTTCAAAATAATAATAATACTAAAACTAAAACTGCGTTAACGTAAGATGAAATAATTGTCTGCATTAATTAATTAATGTGTTAATGCAATAATAACTAATTTTTGGTCTTTGGGTGTGCATTTTAGTTCTGCTCTTATTTGGTTTTCTTAATCATGTGCCACCCAGGATAGGGAAAGGGAAGGGGGTAGAAAAAAATCACTGGACCCATTTTTAGCAATGTCATAATGTTTTAAAATATTAGCACTTGGTGAGAACAATGTTATCATAACTAATTAAACCAATCGTCAGAACTACAGGAATAAAACTGAAGATGTAATAGAACATTGTTTTCCTTATAAGGACCTGATTCATCGTCACATCCCTTTTGGTCAACACTGACTACGTTTACATGCTGTCAATATTCGGGTTTCTGAAACATTCGGGATAACCCGTTTACATGCGTGAGCAGAGAGAGTTACTCCTGTATACATGGAATTTGTAATCAATTGGCACTACCCCGATGTAAACAGCGACGCACGGTTAACGTCTGGACGTACGGACAACCTTATTTCCGATTCTTTCTAACTTTTCAGTCACCTTCTTGTAAATGTCAGTATCTCTGTACTTTCTACCGTCAACAAAAGACATTATATTCATGTTTTTGACAACATGAATTAAAAAATTGGTTTCCTCCTCGCTCCAGAAGTACAGTGCTGTGCTGCGTCTCGCCATGTTTACCTCGTTTACTTCCGTATACTGCACGCGGGTTTGGCGCATACAAGAAGTTCCTCTACTCAAAAGACCAAGATTCCTTGCGAATAGAACATGCGCAGAACACAAATCACTATGGGGATATGCCGATACGCGTTTACATGACCAAAAATTCGGGTTAGAAAAGGGGTACCCCAGGTATAATATCCCGGTTTTTAAAATCCGGGATATGAGCATATTCGGGTTTTTGCCGGTGTTTACATGGCCGTTCGCAACCGGGTTATTACTAATATCCTGGTTTTGAACGGGTTATTGGCTGCATGTAAACGCAGTGACTGTCATCAACAAAACAAGCCGGGCCAACAATGCCATAAACTGATGGTCGGTTATCAGCAGTAAATCAACGCCCTAACACCCCAGTGAATGTTGTATTAGACTGCACAACATGCACCGATGTTGTGAGGCCAAATTACTCACCCAAAGAGCACCAGCAGTAGGGCGACAGCACCCAAATTTTGCCGATCTGTGAATGCTGGAATCTGGAAGGCTGCGATCACGCCGACAGTCAAAGTCACAGGGATCAGATAGATGACCTGTGGAAAAAGATGGGACATGATGCAGCAACATGAAGGCATGTAATTTCATTGTAACCTCCATAAATAAGTTCTGGTTAGCATCCCCATTTAATATACATCATATGTTTACTTTTGTTTTGTGTTTTTTTACTTGACTTTGGACACACAAGGGTTCAACTACATGTAACCAGGTTAGTGAGATGTTCATGTAGGCGATGTTATTCATGTTAAAAGGTGTTACCATGTCATAAAAGAAGTTCACAGCCCAGTAAAGGGGCTCACTGATGCCAGCAATGTGCTGGAGCCTCTTGGAGCCGCTGTGGTGCTCCTTGACTTCATAGATGGCGAAGCTGGCTAGCGTGATTGAATAACCAGTCAGAACACACATAGCCACTAGGATCTGGAGCATTCCCTGGACACTGTGAGGGGAAATAAATTATTATTCAGACAACACTGACATTAATTATCAGTTGGCATTTAATAATAATGGATGGATGGTAAACAATTGTGTTGTATTCCTTTAGTTGTAACTTTTTTTCTGCATAGTGTACTAGTTACAGGTTTAAAGGCAACCTGGTGTCATTCTTTTCTGAATACAATGGCCCATTTTAAAGCCGTCTATCATATCGTTCCCTGCTGGGAACAGACTCATTTGAACTATTGAAATGGCTCACAATAATGGAATACCATTAATAACAAACAGCTTTGTTAAAAGAGATGCTTGTGGCTCGCCTCTGACAAGATAATAACTGCAAAAGAAACAGATGGCTTCATGTAGAGAACAACTTCACACAGCTATTGCTGTAAAGTCAGTAAGCCAGTGGTGCTGCTGTGAGGCTGCAGAGCCTTTTGTCCAGACTAGACCCCCAGACAGCCAGCTGAGGCTTTGATATCTGTTACTCGTCAACCAAGTGCACTCATTCAGACATTCTCAATGCCACTACCTGTTCATCTCCCATGCTATGAAGGAATTGTTCCTCTCTCCTCTGGCTGGGGCCACAACACCACTAACCAAACAGAATTAGCCATACAAGGCTGAAATAGAGGATTAGGAAGAAGCTGGCACAGATACCGAATGGGAAGAACAGCGAATAGCAGTAGAGGGACGTGTGGTAGACGTTTTAGGGCAACACTAACTACACAGGATTGCCAGCAGCAGAAGCTACTGAGCAGATCTGTTGACAGTATTTATTTTATTTGATCCTCTGGAACACACACACACCTTTGCATAGACTACATCGGTGCAAGCATTCATTCAGCTGTCTGGGTCTCTTAAAGCAGAATGTGGAGTATTTTAAATAAACTCATTTTGGGAAGTGGGGTAGAATCAATCCACCTCTGTGCCACCTTCAGGGTAAACACTCATTATATTGGGACTCTGATCAATAGTGCAAGCTCAAGGAAATCCATTTAGAAAATCAAATATGGGTAAATACTGCTGTCATGTATACCCTGCCCTGAGTCCACACTGACTTTGATGTGCTGAATTGACATTAGGATATTTCCATAATATATCTTGGGCTCAGCCGAACAACAGCCATCACCATGACTTGGACCAGTTTTAGGGATATTTTTACCGATTAGAATGCTAATTACAATATTTTCTGCAAGTGCAGCCACTGATAGTGTTGTCAGTTCAGCAGAAGGAAGAATTTAAAGCGCGGTCCTTACATTACATCTTCATCATCCACCCGGCCGAAGTAGGGGTGACTGGAAACTGAAATGGCTGTAATAGAAATAAACAGAGTATTATGTTAGCAATAGAAAAACAACAGCATACAGGCTATTTTTCAGCACATGAACCAAATGAGCGATGATATTCTCTTAGCCTGGGACACAGTCAATTGAAAAATATAGTGCAAGATGATTTCATTTGCCAGAGCACACAAAGGAAATTGAATTTTCTTTATCATTTTTCAGGGTCTCCTAGATGCTCACAGACATGAACTGCTCCCCTACATGTCTCTGCTTACATTTCCTGAGATAAGAGAGCGCAAGTTCACGCGAAGCCCAACAGCCCTGGAGCAGGTTGAGGCTCAGTGCCTTGCTCCCGGGCACTTTTGATGGAACTGATGGGTTCTATCGACTAATCCAAATCTAATCATTAACTCAACATATCTATTGCTGTGTCTGAGTGTTCCCAGAATTTGATTGTATCCTTTTTTCCTGACTACAGCTAAACTAACAGTTCTATTCATTATTGATCAGACGGCTGATTTCATGATTAATCAACAAATCATTTGGTCTGAAAAATGTCAAATGTTGCAATTTCTCAGAGCCCAAAATGGCGTATCCCAATTGCTTACTTTGTCTGACCAACAGTCTGAAACCAAATAATCATAGAAAACTACTGTTCACATTAGAGAAGCTGTATTGAACAATCAATTGATTGTTACATTTGTTGGTGACTTGATCAACTAATAGATTAATCGACTAAATTATGGGTCATGATTATTTTTAAAAGCACGAAGGTTTCTTTTCAATTCTTGTCTTCTAAAGGTGGTTTATTATTTTCTCTGGGGGATGGGCCAGACAGACTTCCAAAACAAAACATTGTTGCAGGTGAGAGTGATCTGAATTTCTAGTGTGACAGTGGACAGGGGTGTGATGGAACATTTGTGGCAGTGTGCTGTTATGGGTCAGATATCCTGCAAGAGCGGTATGATAAAAACAGTTTGATGCAGACCTCTAAAGGGGGTCCCAACCAACAGTTGGCACTACAGTACACAATGTGAGGATTAGGGCTTCACATTTGACAGATAAACCATCACCTTGAAAAGTAATCTCCCTGGATCTCCCTCACAACCCCCACCACAATTATGAGTTTGCAGGTAACATTTAAATGATAACACTCTAACCTTGAGCACCTTTGTCATCCAGTGTGGAAAAGAAATGTGTGTGTGTGCATGCACTTTCTATGTTCTTTATGAGCATTTATTCATGTATGTTTGTGTGTGTGTGTGCGCGCATGCACATGCTGGTGTACTCCTGCCGGCAGGCAGATGGTCAGGGTTATACTCAGAGCTGAAACAGTACTGAAAACGTTGGCCAGTCTCGTTCTCCTTAGCATATCTCCCCAGTGAACACCACTCATCAGTATTCACCATGCATAGTGGTGTGAGTCTAAGGACACACAGCACCCCCTGGCTTTAATCCAGTGAAATGAGCCATGAGTAAACACACTGTTTACTGCTCTCTTTATATTTAGTATACAAAATGCACTGGGTGTTCAATTAGTAGCACCTTCCCAGATAGATTTATTAGATCTATTTCACACAATTTCAGTCAAGTCTTATTTCAAAGTGTTGTGTCTCTGCATGAATAAAGGACAATCCTAGCAAAAATAATATTTATAGATGTTTTTTTAAATCATTAAGATATTGCAAAATAGGAGTAAACAGCAACAGGTGTATATTACCATGTAACACAGCAGTGATCTACTGTTATTGTGTTTGTATGTACATAAACTTTGATTAATTAAACTAAAAATATCTTTTGCCGTGCCTCTGAAGTTTTACATTTCCTTTTTTTTTTTTCCAGCACTAACCCCAGCTTACCATATCTACTTGGATCCTTGTCTGCTGGAAGATTGGAGCGTAGGATGAAGTTGTTGAGGCTGTTTAAGTATGCTGGCATTGTGTGGTAGCCCTCAGGGTTGAACCAGATCTAAACCCATGCAAGCACAAACACAGACATGCATACAAACCATCACTCACACCGCTATAGATCAGGCTATGCAAGTCTACTAAATCTCTACAATATACTTTCCAGTGTTTTGAAACCAAAGCTTTAAAGAGATAATAAAACACAGATGTCATCATCTGAGGAAATTTACACATTAAAACAGAGGCATATCATGTTTTCTAACTATTCATCAGTAGGGCAATTAATATGATAATGACACAGGTAGCAGGGAAGTAGGAGACAAAGTTACCTTAGACAGTGTACGGTTTTTGGGCACCGCTGTTAGGTCCATTTGTAAGTCAGAAGGGAGAGGCATGCCAAAATCAAAGCCACCATACCTGAAAAAAAACATATCGATCAAAACAAAGAGCTCAGAATGCCACTAAGAAACAAGATGTGTTTTTGCTTGCTTGGTTTTCTTTTAATCAAAGTGAATATCACCCTTCAGATGAGAAGCATTTTGGGTGAAAGCAAGAGTCTCCACCTTAAAAGTACAGCTAACACCATTGATAAGGTAACTAGTATTCCATTTGTATTAAGCAGAGCAACAAGGGAAACTGAAATTTTTTATTTTTAATCAACAAACAGTTATATTTCTGTACATTATGCACATTTCTGCATTGTTTTGTATTCAATCAACTTTATTTGTAACAGCAACATTGTCAGTTTTACCTCTTTAAAGCGTATATTATTTAAAATACTAAAGGGGGGGGGGGGCCTTAAATGGACATGTGGAGAATCACTACATTCTTCATTTGGGTCAATCTACTCTGAAGTAGTAAAGCAGAAAGAAATTGAGCACCATCCATTATTTGCAAACTATCTTAAACTATGTTAGCTCATCAAAATGAGGTAATTTCATGAAATGAAGTTCTGAAACGGGAAATAATATGTGACTTAACTACTTGGTCTGGAAATGTCACTTCATATATTTTATGCAATCAGAGTGTTGATTCACACACAGATTACAGCGCAATGAAGCACAGGGCTGGATTGTCAATGTGGCTTCATTAACCAAATGTACGCATTGGTTGCATTCACCTGTTCCTGATGAAGTCATTTGCCGTGGCCACCAGGTAGTTCTCCACATTGATTCCACTCAGGTTATACACAATCTGAGATGAAGGGATTTTCTTATGAGGGGGCTGGAAGTTGTCCTTGTCACAAATCTGCAGTGTACGGATGAGACAGACGCATTACATTTGCCCTTTTTTATACATGCATGCACATAAGCACAGGAAGACACGTGCAGAAACCCAGATGCATGAGAACACAAAAACTCACTTACACAGACACACACTGTTCACCGTGACCCAGTCTTACCTGTTCCTGACCGGTGCATTTACAGACACTAAATGGTTTAGAGCTGTTCCCACTGGAAGTCCAGTTGTTTGAGCTTGTTGTGCAGACCCTTAAAAAGAAACATTCACAAAGTGAACAGGTGGCTCAGTGAAATGATGGGAGTCTGCTGTGCGTGATAATGCCACAAGACTATCCCTAGACATACTCCAGAACACATCTTGAAACAGAGTTCATATGAAGGCCTGCATCAATGCTAAAAAACTGTGCACATATAGTGGCCAGAAGACAACAACAAAATATGCAGCCATTCTAGCTGTGATCTTGCATTATTTTTGTGAGATCAGGACTTAAATATTTTCTCTGACATCAGTTTAAAACTGTTTTCAGTTGCTGTTTAATATGTGATGTAATATCACATTGTGTTAAATTTGCTTGCATGGGTTGATATTCAACTCCCCCACATTTTGTTTTCTGCCAAACACCTTTAGGGACACTGATCAAAAAGAGATTGTAGCAATACACATGTCTCTGCAACATTTGCACACTCACATGCACACCTGTTACTTTAAATATAAATTAGTCAATTATGAACATGCTCAGACGACCATACAGTATAATTTCTATAAATGTAAACTACGTAAATGCAGCACTCAGCACCCTTTCAGTCGTTGTCACGTTGTGATTATAGTACATCACGAGCAAAACATGCAGTCTCTCTTGCACCATAGGATCTTTGATCCTCCCTCTCTATTCTTTTTTTTTTTAAAATGCCCCTAAGGTCTGGTTCATGACTGTCAACATTGATTTGAGTGCCTGTAAGGGGGAAAATCTCCCCTATAAACATAGGGTGTTTATGGAATACAAATGATTCTCTCACATCGTCCTGCTGCAGGCTTTCATCCACATACATTGAGTGGAGCAGCAGTAAAATAGAGAGGGGGGACATGAGAGAGACCACAGAGAGAGAGAGAGTAGCAGGAATTGGAGGGAGACAGACTAGTAAAATGAAACAAGGTGAAAGAGGAGGCATGGAAAGAATGACAATGAGTGAAATATGAAAACACTGTATGTGTGGAAAAGGGGTAGAATCCATTAAAAAACTGAGCACAGGCACCCAGAGTATCAATGACAAATTTATCATTTTCAGGGGGAAAAAAAGAAGCTAGTGTTTGTGGCGTGATTACGTACGGGTTATCGGACATGTCAAGGCAGGCATTATCGATTCCAGGGAATGACGTCAGGGTGTCCGCCAGCTGGCTGGAGCTGGGATTTTGATTGCTGTGGAGCCAGAAAACAGTCAGCCTCAACTCAAAGGTAACAGAACTTTCAGTGAGTTAAACCACAATTACTATATAATGAAGTAACAACAGGTTGTTTCAGGGTAGACATTTATCAAGGTTTTCTTAGTGGAGAAGGTGGTTTAAGAGCAATTTACAAACTCACAAATTGTCAATAAAATGACCATGGGGGCACAGGCAGTGATTCTAATGTAACATTCTTTACTGTGAGGAGCTAGACAGATAAAAGGAGAGTAAGGACATTCGATTTGTCGCTTTACATTTACATGTTTTCCCCTGCCTTTAAACACACACAGACATACACTCCTAAACATTCAGATCATTATATTTGCATCGTTCATACAAGCAAGTCTGAATATACAGTGCCCTGAGAAAGTGAAAGTCATAAAATGTGACATTCTACAATCTAGAGTTACAACAGGTGAAGAATGTAGCATCTTTGACCAGAAACTACCTGTAACATCCCTCAGCAACACCCAACCCTAGCACTGATCTCATTAACAATAAATAAATAATTTTTCAATCTCTTTTGTATATCAAGCTAAAGAGGAATGGGGAGAGCATCCATACGGTCTTTGATATGGATTGGCCCCTCAGCATTTTCACTCTTGCTATATATATGTATAACCTTGATCAAACAAGTGCACTTCAAGAATGGAGACATCTCGCAACCTCCTGACACTCTTAATCTCTCTCACTTTGATCTTGCATCTCAGCCGTCTTCATCACAATCATTTCTTTCCCTCACATTCACCCTCGCTCTGTCTCCTTAAGATCCGTCTGCCCTTCAACAAACTACAGCTTCAAATTCATTTTATAACAAGTGAGACGGGAGCCCAACAGGACAATCAAGTGAGGAGATGCATCAACCCTTCATTGAAGGCTGATGAAGGTTAGCAGTTCTGCTGTAGTTAGCAGCTCAGTTGTTTTGAAAATGTCATCTTTTACTATACTTAAGGACAAGCAGTATAAATTTTGTAACCAAGTCAAAGCATTGCCATTTTTTTATACGTGTATAAATCAAAACCAAATTATATCAATATTTGCTGGGATTAGGACTTTCTTAGGTATCTCGGTGTTATTTGTTGCCACCACTCTCTCAGCGGCATTGGTCTGACATTGCTAAATGAATTGAAGTAAAAGAGCAAAGCTTGAGAGTTCGATTGAGCCGCTCCAAACATGCTTGTTGTAAAAACACCCTGATTAGCCTTGTTGACTTCTGAGTACTCCCATCCCAGTGCTCCCTTGTATTTGGGGACTGACCTGAAGAAAGAGTAGCTTGGTGCGAAGTTGTAAAGCGCAGGGCTGAGGTCCAACTCAGGATAGTGCTGCAGGTCGTTCTTTATGGAGCCCAGGCCCATAGCAAACACAATAAACAGGACAGGAAGTAGGATCTGGGAGATCAGGCCCTTCCAGTCTCTGCGGCTGTGGTGGAACCTCTTGATCAGTATGGCTGCGATCTGCTGCCAGGCCAGGGACATGCCAGACATCATGGACGTACTGGTAAGCGCTAGAACACATGGGAGAAGAAAGAGAGAAAGGATTTGTACCAATGCACTTACTTTCTTTACTGATGTCTGCTTTCCATCTCTAAGGCACACTGAGCTAAAGGTCAACAGGTACACTGTATCACAAAAGATGGCAGTGCAATCCATCAAGATGAGTGTTCCAATTGCAGAAGTTTTTGAACTAGGTCAGCTGAAGTATTCTTCAAATATTTTAGGTTAATATTTGAATATAGAAAATCTAAAATAGAAAAAAAAATGTTTCAGCATAGTGGTGACCACAATAAACACTACTGTTGATGTCACAACACAAACGGCAGTTATTGTATGAATGCTTCAGTAGGGATTATATGAACTTTATGCATCCTTTTTGCTTGAATATATATTTTAATAATCAACTTTCAATGCTATCATTTTCATTGGATGTGATGTGTGCAGGCGACGAGAGAAAGGAGGGGTGGAAGGTAAAAGGGAAGGAGAGAATGAGGAGGGACACAGAAAGGAACGGGTGTGGTATAAGTGAGTGAACTCACTGATCCTGTCACCAAAGCTGGAGATGCTTCCACTGGAGTCTGAAGCGAAACTGTCAATGGATAAGGTGTCAGAAACCGTCTCCGAGATAGACAGGGGGTCATCCTCACTGTTTCCGTGAGTCAACTGGAGGAACACCTACACAGATAAAAACAATACTTTAGTGTCTGGGTATGTCAAAGAGCCTATCAGTTTCATTTATGCTTACATGTCAATATGATACGAACACTAGCACCACACCACATTATTACTTTAATTGCTGTTTAGCCCGTTTTCTGTTCTCTGTGTCTGCGATGTGAACTTGCAAATGGTAAATGGACTGTACTTATAAAGCTCCTTTCTCAAGCGCTTTACACAACATGTCACATTCATCCCATCACACACAATCATCGATGGCTGTGGCTGCCATGCAAGGTTCCAACTGCTCATCAGACGCTCACATTGGGATCAATTTGGGGTCACCGCTTATGTTGTTTGCAGGTCTGTGTGTATGAGCTTACCTCCTCTAGGCTGGTATCAGAGATGCCATAGCCCCCAAGCTGAAGGGCATCAAGGTTGGAGTCCAGTGCGGTCAGGAGGGAGCGGAATGAGGAGGCGTTGGATGAGGTGAAGGGGGGCAGTGAGTAGATCAAGTCACCCCCCTGAGCCTCCTTCAGTTGCGCTTCAGGTACATGAGCTTGGATGAAGTCCTTCAGATCAGCATTGTCAATCCGCTCAGATTCTAGGTTCTGTATCTGCAGATAGAAAAGTAGGAATAGATTATGTCATGCTTTATTTTCAAGATCACACAGATTAACTTAAAAGTATTATTTTTGCTCATATCTGACTTTTGTGACATGTTGAGTAATAAACGTTGCTGAAACACTTGAAGCGGAAAAAAAACACTTTGTGGCGTGAGCAGATACTCCATTAGTTATAAAATGTTGTTACTGCTTTTTCATTAATGCATTGTCCAAAAAAGTTACAAGTCGTCAAGCTGAGCTTTAAGGGTGAGAAAAACTTAGGAAACTGGCAACACATTTTGTTTGACACTGCCTGAGGGGTTTTTGGCACTGGGCACTACATAGAGAAGCCGTTTGACACGGCCTGAAACAGCCAAAATACAGAATACTGAAGGAAACCTTTGACCAAAATATGTAACTGGCATAAAGGGACACTATATAGTAAGACACTTTCATTGAACTAATTGGGCAAGACATCAAAAAATTGCTACATTAGGAACGCATTTGAAAATATAGTATGCTGAGAAACGTATGAGCCAGTTTGCAGCAGAGAATTATTTTTATTGGATTTAGCCCAGTTAGCAGTTTTGTCTATATATGTGATACAAATAACACTTTTACAAAATGTATTGTGCGCAGCTCAAGTGTCAAATTCTAGGATGCATTTACACATGTTCATGCGTGCACCTCCATCGTAGTGTATTGTGAAATGTTACTATTTATGCTGGTTGTATGGTGTCCAAGATGTGTCACTGATAGTAGAAAGTCTGAGTAAAATGCTTCAGTTGCTGTTACTTTCTCACTTCGAAGATAAAGGTTGTCGCCTACAATCACTCAACATTCGTTAAAGCTAAAATGTTAACAAGGAGCACTGGAACCAGTCGTCTACTGGGGAAATATGGATTATCTGACCAGAGAGAATGTTTAAAAAGGTCATATAAGATTTCCATAATAATTTCATGTTTTTTTATTTCATGCTGGAGGCCTGCGAGGATGAATACCTTCTTGGTGAGAGTGAGTTTGTAGCCCTGACCCAGCTTCTCTTTTAGGTAGAAGGGGGATCCGCAGCATTTTAACCCTCCTTTGTCTAGGAAGGTGATGCGGTCGCTCAGTACTTCAGCTTCATCCAGGTGGTGGGTGGACATGATGATGGTGCGATCTAAGAAGACACACATAAAACAATCTGCATTCTTTGCGTATGCATTATTATACCATTCTCTAACCTATATCAATAACAAAGCTAAAGGGAATTACACAAATACCCTGTGATTTAATGTGTGAAATGCACACGGTGAGATTATATTTATCAGCCAAGCTAGTCTGTAAAGCTTTGTAGGAGCTTCAAGGTTTTGAGAAGGGTAAAAGAACAACACAATATTTTGACGTCTTTTGGCATCTTGTCCTTTTTTTCTTATCCTAGTGAATACATGTCAGCCTGTGTGTAGCTGTCAACAGACACACAATCGCAACAACACACATGAAAATAAACAACCTAATTTTTTTTTTTTAAATTACAAAGACAAAGCCACACACAATCTGTGTCATGCGCATACAAATCATCAGAGAAAAAGGCGCGCAAACAACAAGCGATGCAGAAAGTTTATTTTGAAATAGATTCCCCTGGCACCAAATTCTCACATCTGCGACAGAGCCAATTACAGATATTCTCCACATCTACAATTATATAACATTTAGCAGTCTCACTGCTAATGCTGCTGCTGCTACCCTAAGAGAGCCTCAAGAAAAAATACTTCTGGATTTCTTTTAGAGTAATTATATGCTAAATTTAAAGTCAGACGCCTGAGCAGGGGAAAGCCCTCCAGGGTTGGCTCCAGGTTCACAGCACTTTTCTGTTCTTCTACTCCTCTTTCCCTCTTAGGGAATAGGGAGGTGGAGGCATCTTCAGTTGAAAACACTAGAGCGAGAGTTTGGATTGTCTGTGCTTTGTGAGTGTGTGCACTACAGAATGTGAATTTGAGTGTGTTGTACACTAATAATAACAAAACTATGACATCTGATGAACATGATGCAATGTGATTACACATTTACTGTGTAACTATTAAATATCACAGTGGTTCTTCATGGAAACCGCTTATACTGAATTGCTTCTGATGTTACATACTGCCTGGGTGTTACATATGTAAGTAAGTAAACTTTACTTCTATACCACCTTTAAAAACCCGAGTTACAAGGTGGTTCACAGGTACACACAAAATACAATACCATTAAATACAACAATAAGTTCGGGGGAACTGCCAAACATAGATAGATATAGATAGAGAAATAAAACAACATATAAAAGAACAACATAAAACCATTGGACAAATCCCAGCCAATACATGTGGGTTTTTAAAATGTGACGCAGAAAGAGAATGATTTGATGTGATGCTATGGGGGAGTCTGTTCCACAAAAGCATGAAGGACCTTTGTCTTAAGCCTGGACTGTGAAACGTCTCACAATATTTGGTTTGGGGTTTTGTTGCAGAATAAAGACTTACAAGATCAGAAATTTATAGCAGAGGCAAAGCATGGAGGGCTTGAAAAATAATCAACATAAGCCTGAAACAAGCAGCGAATGTGTTTGTCAGAAGTTTTTGCTTCATTACTGTAGACGGGAAATTTCTGCATAATTGAGGCAAGTCAATAATGAATTGCAGTAGTAAATGTGAGAGGAAAAGAGGGCGTGAATGAGTTGCTCGCTTGTTGGGAGGCACTGGTTTGATTCCCAATATTTCTGATTTATATTAATACTGTACATCTTAACTTCCAGGTTTCTGGCTGAATGTTTTTAAGTTAGTCGTTAGTTGGGGGGGTTGATACTGTTTATGATATATGATCAGGACACATTACCAGGACCGGTATTCTTTTGCAGGAAGAGAGACAGACAGAGGCCATCTAGTCTTTGATGCCAACAAGTCAGCAGTGCAGGAAATAAAAATTTTTACGATTTTCAGGACTAAACAAGACATTTGACTGGGTGTCAATGAACAAAGTTGGCTCATGTATCGAGCCTTGCGGGGACCCACATGACATAAAAGGAGAGAATGCTTTGCTCGATTTGTTCAGGCCTCTTTTCTTCTTCTTCTGCTATTTCTTCCTGTTCTTCTTACCAGTATTATTACCATTATTATAAGTGGTAACAGTAACAGTAGTAGTAATAGTAATAATAGCAGTAGTATTAGCTGTAATTTGAATTCTAATGGAGAATTTGTTAACACACATTAACAGGAATGCCTTGTAGTGTTCATGTGTGTGTGTGTGTGTGTGTGTGTGTGTGTGCATGTGTTTGAGAGACTCACGTTTCTTCTGCTGGATAACAATATCCCAGATGCTGCGCCTGGAGCAGGGATCAACTCCTGTGGAGGGTTCATCCAGTACCACCAAGCGAGAGCCCCCTATGAAGGCGATGGAGATTGACAGCTTGCGCTTCATGCCGCCCGACAGGGTGCCCACCCGCTTGTGTCTGTGAAGGTACATGCCTGTCTCCTCTAGGATCCTGGCAGGGGAGTCAAAGAAAAGCTTTTAACATGGAGCTCATGTTAACATACTTTTTTTTTATTTGCATTACAACCAGGTTTCTGAGTTAGAGTTCCATCAGTTACCCAGCAGGGCTTTCTGAACTACAGGAACTGGAAGAGAGATACAGTTTCTTGCCTTTAGGTTCAGGCTTATTACTGATCTACTTGTCATGCAGGAACCTTCCAGAAGAAGTCTTATGATTCAGCTGGGGTTCAGCCCATAGTTTAATGATGACAAAGAATGAAAAATGACTTTTATGATGCTTGGTTCCATAAGCTTATCCAAGAAGACGCAAAGAAAAAAAAAAAGAGATAAAATCAAATATTATTAAATTCTTATAGAAAATGTGAGCTTGAAACAGGAAAAAAGCTTAGCATGCTCAGAGAACAACAGCATTCGCTGCTATGGCTGTAGAAGTATCTGATACATTTCACTCTTGAGATACTCAAGTGAGATACTTCAAGGATAGCCAGTGCAACAATTATTTTGTCTTTATGAGAGATTAGAATTCTTGCACCAAGGCCTAGAGATACCTGTAAATCTGTTTGACTACAACCAAACCTGAAAATTACTTGCTAGTCATTGGCTACTACACACTGTTCAAGTCTCTTCACCCCTACCCATATTTCCTTTTTAAAGGCGAAACATGCCATTGACATAGCTAAAGATAATAGATCACTCACGTGCGGACTTGTTCATGCAGTTCCCTCTGTGACCAGTGTGGGGCCTTGATCTGGCCGTACAGCAGCAGGTGCTCCTTGGTGGTCATGTGGTCAAAGAGGACGTCATATTGCATGCACACCCCTAGCTCTTGGCGAATGTCATCGATGTTGGTCTGCATGTCTCGGCCGTAGACCTCGATGGTGCCCGAAGATGGGGCGAAAAGGCCAGTCAGGAGAGACCTAAGCACATCAAAGTCATCTCAACATGAGTGACAATACTGAATTGACAGATTTATAAAGTGATCATATTATTTATGTTATATAACAGTATTTTTTTTTATTATTGTTATTCTGTTTCACAATTGGGAAAAAGTTTTATATATGTGTGTATATATATTATATACATATATACATATATATATATAAAAGGCATAATTTTTTTGTACGTTCTCCCCAGCACGTTCCTTTTAAATTATATATTATAGGTCATGAAATCCTGTCTTTTTAACGCTGTTGAATCTTATTCTGCTGCTGCATTCATTGTGCAGTGCTCTGGATAAGGCCATCAGCAAAATTAGTCGCATTTAAAATGTAAATGTAAGTACTCCAGTTGATGAAGACCCGTCAGGCTAATCTCTACCACGGTGCATTTGCTGTGCCAGATTTGGACAAAACAATCTCCCTGTCAGCAGCAGAACCTTGAGATGATTAAAGTGATGCACAAATCTAATTTAAAAGACACTGCATACCGTATACGAATGGTCAAAAGGAATTTGTATTTATATTAAGAGATGTTGATACAGTGAAAAAATTGTGCACATACATGGTGGTGGTCTTGCCAGCTCCATTGGGACCAAGCAGTGAGGTGACATGGCCCTCGTAGAAGGAAACATTAAGATTGTCAATAGCTAGTCGTTGGCCATAGTTCTTGCTGAGACCATGCAGGGCAACGCCCACCGGGAGCTCTGAGAAATCCTCACCGGCCTGAGAGGAAAGAGTGCTCTGACCTGAGAGAAACATGGAGACAGATGCAACCTGTAAATCAAACTAAGAGGGGACAGTAGTTTAATGAAGAGTGAGGGGGAAATAAATAAATATATATATATTACATATATACAACATCGGAGGAGACAGCACTGCTTATTGTTATCTGCCGCAGGATAGGACAATGTAATTTCTTTCTGTACCTTTTCCCTTGTCGTCAGAGAAGACAGGCTGGTTTTTCTGCATGATGTTGGTAAAGAGGAGCCCTCTGCTCGTCTTACTGTTTGACTTAACGCAACAGCACAGGTTGGCCCAGAAGGAGGCTTGGAATGGGAAGTACCATGGGGAAGAGATACCGTACTTTCCTGAAGGGTAAAAAAGAACCAAAGACTTAATATTAAAACTCTATTTAGAGACAAGTTTACCAAGCAATTCATAAAATGCTGTATTTGCTTCAACTAGAGGTTGTTAACACCATGATATTTAAGAGTACACTCTAAATTCATCATGCATGTAAAACAACAAACTATTTAAATTGCTCAAGAGTTATCCCTCAATTAATCAGCACAGAATGCTAGCATTATGCTGCCTTTATTCCCAATACATTACAAACAAAGCTTGAGTGCACACATTTAGTTCAAAAGTCAGCAATGCTAATGTTATCATGCTAATGCCAATACTGTTATGCTAATGCTAGCACTGCCAATGAACTTCAACAGCAGCGCACCGGGAAAAAAAAATAAGAACATGGATAGGCTAGCAAAAGCAGAAAATTCTGATATTACAGTCTTAGTTTAAGGACTCCGTGACTAAAGATAAGTCTGCTTGAGTTTTAAAAGGCTATGATTTTACAGTTCACCTGGGAAGACCATGCGGATATAAGCCCCAATTAAGAAATAGAGGATGGAGTCGATGAGCATCAGCCAGCACAGCCAACCGAACGAAGCTGTGTCTTCAGCAATGGGTGAGGTGTATGAGTTGCTCCAATTAATGCCTAACAAAGTCAACAAACAAAATGTTTTATATTGCTTCCCACAGACTTCAGTGGCTTGTATGTCAGAGATCTTATTTGATGCAAGTCAGATGTCTACATGCGCATACCTTCTCCTTGGGACTCGTATCGAGAGACATATTGACTGGCATAACTAAAACAAGTCGGGGCAAACAAACTCTGTAGAAAAATGAGAGGCAAATTAAGACAGGATACAGAAAGAGAAAAAGAAAAGAATAAAAATATAGCTTCTTTTTTCTTTCTGAAATTCCTCTCTTCTTGACAACTTTGAGCAATATGAATTGATATGAAAAGTTGTTCAAGACAAACAAGGCTTTGGATGTATGCAGTAATGTTACGTTAGATGATTGTCTGACCTCCATTTAATGATGATCACACATCAACCTCCAAAATAAAATATGAAATCTGCCTTATTTTCAGAAAAAAGATATATTACGTAAATGTGCACAATTTATGTCAGCACAGGAAGGCAGGAAAACTGCTCTGCAAACAGCAAAATGTGTTTACCCTCCACTTCATCTCTAGTTGTACGTCAAAATGAAAAATAAAACCTCACAATAGAAAACAACCGGAGGCAAAAGCCACTGTTTATTCTGGCATTTTCATAAAGTAACTGGCATTTTTGAGGCTGCACTAATATAATTTGATTGATAATCTTAATAAAATTGTTTTCTAAGAAGGATAGAGTAAATAACATTTTGGAATAACGAAATGACAAGTCATTACACATATCACAGCACTACTACTACTTTAATATACATGAGTTGTGACAGAGGAGGTTCAGAGGTTCCTCACCAGGGCGCTCTTCTGGGAAAAGGTGAGACGTGTCTCAACGGCCAAGACCACAATGAAGGGGAAGAAGCAGAGGACATAAAGGAGGCTGCCACTAAGACCGGCAATGTAGGTCTTGTCAAAGAAGGAGCTGACCAGGTAACTGAAGGCCAGGATGCTCAAACCATAGTCGCAGAGGTACAAGAAAAGGAGGAAGCCATCACTGTTGGGCAAGATCCTGCCGTACTTCAAAATCAGTGTGAGGATGAAGATGGTAAACACCATGTAGGAGGCACACTCCAGGAACCAAGCAAAGAAGTGGCTGACCGGGTTGACTCCCATCATTTTCATGTACTGTGGGAAAAGCAAGAATAGCAATGGAGGGGAATACATGGAAATGTCAGTTAAGAATACAGTTTCTGTGCTTGCTTGCCACTGGTACTTCTGAATGTTTACAGCAGAGAAGAAACCTGGAGGTACTATGGGAGGAAGAATCAATTTAACATTTGTTGTTGTATTCAAAACTCAGAGAGGAAGGCTCATCACACTGTCGACTTTTCATTAGAAACAATCTGGATTTGTCTGTGAATGTGAAAGTTACTTTTTAGAGAAAAAAAAACCCAGACAGTATTATAACAGGACATCTTGGGAAACAAGAAGTCAGCGTTCAGTGCAGAAACACAGTGGCAGGTTTGATCATTTTTAAAGTGAAAAAAAAAAATCACCTCATGCAGCCTCAGCTCTCTCTCATGCACCAGTTTCTTCACAAAGTCAGCCACGAACAGCACCCAGGCCAACATCAGCATGATTGGGAAGACAAAAGAGATGGCCTCCAGGTACCTGAGGAATACAGAGATGCAAACTGTCAGTCAAATTTCTAGAAACCAAACATCCAATCACTGTCAACAACAGCAGATGAAAAGCCCTATCATTCAGTCACTGGCTTGACAGAGATGCAGGGATGCAGAGTAGGAGAGCAATATTGAAGGAGTGTTTGGGAATTTTTGACAGCCATGTTCTGATCCTCTTATTATTTACGCAAAATAAATGCCTCTCTGTTTGATTTGTTTTGGCCTCATCATATCTGGAGCTTGATACATAGGAATTTAGTGCTTGCTGTTTTTCACAGCTATATTTCACAGTTATCATGTCAGAAATTGTGTTGTTGAGTAATAAATCAGAGCGACGGAGAGGCGAGGATCATCATATCTTATAGTTGGTCCAAAGGCAGCCAGCCAGAGACAGCAGCCCGCTGGTGCTTCTTAGATGAGATATCAGCAGTGTCTTAAGACGTACTCGAGGGCAAGTGCAAACATAGGCATTGCGCTCAAGCATGATTTATTGGAAACAATACAATATATCAAAGCACAAGTTGATACCAAACCCATATTGGGTTGGATATATACTGTATTACAGAGATGAGTGGTCATCTATGTGGATGGTTATTAAAAGCATATATGTGTGTATATGTGTGTATGGTCTTCAAAAATGAAAGCACAATAATAGTGAATATTCATACACATGGTGCTTTGCCAATTAAAATGTGAAAGGCTCCTGTGAGAGACTACTTACTGTCAGTCCCAAGTGGCAAATGAATAATGAGAGAGCATGCATTAATGCACATCGATGCTTGTACATCCACTCAGAGTTACTATGTGTCCTTTTACAATTTTATGCATGCGTCTGTATAAAAGCATGTTGATACCGTATGTGTGTGTGTGTGTATGTGAGTATGCAACCATGCATTCAGGGGACTCACTCATCCCGGGGGAAGCAGGGATAAGGGAAGGGCTGCAGCTGGACAGCCGTCTCTGGGACCTTCTGTCCGGTTTGGGTCTCAATGATGGCTCGGTCAATGTTCTCCTGCAGGTAGACAAAGCCCCGGTTGTAGCGCATCGTCTGACTACCCGAGATGTATGTCTTCCTCACAAAATAGGGGTCCCGGACTCTGTCAGTACGCATGACGTTGTCCATGTGCATGCGGATAGTGTAGCTGACTTTGGGAGGCAGGGGGGATGTGGGGGAGGAAGACCTGGCCTGACGCTTCCTGGATGAGTTGTCGTCATTGGGAAGCTTGAAGATGACACCTTTAAACACATATTGCACTATTGCATCACTGCACACAGTTCATAGACTAAATCTTAAGTTCCTTGCCAGACAAGTCAGATCTCCTGTTTGCATCCTCACCTCAACTAATTATCAACAGAGAAGACCACCCTTTAGAGGAGGCAATATAGATTAAAGACACTGTAAATGAGTAAAATGAGTCTGTCTGATGAGGTGGATGCTTAATGTACCTTTAAAGCTGCCAGCCTCTGTCACAGGATGTTGTGTTATCATATCCACAAGCTCTCATACAGACACAAGTCCAGAAAGAGTAGCAGATTACTGCACAGTGAAAGGCAAATTAACAACCTCGCTAGTTGTAAAACTGGGCTGGAGTCTATTGTTATGTGTAAAAAAAGACCTAATGGCTAATCTACTGGACTTCCCGCTGTTATAAGGAGAAATATGAATCAATATCATAAAACTTTTTCAAATAGCTGTATTACAGTGGGCTAAGTGAATAAGGATAACACACATATGATTCGGCTGTTAGCAAAATGGGCCAAAATCAACATTCACAGTTGCTGCAACGTCCAGTGAACCTAGATGATTAAATGAGTCCGTTACACCCAATATTTACTCACTTGCGTAGAGATCACGGTTTATGGCAAGGTCATGAGCTACCGCATCGAGCTGGTCGGTGGAGTTGTAGCCGGTGTAGCGGTCAAACTTGATACAGGAGGAGAGGTCCACCATTAGGGTGGACAAGGTGGTGATCTGATTCATTATGTGCTGGTTCTTCTCCAGCATAAGCGTCATGTTAGCTTTAGGGGGAAAAAAGACATTTTTAAATTTACTGACAGGGTAAAAGCAACTCTGCAAGTGCAGTTTTAGCTTTGATTGTTATAAAAAGTAAAATAATGACGTGCTGAGTCTGTTTAGTACCATGCCTTGTTACGTTATATGTTAACTAAGATAAACATGTGGTCTGACAAGACAAGGTAATCTAATTAAATAACTGTATGTCAAAGTCAGACCTTGTGGAAAAAATGACTGACATGCATAATTACATCAAGGAGAGACGACCCTTGCTTCCTGTAAACTTAAGGAGCAGACCCATTTTCCGATAACGCACACGTTTTACAGGCAATAAGTGAGGGAGGAATCTAAAGGTAAGCTTGGATTCTGCAGCTTACAAAAGTAAGACCTTCAAACGCTCACTCACAGAAGTTGCTGAGCGTCTCCTTCATTCTGTCGACATTGATGTCTGTCTGCATCTCAATGAAATTCTTCACAAAGGAATTGCTGAGGGAATTCTGACAGGAGGGGAGGGAGAGTGGAAGAGACGATGCACAACATCAAGATTCAGCTGTTGAAACTCAGTGAAGACCACTGCAAAGTTTATCTCTAGACGTACAGACAACAGCAAGCCTGCTAGAATAATCAGATATAAGGATATGCAGTTATGAGTTTTCATACCTGCAGCATTGGCAACGTGAGGCTGAGTATTTTGGCATAGTTTATGATGTAGTTGGAGGATTCAATCCAGTCCTCGGAGTTCTTCCTCAGATTTGCAAACTCCTGCAAGGTGGCATTGGCCTGAAGAAGAACAGGACAAGGACAAGAACACGTGAAATGACTGAATCAGCAAGATTTCCTAACTTGCTGTGTTTGTGTATATATATGTGTGTGTGTTTGTGTTTAGCTGTTTGAGTCTGTGAAGGTGGCAGTGAAAACATCCTGAAAAACAGAACCACAGCAGAAGATGGTGGTGCATACAAATGCGTGCACCCCCGTCAACTCTGTATTTCTTGTGTGGCAGTCTGGAGTGTATGAACACTAAAAAGGTAACTATCACATTAAATAGTTAGAAACAGCAGCGACAAAAACTTCCCGTAAAAGAGTGACAAAGTCAGATGAGGGATTTCAGAGGATTTAGACCACAAAGGTCATAAAGGTCATGATGCTGCTAACCCCTAGACAAGCTCTCTGTGACATGAGTTGACAAACAAAGGACATGAATCCAACAAGATCATGATCATTTTCACAGACTGTAGACAGGTGAGTTAATAAATTTTCTACCTTAGCCAGCTCACCTGCGCAATACAGTCAGTCACCAATGTAGTAGTTTGTGTGTGGGAGGTCTAAAGGGTAGAGCTGGTAACATGCATGTGTTCATTTATGCTGTGTGTATACCTTCTCCATTATGGCCCTGGTGACGGGTGTGTCAGGAGTGTAAAGAATTTGTCCCATTAGCATTGGTTTGAGGAAGGCCCAGGCGATGGCTCCTCCTGTGGTATTGACCATGTCCAGGTACATATTCATGCAGAATGGAGCTACACAAAGAAATAAGATTAATACTGTATTCACAAGGGTGAAATGTCTTATTTGTCCAACAAACGAGTTTGATATTTATTCTTAATGATTTCTAACTTCACAGTGTTCTGTTTATCGCTAAAACTACTGTGTTATCTTTAAAAGGTTCACAAATATGTAGGTCCAGCAATACTTGATGAAAAGTTGTCAGTTTTGTTATTTTTGTGCGATTTGCTGATGAGAAAAATATCATATATAAGGTCTTATCTTTTAAGTCAGATTCCTTTATGAATTGGGAAGTGAGCTAACTAAACATCTTCCAGGAGTCTTGTGGGAGCGAAGTTGGTAAAAAATGTTTAGCCATGACATGATGTGATTTTCTATTTCACATTAGAGTTTTGAATTTCCACTTTATGTGGGCAGTGTCAAAAGGTGTTCATAAAATGTCTCTGTTGATTTCTTTCTTTTTGATTGTGTCAATCTTGAAGCTGCTTTAACTACTTTAATAAAGATAACCTAACATAATACTATAATATTAATACACAGTATGAATGTTTGTGATGACAAAGGAATCCCATGAAAAACTATCAAGACCACAAGTGTTACAAACGGTGACTGTACTGACAATTTCATTCAGTTTGCAAAAGCCCCATATCTGTCATCCCCCCAACATACTGGCATTTTGTGGAATCTTGAACCTCTCGATCATCTCCTGCTGCTGGTTGTTGGGGAAGGAGATGTTCGCCTCCGCCATGGCAGGCAGCTTGGAAATTCCAAACAGAGCCATGATGCCATTACTGCACAACGCTCGTGATAAGGTGACGAATGTAGCTTTGCTAGACATTCTGGTCCTTTGTCCTCTCGTCATCTGGGGAAAAACAGAAATTGAAACTTTTAATACTTTATGATTTTCATGTATTCAAAATTGATTATATAATGATGATTATTAACAAATACACACAGGAGTAAATTGTGGGTACAGTACAGTAGATACGCACTTGGCTAAATTCGTTGTTTGCATTCAGGTTGAGGTCTCTGACTGAGAGCAGGTAGTTTTGCAGCTTAGAAATGACAGGAACAATCTTTCCCATCTTGTTGGTTAAACCCTGAACCATTTGAAGCAAAAATCCCACCAAGCTCTGCAGCTCTTCAGACAACACCATCTGAAAGAAAGGGAGCAAAATTCAAACATGTTTCTAGTGTTTTATTCTTTTCTTCTATAGTTTTTACATTTAACAAATGCATTCAACACTTTTCATGTTTCCAGGGACCATATTCCTTATATGTCTTGTATTGCAGATCTTCTTCTTCTTAAGTTAGATAGGTTGTGTGGCAGCTAAGAGCTCTTTCAACCTAAAATTCATTAGAATGAAAGGCCATTGAAAAATGATATTATAACAATATGTCTGAAAAGTTTCACAACATTGGAAAGTTATGGTTTTGCTTTTCAGCATATTGCAGAATCTATCACTTTCCCCCCGTGTTGCTACTTTATTTTCATCTCTCAGTCTAGACTGAAATAATTTGGTACAGTCAAAGCAAAAAGATAAATAATAGCAAGAAGTATTAGCTTACATGTTAGGCAGCAACAAATGTCTTTTGGTCAATTATTTAGGCTATTATTATTACATAGCCTATCTTTGTTGGTCAAATACTTTCCAGTTATTTTTACACTTTTAGAGCACAGGGGAAATTCTTCCCAACCTTCAACAAAGCACTTAAAGGCTGTATCTGAGATCTGCAAACATCAGTCTCTATTATCTATGCTCTGAAACTATATACTGCCTTTTTTAACTCATACCAGGTAGTTAGTCAGTAAAACGCTCTGTGAAACTATGTTATGGAAAATTCAATCATCTGCAACACATAAAACATTCACCTCGACATGCCAGTGACGAATATAGCTTTTTTTACAGGCTTCAGTTTCTCATGTCTGCTCAGTACTTGTAAAAATGTATAAATGTTATTGTTAAACTTTCATCAAATGATTTTTTGTCCACAAGGCGGAGCGGAAACAATGTGTAAACACAACACTGACATACAGTTGGCTATTATCACCTTACAGCTAATAAGGCTAAACAGTTTATTTACACATCCAGCAGACACACCAGGAGAATGTAAATCCAATACAGGCTCTCAGCCTCTTGAGCAGCTAAACGCTACATTACATACACTAGCTAGCCGCTAACTTTGTCTATCTGCCACTGATTGGTTTGTGAGAGCTTTTACACCTGCCTCCTACGTTTATAAACTACTCTGAGGAGAGCGTTTAAGTGAACTATAACAGTAAAGCTGCAGACCTAGAAGCCGAAACAATGAGTTTAACAGCTTAAAGTCATAGTCATTTGATCCATTGTTATCAATAAACACTGGAGCAGCTTTAAAGCTGGGAAACAGTCAATTGGTAATGAAGGGTAAAAAATATTTGTTGCATTGAATTTATGTTTAGTTTTATGTGCTGTCCAACATTAGTGGAAAAAAAGCAACTTGAAAAGTGAAGTACAAATGTATTAAACAGACACTATTTAAGAGTTTCAACTGCAGAATGACTGATGGATTCCACACATGCATGTGTGTAGCTACTCGTTATACTCGTTGTTTCAGGTTACTTGCCACCCCTAGATGCCATTAGTAAACAGTGCTCCCTGCAAGTAGAAGTATGTACATCTATAGGTCTTTGAATTTTGATGTATCAAGAGTTAAGAGAAGAGCTTTGTCGAGTGAACAAATATTTTCTTGAACAAAAGCATTTCTCTCTGACTCACATGTTCCTCAAACAAACACACCGTAGCATCAAACAGGTTTTGCGACTGCCCAACAGAAACGATTTCTGGGTCTATTCAGCCATTACAAAAGAATGCGCAATCTACAAAATTCTCACATTCTGGTGTTTTTACAAATGAAGAAAAAAGCATTCCCTTCAGATGAAAGAGTAGCATGTTATTTTTCTTTTGAAAATTCAGCCTTACTCTGTATATGACTTTCTCTGTGTTGAGATGGCGAGCCATCAGCAGTGTCAAGCTGTACCACTGTTCAGCAGACATGTTGCAGAAGGTTTTTAAGATGACATCTGTCTCGTTCATGTCCTCGAATGATGGTGAGTTGGAGTGACGCAGGTTGACCAACCACGACAGGATCTGTTTCAAATGCATAAAGGGAGCATGAAAACAGTTACTACCGGAAACAGAAGCACAGGAGAAGGCACATCCTCCACAAAACTACAGAAAGGTATGAACATTATCAATACTGCATTTACATCACCAATACCAGTTTCCTACTTTCAAACTGTTCACCTGAGGCTTTACATGATAAATGGGCTTCCAAATCTCTGTTCTTGTGTTGCATTTTGGAACCTGCTGGGTATAATTTCTTCTCCATTTAGTGAAAACAACATGTAACATGTGAGGGGACAAGTTGGTTTTGCTGCTCTGAAAGCTTGGCAAGAATGTGGCTCAATCAAACACACATGCTGAGACAATGGTGAAGATTTAAGTTTCATGTAGTGTTGTTATTTTATTCATTCACATTGTAATATGCAGACAGTAATGTGTTAATACCAACTGCCAACTCTTTAAAGGATTTTCTGTGTGACCCGCAACATAATCTGCAGTGTGCTAGTAAATGACAGCGTTTTATTCCACTAAATCATGTCTGCTCTAGAGAAATGGTCCGTGTACAGTAGCCTGCCACTGAGTGTTTCTGATTAGGCTTGCAATCCAGTATCCATTGTACTGTAAAGACAAGTGTTTAATTTGTTTTTGCCTGATTGATACGGTATTAAATAAAACAAGCTCGCTTTACTAAACGCAACTTGGTGCCATTAGCTGAAAGTTCAAAGTGAAGTTAAATAGGCTGCACACTAGGCCTAGTGAAAAAACTATAAAATGATGCCAGTCCACCTAACATGCTAATTAATAAAGGGAAACATGGCATAGATTTCAGAGTGCTGAAGTACTTCTCTTTAAGAGAACAGGCCTGCTGAGTGCAACATTCTGCAAACACACCTGGAAAACCACGAGTTATGACAACATGAACCTTGTTCCACATTGTCTGCTGAAGAATGTAATGTCGTGGTTTCTCTGCAACATTGCAGATTGAGCGTTACAGTGTGTCCTCAAAGTCAGTGAGGTAGTGATTAAACGTTTGCTTGAACACTCTACTAAGGATGTCCCTGGCTCACCACTAAACTGTTGTTTGGTAGAGTGGTTTCCATCAGGAGGTTGAGAGCAGCTAGATCAAGATTCATGTGTCGCTGAACGTCCTCAGCGAAGGCTGTTTTATTCCTTAGCATCTCGCTGACCGTCACAGCTCCTGGGAAATAAAGTGTTATACAGTAAGTGCTAGTTGAAAAGTATATTTTTTATAATGACATTGATACAACGTATTGTTTTTTTGTATAGAATGTATATTTACTTCCACTTCAATAATGGTGGAAGCTATACAAAAACAGCTTCTAATATCCATTCATTATTTTTGCTTTCAATTGCATTTTTTTCATTTCATTTTTCAAGTAGGTGTCTTTTAAATTATTTCCTAATGTATTACTGTATCCCAATTCCACTCCCTGCTATAGAATAGGCGTAACAACTGCCTTAGGGTGTATTGCCAATTGCTAACTCCTGTTTTCTACAAAAGAACACTCTTTAAAAAAGAGCTTTATTAGGCTGCTGTTTTAGCATAGAGGACACCTTCAGAAGCTGAAAAAGGTTTCTTAGCCAGACAATCACAATGAAGGAGACACATCATGGACACAGTGACAGCAGAGAAAATGGCCACTGTAACAAGTTATTTTGGTTAGATAATCCATCAACATGCAGAGTGTTGGTATCAGACATGAGTGAGCGACAGGTGAGCTGAAATGAGCAGTCCGTTGTTATGGAAACAAGGTTTGTGATCTGCTTTTATCTACTTATAGCACACCAGGCAGCACCCTTTTAATACAAAGTGACCACGGCCCTAAATCAGAAAACACTTAAAATTACAATAAACTACGTTCAATGGATAATCTGTGTATCATTTTTGGAAATAAACTCTTGTTCTTTTATATGGCAGCCAAGAAATGATATACAAAACAACAGAAGGAGCAGTGAGAAGTGCAAGTTGTGTATTGGAAAAAACAGAAATGAGAGGAAATGTGGTAGGTTTGCCATGAAACACTGTAGCAGTGCTGCAGGAATGTATAATATCATATTGTGAAATACATAATCTGTTGTGATATGGAGACATGTCTCACCTGGGGAAGGGATGCTAAGGTTGAGAGATCTCAGGCTGCTGAGGTCCAAGCCCAAACTTTGAATCAACACAGAGGTCCTGCAAATACACAAACAGAAGCATAGGCACAAACAGATCAATGCACTTTAATCTAGAAATATATATAAAAAATATTTCTTTACAGAAAACTCCATTTTAATAAAATAAAATGCTGCCAGGCATCCTGCAGGCTAAATGGGCTGAGGTGAAAATTCATTTAAACCAATACAAGGAAACTTTGCCTATTGGCCCCAAATGACAGCAAGAGGTAAAACTGTCTGATTTTCCAGAAGTCAATACCCTCAAATCCTGTGAGGTGGGTTCTGCAAAGCGCAACTGCCCAAACCACTCTGTGATACTATTTGGCAAATTACACAAAAGGGGTAGGAGAGGTAAAGATCTAGACAATGGTGAGAGTAGCCTTCTCTATACAAAGTGCTGCTGTGAAAACCCTCGAAAGAAAAAGACCTTAAAGAAGGATGAAGACAGTGCTGTACCAGTTTAACTGGACATCATAGGTGCTAGGGTCTCCGATGAAAGCCTTAAAGACGGCATCGGTCAGAGAGGTCTTGTTCATCATCAGACTCCGAGCCAAGATCTGTAGGCTGGGTACATAAGTGTGACACAGCTGACCAGGCTGCATGGAGAGGGCCCCAAACAGCACACGCACAGAATCCGTATTCTCCAAGGAGCATACCTGCAACAAATCAGTCCAGTAAGCACCATAACAAGTTTCTAAATCTCAGGATCAAACATACTGTATGTAACAAAGATTTGGTTAATCATTCTTTGCCTCTCACTGTGGCAGGGGACTATTTTACTAGATGGTTCATTTTAAGACTTCTCCAAAGAACCAAAGAACTCCAAGAAAATGTTAATGTTAGCAACACATTGAATACTTCTTATTTCTGATTATCACTGTTGTGAAGTGAAAATCTAATCATTGTTGCCTATTCAAGCCCATGTTGCAGCTATATTTTGCATCAACTTGACTGCCAATTGACTATAAGACACTTTCAAACAACACAGTGCCAGTGTTCAGACATTCTTAAGTACTATTTGTTCCTATTATGATGAATGATCCATGTGTGAAATTGGCAGGGTTAATGCAGAGACCTGGGATCTCAGGAGGCCAAGTTGCTGTGTGAATCGTGGGTCCATCAGGTTGATCTGGAGGAGCTCACCGGCTGTTTGGACGGTCTGTTGCATGAGGATCAGGTTCTCTGTGAAGGGAGGGAGGGAGTGAAGGAGAGAGGGGGAAAATGAAGGTAACAGAGAGGTTATTGAGAGTTAGACAGGAAGATGGGATAGGAAAGGGAAAAGAGGGCAATAAGGTCTGTAAGGTGACAGAATAACATGACATCCCACTGGGCTTCATTATGACTCGCACTGTTACGGGGTATCGTCGTCAGGCAGCGAGCAGCAAATGATGTGCTTAAAGTGAAGCCCTGTGCGGGACTGATGGGGCCAGAAGGGCCAGCAGTACTGGATGCTGTCGTGCATTAAAACACATCTGACAAGCCTTAAGAAAGGCACCACCTCAGGCAGCAAGATGTGATGACAGAATATTTAATTAGGCCAAAATTAGACAATGGTGATGTTTAATCTCAGGGTGCTCAACACCTAAAGGCCTTTGCAATTACAACAGTTCACTCTGGGTGTGTGTGTGTGTGTGTGTGTGTTAAGAATATGAGTAGGGTTGCAGAGAAGTGAAGCTGCTGCTGCTGCTTACAAAGTGATTCTATGCACTAAAACATTATCACACAAGCACAGACGCCAATTAAAAGGGGGTCATAGATGTCCACTTGTGTGAGTGCGTGGGGAGACGTTTAGCGAGGGCCGACAGGATAAGTGATTGAATTCTACTTTGCTAATGAGATTTAAAAAGGTGCTGAGTGGCTTTCTGCTGGAGAAGGGCCATATGGCCTTGGGCTCTTTGGGAGCTCACGCTAAGCTGATGTGAAGTCTTATTCCTCATATCTCCAGAATGAATTTTGCCTCACTATAATCATGTATACAATAACAACAGCATTAACAAAACGCTTTATGGTCGTCCCATGGTTCCGCATTAGCTTCGAAGGTCAGAGAAACAGGTGACACTCTTCCATGCTGTTCAATGGCACAGGCTGGAAGGCCTACATACTGTCTCAGCAGGTAAGTAAACACAAGCTGCAGCATCGATGTGAGCTATAGAGCACAGCAACAATTAGACTAAGCATGAGTAGGAGGGAATTCATAGTAGGTAAAGTTAATTTGGAGAAACTGAAAGGATAAAGTATCATTCATTTGGGGATTCTCCATTTAACTAATGAGTACACTTCTCTTTGTAAAGCTGGTCCAAGAAGCCTCTAACTATCCAGGCTCCACAGCCAGAGAGAACGTAGATCTGAACTGTTAAGTTACCTTGAGATTCTGTGGCAAGCCCTCTGGTGATATTTTTAAGCACTGAGGAGAATGGAAAGCCATCAGGAAGCATATCAGCAGCTTTTGTCAGGAGATCCATTGATGACCTAGGGAAGATTGAGAAAGGGGTGTTTTTATATCCGAAGTTAAAAAGATGCTTTCTTTTTTACTCTTATTCCTAAAACCATATGTGTAAATAAGACTTACGCGTCAGGGAAAGTGAGGAGGGACAGCATTCCAATGGCAGTATCAATGGTCTCTTCCCGAGAAGAATTCAAGCCCCACTGCATGCCGCTTGTAGCTCCCTTCACCACAACATTCAGATCAGGATTGGCAAAGAACACATGGGCTGTGTCTATCATTTCTGCTGTGGTAGGAAGGACAGAGATGGTTTTGAACATGGCAGGGTAGTCAATGTAGAACAGGTCTATGAAGTCTTCCAATGGGTCCCTTGTCTGCATGAACGGGGCCTCGCGTCTACGTCGGACCCTCTTCGCTTGGTTACCGCCTGTCATTTCCTGCTGAAACATACTCGGATGGGAGTCCAAGGGGGCCAGAAGACCACTGTTGCTAACGAGCTGGCTCAGCATTGCCATTGTGTTTCCAGCTAGGTCTTCAAACAGCTCTGTGTTTGCTGGCATGTCCATACCCATTTGGGTCAGAACAGACAAGAGAGGCCTGAGGATGTCATAGATTTTGGGCAGAGCCTGAGTCAGCAGATCCAGTCCAGACGCTTGCGTGGAGGTCAACCATGCAGACAGCTCTGCCACCTTTTGCACAATCAAGCTTGTGTCATTGGAGGCCAGAAATTGCTCCAAGGCTTGGTAGACCGCTGGCACATCCCCAAATATCTTGATGTCCGTCATCAGAATGACAGCTTCCCTCATCAAGTCAGTAAAAGCTGCTTCATTGAGTCCAGAAGAATTTCCCCAGGTAATGGAGAAAATGTTGTCGGAGGTGATGTTTGCAGAGGACAGGAAAATCATTACTGCTTCTCTGAAGAGGTCCTGGGGTGAGTCTTGCATGAAAAGGTAGTTGTCCAGGATGTAGCTCAGTGTTTTATCTACAGCTTCAGTGTAAGGCTTGGAGAATGGGGCCACGCTTAGAAGCTCATCCAAGAGCAATCTGAAGGAAGACAGACTGAAGAGGGGAGAAATTGAACAAATGTAAAGTTAAATTCATTCTACAGCTATAGTCTCATAAAACATCAATATGAATTAGAAAAATTTTAGATGATTAAGAACTAAAGAACTTCTCTGGCTGGACAATGGACTAATTCTCACCAACCATGAGTTTTAATCATTTCCTCAATACAATGATTGCATACAATTCTAATTTCAGTTTTGAGCAGAGGGTTAGGGTTACCAGAAGTAATATTTCTTCATCATCTTGCTTATTCGCACAGTTTTTCCCATTTCATCCTTGACAATGGACTGTGGAGACTTTCTACTATGATCAATGATCTACAACTCATGTAGTCAGACCTGATTGATTCGCTGCGATATGCAGAATGTGATCCTTATCACCATGCCAGGCTCATTATTGCAGCTGGCGTATAAAGGAAAATCAATTTTTAGAGGATGTCTCAGCTAGCTGAATCATGGTTAAGCCGCTATGTGTGCAGGCCTGCCTGTTTTCAGGCAGACTCGCATTAAATTAATCAAGTTGAATGCAAATGTGATCACTCCAATTTATAGGTGAGTATGGGTCTGTGTGGAGATGCAACTGATTCTTGACAGAATATAATTGAAAAACTTCTACAGTCAGATAAAATACTATTAAATATGATCCAACTGTAATGTTCAGTAGGTTTGTTTTGTGGCTGCACAAGATTTTGATATGACTGCATTGCACTTTCCTCATATGATGTGGCTTCATTGTGGTCTGGTCTGTCTGATCTACTAAGGTCTCTGTTCGTGAAAAAACTGGGAACAAAGGTATGCTGTGATGGATTTGTCCTCATGTGACTTTTTAAAGTTACAAAGAAGATGTTACTCTTTAATTCTAATGTACTAATGCAACAACTGAGTTTTTCAGACATAGGTTAATTTGAGTTGATGTTGTCAATAATCACTTAATAATTACATGGACCTGAGATTCCAGATTTACTATGAGTAACTTTTAAGTGTTTTATGGTGGATTTTCCTTTCAACCACAGTAAATCGTGACCATAGTGAAGGGCACATAGTGTTAGCACTCACATATTATGATCGTAGCTGTAAATAGTCACCTGTTTTGCAGCTGCATGTCCTGGAGCTGCTTGTACAAGTAAAGCTGTGCCTCGGGGCTCAGAGGCTGCGCCGCCAGCACAGAGAGCTGGCTGGAGAGAGCCATGATGAGTTGCTCTGCCACAAGTGTACGGTTAATGCTGACTTGGTAGAGTGACTGTAGAGTCTTGACAATACTGGCAGCTGTGTCGCCCACAGTCACTGGCCCCAACCCCATCTGCTGTACAGACAACATACAGCAGAGATGGACTGTTACCAATCTGGCAGTTTTCTCTGTGTTAACACTGCCATCAAGTGGTGAATCTGTTAACTGTACTTGAATAAGTGTTCAATTTTAATATTTAGTCTGGTCTGAGAAAAAAAAATAGAATGTAATATCTTTCTATCAAATGAAAATGCAATTTTCTATTTAATTTGGCATGCATCAACTCACACTCATGTTCAGGTGGGCATAGACAGTCTGTGCTGCATGAAAGGCCTCAAAAACAGGCTTCAGGTTGATGTTGCACCACATAGCCATGGTGGCGTTGCTTAACCCTGCTGCCTCTCTTACTGGCTGCCATGCTTTGAGAGCTTCACTGCACTCCAATGTTCCATTAGCCTAGAGAATGAGAAAAATGTTAACAAATAACAAAACAAGTACAAACATCTTTTCATGTTTCAAATGCATTGTTTTGAGAAATCCAGTTCACTTAGAAGTATAGAGATGCAGCTGCCTTTTGTCTGGGAGACAAAAGGCAATATAAAAAGGGAAATAACATAATCGGTCTGTTCATGCAGTTTGCAGAGAAGCAAAGAAAATGGCAGAGCGTGGCTGGAAATAGGAGGAGTGGAAAGTCGTGATTCCTTACATAAACAATCAGTGGCCTCAAGGCCAAATTACACCAACATATCAAACATTAAATATAACACAAGTAGGGTATTTAAATACATATTATAGTAATGATTATAACCATAGGAATAAAAATAATCATTAATAACATTGTGTTTATGACTTGAGAACAAAAGTTTTGCCAGGATAATCTTTCTCAGACAGATTCTAAACCTACTAAGAACAACATACCCGCACGGCGCTCTTACATAAAAGGTATGTATTGTTAATTGCACTAATGCATGAAAGCTATCTATCCACCCCACCTCACTCTCTCACACCCACACATAAACGCACGCAAACATGTCCACAAAAAGCAACAGCAAATGACCATGAAGACACTCAGTGCTACAGTATACAGGTACATAACAGGGGCAGTCCAACCTGCTGAGCAGCCTGCACCGTGAGTTCAATGGCACGTTGCATTCCTTCCAAGACCTCAGACAAGTTAAAATGACTGGTGTTCAAAGAATGTGCAATTTCTTTCATCAGGGTCACCACGGGCATCTGAAGGCTTAGAATCATCACTGGGAGGATAAAAGAACAAATTTATTGGCTATACTATTATTTACTATTATTTATATCTTAAAAAGCATGGTATAGATAATAAAATTGGCTGCGATTATAAAATGGTGAGAGAGACACTTTTAAACAGCTGTTTTGGGTATTTTTACGGTGTGGCATGGTGTGAAAGGTGTGCTTTGCATGGCATAACCAGCCCAAGTCTAAAGTTGACATCGGTGTTTATTTTATATGTACTGAACATAGGAAATAATTCTCCCTTCAGTCAAAGAGTCTTGTTCCTTCTTTCTGTGTAATAGCAAATTTTCTGCATCACTAAACAGTCTATTATTGTCCTGGCTACACAAATGTCAGGAAGCAGCCTTGCTGTTCAGTAGGACTGCAACTAACGATTAATATCATTATCGATTAATCTATTACTAATCTATTTTAATAGTTATTCGATTAGTTATTTGGTGCATATCAGAAAATGGTGAAAAATGTCAATCAGTGTTTCCCAAAGCCCACAATTACGTCACTCAAATGTTTTGTTTTCATATATTCAGTTTACTGTCATAGAGGAGACAAGAAACCAGAAAATACTCACATTTCATAAGTAAATAAAACATTCAGAAAATGTCTCAAAAAGATTAATCGATTATGAGAATAGTTCCCAATTATTTAAATAGTTGAAAACCTATTGATTAATGGACTAATTGTTGCAGCTCTACTGTTCAGTAGTGTTCTCACCATTCTCTGCTAGCATGTTGTTCACTGTACTTCCTATGATTTTTTCAAACAGTGGAATAACAGAGGGGACACTGTCCAATAGCTCTGTTCCATTGAGGGTTGACAGTAGAGCTTCTAGCAGCTTTTCAAGTCTGTGAAAAAACAGATGGCATTTGGTTTAGGTCAATCACAGAAGCAACTGGTCAGCAGTTTTTATTATGAAATATAAATAAATATACTTTACTATCATCGCACACAGTCATGCAAGTAATACAATTTCACATTAAGGAGCCGTCTAACCTGCACCAAGTGATACTTATGTGGTTTGTTTCCATTACAAGGGGTGTAATTAAACATACTTGTTCCATGTGTCTTGGTCTGCCTCCCCAGTCATCACCTGCTCCAGGACTGGAGCAAGATAAGCCAAGGCATCCAGAGATGAAGCATTGATATATGATCCTAAGCCTCCCAGTGGCCAGATCATGCTCAAGAGTTTGCCCATCTGACAATGAAAAAGGGGAAAAATTGAAAGAAAAAAAGTTTGATTTCATAAGATTCAAAACAAAACAAAACACCAGGAACAAGAACATCAAGTAGGTTATAGGACGCACACCTTTGATGAATGGTAATATCATGTTTTTGTTTTGTCTGTCTGTAATGATACATGACTGCACTGTAAGCAGTGGATGCATTTCAATACCTTCATAACAAGCTTATCTGACTAAATGTGTGGTTTGGAAGTGGGTGTTGGCCAACAATTCCAGTAGCGACAGAGATGTTTAATCATTTTATTTTTAATGTAAAGTAATGTTTAATTTGTACACCTTCTGAATGTTTCATTATCCAAAAAATTAATTCACTCTAAACTAAATAAAATATAAATCAATCAAATTCTAAATAATAAAATAATTAGTTTCTCTTAAGCAGATTTAACATTGTTTTAACCCTTACCTGGCCAATAATTACAGGCAAATCTTCTGCTGATGCATTCCCAAAACCTGCAATCACAAGAAATATTGTTTGGAAAGTGGACCTCAATTTCTATGTCAAATATACAAATTTACACTTGGAGTGAAGCATCCTTTTCTTACAAAAGGCAGCAGAAGCATTGCGCTACTTTGATGCACAGCTCTCAGGCTGTCTAGCATTCAACATGTTGTCTACCTACAGTGATGCAGAGAAGCTGACTTGCCTTCACTAGACTCCAAGATGAACTGAGTGATGTTAATGAGGACAGAAACGTAGTCCTGAGCTGTGCAGTTTGGTGGCAGGAGGCTCTGGACTGTCTTCATCTCATTCAAAATTCTTAAGAAACAAAGCATATCAATATTTCACATCTGAATGTGTCATTAAAACATCATTATGTCTCATCAAATTGTAGCAAAGCATTGCAGGAAGGCATAAATTTAATGGTCAAATTATGCTTTTTACTCAGGATTTGGAGAGACTATGGGGGGTGGGCCCGAGGCCCGAGAGGGTCCGGTATGGTAAAGTTTAGTTTTAATATACACATGTAATATGTTTTATACATTCTGTGAATATATTCAAATTAAAGTTATTTCCATCCTGTATAGACACCTTATTTTGAAAACCAGATGTTGTCACATATGTGTATCCTCGTGCTAAATTCATCAAGTCCGACCCAATTTGATCAATAATGTGGTAAGTGGTTCTCCTATTGCGCAACATGAAGACTTAATAGCCTCTCTTTAGGTAGGACTCTCATACTGCAACACTTTTCTTTGTAAAGAGAGAAAATGACAGGATATAGTCGCTCGCTCTGGTCCGTTTCACTTACCATAAAGGCTTGAATACGTGTGCACTCCAAATGTAGGTTCGGCTAGCTTAATCGCCTTCTCATAAACGAGTGACAGAAACACTCAAAGCGGGTCAGATGGTTTGTTGCCTTTTCTGAGAAGTCAGCCACAGATGGTGTTGATGTGCTACGATATAATTCAGCAGAACACTGTCTGCAAATGCCAATTTTTGCGTCTTTCTCAGACACTTTAAAATGCTTCCACACTGCTGACATGTCAATTTAATTGTACAGTAAAACACCGAAAGTGCAATTTTTGTCTATTTTGGGCCGATTAATTTCGGTGGCCGAACATTCGGTGCATCCCTAATGCAGATGCCTGCTGGTTTTTACCAGATATCTACTAAGGGAGTATTTTCTGAAGACCAAATGATTACAATTCATTTTCTTTAACTAGCTGGCAGGGCAATACAACCTTAAGCACTGAATACAGATGAAAAGGTCTAAACTGTCCTGGTTGGCCAAGTCTATAACATATGCATAATAAAACATCCAATAAACTGATTTCAGTCAGGACAACTTTCATAAAAGAAACTAAAATTCTGTTTTCTGGAATCTCCCCACCCGTCCACGTGCCTACGTGGAAAGCCATAAGGCAGGGAAAGCACCTCCCTGCCCATCCACGTGCACACTTGGAAAGCCCTAGGCAAAGAGCAGCTGTAAAGACCCCACTGGTATAGTATAGAGGAGGCATTTTTACCAAATTACACGATTAATCAGATATGGCCTGAAAGTCAGAGCTGGGGTAGCGGCGGGTTATGAGCTGCTTGCAGAGGAAGGCTATAGCAGCTTAAATAAGGCGCCTTATATGGAATTTGCAGTGAATGCTAAGAGAGGATTCAGCTGAGCTGTCAGCTGATGTGTCTGGCTTAAAATGGCTGCTATCAGCTGATGTGCTGAGATTGTGAACTGAGCTTGACTTCGTTGCCTGCCAGAACTAACACTATGGTTGATTTTTGGCCACTTGTAGGGCAGCAGAAAAAAGCTGTAAAGACAACATTGACAATCTACCACCATATAAATTTTTATATCACTTTTATATGTTGCTTACTTGCATATTCTGCATTTTAGCATTAGCAAAATTAGCATTCATATGGAGTCATGTTTCTGTCCACCTGATGAATATAAGTCCAATATTCACTCTCCTTTTAGCTCTGTTTTTGTCTCCAGGCAAATATCTGGCTCTTCAGCTTCTAAATGCTCTGCTATGTTCCCAAGTTAGTTGTTAACTTAATATGACTGCTATTTGATGCTGGGCAGAATGGGTTTTTCGATACGAAATCAACGGTTTTGTCAAATTAATACAATGAATATAATATTGTTTGTTTCTCTGCCATGGATAGTTTTTATATACATTTGTTGATGGGTGCTCATTTCAATCATTTCTTATCCATTACTGCATAACATAATTATGTATTAAGTATTAGGAAAATAGCAGCATCACTCACATCTGATTCCAGCTGTCTGGTCCACTGGCTGTGAAGATGCTCTCAAAGTATGTGGTTGCTACTTTCAGTCCAGGCAGCAAGTATTCAGCAAACATTTGTGGTACTGTCTGTTGAATGACGCTCTCAGCCCTCTTGAGGATGAGGAGGGAGATGTTACGTGATGAGGCAAAACTCATGTCTGGTTGGACAATGAGCTTAAGTGTGTCCTGCACAATTTCCAGGATGTCCTGCTGTACGGAGAGCGGCAGGGGGCCAATGGCTGGGGTAAGTATTTGCATAGCACTTTGGAGTGCTTCCAAGATGGCGGCTGAGAAGTGGTCACTCTGTTGGCCACCTGGTTGCTCTGCCACCATTAGGGCATTGCTCAGGGACTGGGTGATATTGCCAACGATGAAGAGGTAAGCCAGTTGATCCTCACTGACAATATTATCCATCGTCTGCAGCAGGTGCTGGACTGTCTTCATCTCGTTCACAATTCTTAAGAAACAAAGCATATCAATATTTCACAGCTGAATGTGTCTCATTAAAATGTCATCATGTCTCATCAAATTGTATCAAAGCATTACAGGAAGGCATGCACCCCATCTTTCTGTTTGGTTTAAACTGTGTATCTGGACTAGTGGTTGCTAATTATTAAAATTGGAATGTAGTTTAGGGATGCACCGAAATAAAAATTCTTGGCCAAAGCCGAAAACCGAATGTAATGAAAAAATTTGCAGAATACCGAACAAGCACATTCACCTTTATTCCATTTATTTTGCCAATTTTTTTTTACCATTGCATAAATTTAATGGTCAAATTATGCTTTTTACTCAGGATTTGGAGAGACTATGGGGGGTGGGCCCGAGGCCCGAGAGGGTCCGGTATGGTAAAGTTTAGTTTTAATATACACATGTAATATGTTTTATACATTCTGTGAATATATTCAAATTAAAGTTATTTCCATCCTGTATAGACACCTTATTTTGAAAACCAGATGTTGTCACATATGTGTATCCTCGTGCTAAATTCATCAAGTCCGACCCAATTTGATCAATAATGTGGTAAGTGGTTCTATTGCGCAACATGAAGACTTAATAGCCTCTCTTTAGGTAGGACTCTCATACTGCAACACTTTTCTTTGTAAAGAGAGAAAATGACAGGATATAGTCGCTCGCTCTGGTCCGTTTCACTTACCATAAAGGCTTGAATACGTGTGCACTCCAAATGTAGGTTCGTCTAGCTTAATCGCCTTCTCATAAACGAGTGACAGAAACACTCAAAGCGGGTCAGATGGTTTGTTGCCTTTTCTGAGAAGTCAGCCACAGATGGTGTGGATGTGCTACGATATAATTCAGCAGAACCCTGTCTGCAAACGCCGATTTTTGCGTCTTTCTCAGACACTTTAAAATGCTTCCACACTGCTGACATGTCAATTTAATTGTTCAGTAAAATTTAACACCGAAAGTGCTATTTTTGCTATTTTGGGCCGATTAATTTCGGTGACCGAATATTCGGTGCATCCCTAATGCAGATGCCTGCTGGTTTTTACTAGTTATCTACTGAGGGAGTATTTTCTGAAAACCAAATGATTACAATTAATTTTCTTTAACTAGCTGAGATTGTGAACTGAGCTTGACTTCGTTGCCTGCCAGAACTAACACTATGGTTGATTTTTGGCCACTTTGGGGCAGCAGAAAAAAGCTGTAAAGACAACATTGACAAATTCTTACCACATAAATTTTTATATCACTTTTATATGTTGCTTACTTGCATATTCTGCATTTTAGCATTAGCAAAATTAGCATTCATATGGAGTCATGTTTCTGTCCACCTGATGAATATAAGTCCAATATTCACTTTCCTTTTAGCTCTGTTTTTGTCTCCAGGCAAATATCTGGCTCTTCAGCTTCTAAATGCTCTGCTATGTTCCCAAGTTAGTTGTTAACTTAATATGACTGCTATTTGATGCTGGGCAGAATGGGTTTTTCGATACGAAATCAACGGTTTTGTCAAATTAATACAATGAATATAATATTGTTTGTTTCTCTGCCATGGATAGTTTTTATATACATTTGTTGATGGGTGCTCATTTCAAGTCTTTCTTATCCATTACTGCATAACATAATTATGTATTAAGTATTAGGAAAATAGCAGCATCACTCACATTTGATTCCAGCTGTCTGGTCCACTGGCTGTGAAGATGCTCTCAAAGTATGTGGTTGCTACTTTCAGTCCAGGCAGCAAGTATTCAGCAAACATTTGTGGTACTGTCTGTTGAATGACGCTCTCAGCCCTCTTGAGGATGAGGAGGGAGATGTTACGTGATGAGGCAAAACTCATGTCTGGTTGGACAATGAGCTTAAGTGTGTCCTGCACAATTTCCAGGATGTCCTGCTGTACGGAGAGCGGCAGGGGGCCAATGGCTGGGGTAAGTATTTGCATAGCACTTTGGAGTGCTTCCAAGATGGCGGCTGAGAAGTGGTCACTCTGTTGGCCACCTGGTTGCTCTGCCACCATTAAGGCATTGCTCAGGGACTGGGTGATATTGCCAACGATGAAGAGGTAAGCCAGTTGATCCTCACTGACAATATTATCCATCGTCTGCAGCAGGTGCTGGAGGTCTGTCACAGGGGTGAAGACATTCATGGAAGAGTTTCCCCATTGGAGAATATTAGTGAGGGCCAACTGGACATTGGGTTGCTTTATCCACTTCTGTATGAGGTTGAGGTATAGCTCAACCTGGCGCTCAGTGACATGCAGAATAGTTGTGTTGAATGACGGCTCTGATCCTGAGACATTATTCTGAATCTCTAGGTTGATTAATTCAAATAGACCCCGGAGAATCTCAACTGTTGTCTGGCCAATTTTACTCAGCCCTGCACCATCTATTGGGTACTGGAGATTGTTTATCAGGGCCTCAACCTGGTTACTCACAAACAAAGAGAAATCTGTTTGTGACAGCTGTAATGTCACTTGCATTTCTGTGAGGGAGAAAAAGGGTTCTAGGAGCACTGAGAGTGAGCTGTTGCTGGTGATATTTTCCAGCCTTTTCAAGTACCAATCCACAATCTCCAGATATACTTTCTGTGAATACATGGGGTTCGGATTCAAGGTGGTGTTACCATTATTGTTAAATGGTTGTGGGGTGGCAGCTAGTTGTATCAGACCCTCCAGCACTCTGATTTCATCCATGATCTCTGGGGTGTTCAGGTGGTTCACTTGGAGGCTCATCTTGACATTGGCCAGGGTGCTGTTCAGAGTGTGCATGAGAGCCATGTTAGGATTGGAGCTGAAGTTAACTTGGAAGACATCACTGATAGTGTTATTGACGATTAACGGGATGAGGGAGAGGATGGCTGTCTCATTCTGGAGAGCAGGAAGGAATGTTAAGAAACTGCTGGCCGTGTTTATCAAACCCATAACACACTGGAATGTCACCATTGGGTTTTGCTGTGGCTCAAAACACTCTCGAGGTTTGATAATCTCCAATATATTTACCAGCAAGTCATTTATGTTGGCAGCTCCAGCGAGTGCAGCAATGCTGTTCAGCTCATCAAGGGTTAGATTCGACTGTCTCAGAGCATTCTGGACATCAGACACACTAATATCTGGTGTAGTGATGATCAGTCTAATGAAATTAAGGGTCTGGTTGAATGTTTCCAAATTAGCAGCATCGTATGAGGACAGGAGGAGTGAGAAGAACAAGGACGTAATTTCCTCATATTCCTGTTCCCCCAGAACAGAGTTGGCTGCGCTTGTTTTGATGGTGACATTCCTGTTGTCAGAGAGCATCATGTTGAATATCTTCCGCATGAGGTCAAGGTATAGCTTAACTCTGAGCTCAGTGGTATGCAGAATGGTTGCGTTGAACAATGGCTCTGAACCTGGGACATTATTCTGAAACTCTAGGTTGACCTTTATTAATTCAAATAGATGCTGGATAATCTCAACTGTTGTCTGGCCAATAATACTCACTCCAGCAACATCTATTGGGTACTGGAGATTGTTTATCAGGGCCTCAACCTGGTTACTCACAAACAAAGAGAAATCTGTTTGTGACAGCTGTAATGTCACTTGCATTTCTGTGAGGGAGAAAAAGGGTTCTAGGAGCACTGAGAGTGAGCTGTTGCTGGTGATATTTTCCAGCCTTTTCAAGTACCAATCCACAATCTCCAGATATACTTTCTGTGAATACATGGGGTTCGGATTCAAGGTGGTGTTACCATTATTGTTAAATGGTTGTGGGGTGGCAGCTAGTTGTATCAGACCCTCCAGCACTCTGATTTCATCCATGATCTCTGGGGTGTTCAGGTGGTTCACTTGGAGGCTCATCTTGACATTGGCCAGGGTGCTGTTCAGAGTGTGCACGAGAGCCATGTTAGGATTGGAGCTGAAGTTAACTAGGAAGACATCACCGATAGTGTTATTGACGATTAACGGGATGAGGGAGAGGATGGCTGTCTCATTCTGGAGAGCAGGAAGGAATGTTAGGAAACGGCTGACCCCATTTATCAATCCCATAATACACTGGGCTGTCACCATCGGGTTAAGCTGTGGTTCCAAACATTGGCTAGCATTGATAATCTCCAATATATTTACCATCAAGTCATTTATGTTGGCAGTTCCAACAAGTGCAGCAATGCTGTACAGCTCCTCGAGGGTTAGGTTTGACTGTCTCAGAGCATTCTGGACATCAGACACATTAAAAACTGGTGAGGCCATAATCAATCTGATGAAATGAAAAGTCTGATTGAATGTTTCCAAATTAGCAGTATCATTGGAGGACAGGAGAAGTGAGAAGAACAAGGATGTAATTTCGTCATATTCCTGTTTCTCCAAAACAGAGCTGTTTGAAGGTATATTGATGGTAAAATTAGTGTTGTTTGAGAGCATCATGTCAAATATCTGATCCAAGAACGTGAAGATTTCTGAGACTCCAGCCAAACAGTTCTGGCCTGCTGCACATTTGGTCATCTGATTCTGCAGAGCTTTGAAATCCTGGAGAAAGCAAGCAGCTTCCTGTTGGACCTCAGGTGGTAGGAATGTTACAATTGTCTGTGTAACAATGTTCTGGACAGCGTCTGGTCCAGCTTGAGTCAGGTTCTGAAGGTTCTCGGGCGTGAGGAGATTGAGAAAGTCCTTCAAAAGCAGCTGGAGGTCAGTGGCTTGTGCTGTACTCAGTTGCCCATTCGGTAGTGTATTCAGAGATTTCACAAGTTCTTGAAGCTGGAGTATGTACCCAAGAATGATGTTAGTTGGGTCACCATTTGGAGAATTCCTCACTGTCTTCAGTAGCTCCATGGCACTGAGGATGGCTGAGGTCTGGTTGGTGAAAGGCTGGATGGCTTCTTTGAGCAGGGTCACATTGTCAGGGTGGAAGTAGTCTGAATATTTAAGTAGATTGTGTGCCATGATGCGGGAGAGAGACATGTTGAGATTACCCCCCAAGGAGAGCAACTGCAGTATCAGCTGTTCCAGTTCAGACATTGTTGGGTCTGTCTCATTGAAAATAAAGTTGCCAAGCTGTGAGGCTACATCAAACAATGCAGAGACATTGAAGGGACCATCACTGAGGAGCAGAGGCAGCAGTGGTGTCAGACCTGTGGATTGGAACAGGTTACTGATGAGGGGTAGCATGACATCAGGGTTAGAGATGTTTTGGTCAGGTAGGATGGTGATAGCCTGGACAAAGCCATCCAGGTTATGCATCAGATTAATCAGGTAGCCAGAGAGCGGATCTCCGCCTTCACTTCCTGTCAGATGTTTATAGATGTCACTATAAACATATTGCAACAGGTTTACAGTTCCTTTGAGACAACTACAGAGAAAAGAGAAGAGAACATTCTGAATTTTAGAAATGGCTATGAGTAACGTGAAACAGTTACAATAATAAATAATAATAATGTAACACCTCTCTCAGTACACATATTTATCGTCATGCAAATCTTTAACAATATCAGTGAGTTTGTGTTAATCATGTAATTAAAGATTTGTTCGACATTTTGGGAAACACACTTTTGCAGAGAGGTAGATTAAATTATCCTTTAAATAGTTGTTTTAATGAGTCAACATCCTGTCAGTTAAAGTCAACAACAGAACAGAAAATTCAATTCCAAAGCATAAAAAATCATGCATCGTGTCCACATTCAATGGAATTCAAGACAACATTCATTCATCAAAAGTTACAAACTTTGTCACTTACTTCACCAGGACGTCTTGATTTGGTGACTTCAGAACCTGAGTCATTGCTTGAACAAACTGTGTCCAGTTCAAACCAGTATCACAATGAATGTCTAACGTGGAGTTGTTAACTGAACCTGATGGGGGAAGTAAACATATTACATACATACTGAAATAGGTTGTGTTTATTTTACTATGTTAAATAAACCATTGTTTTGTTTAGGCAAACTTGTTTTGGCACTAAATGAATAAATCTATTATTTGGAGAAATATGTACTAGACATATTCACAATGTCACATGTTGAATTGATTTTGTAGGCCTCATATACACCCTGTATTGCCTTGATGTATGCCTTTGCGAGCTACTAGCACAATGCAGGAAGAGATAAGAGAACAGACAAGAATAGATGAGATGAAATGGGACTCACAGTTTGCTGGCTGAGTTGTGACACCAGGCCTGTAGTTGATAATCCAGTAAACCATGTGGAAATAGTTCTTTACCTCGGGCCACAGCTGACTCTTCTCAATCTTTTCTCCAAGATTCACCATGAACAAGAAAACACTACAAGCAAAGCAAAGCAAAAGCAAAACACTGTTAAGACAGTGAAATTATAACCAACAGCTTGAAGTGAGACATTGTTCACATTATCTAAAACACATCATGGTGGAAAATAGATCTTCCTATTAACCTTTATTTTTTTCCTTTCCACTAAATTCACTGAAACAGGCCATTTGCATTGTCTTGTTGAACTTAAATCTAATGTCTTCACTGGAAAAAATGTTGGTGTTCCTGGGTCTTACATTTTCTAAGTTAAAGATATTTTATGATTTTTAATTTTAAGACTTAAGGAGTGTTAATTACAAATTATCAATATTCTGGAGTACATGACAATCATGTGTTCAAATCAAAAGCAGATATGCAAAGTACAGTAGCGCTTGGGAATGAAACCCTTTAGGTATATTATCAGAAGTTTCTTAAGACCTTTGTTGAAGTGTCTCAGTAACATCATGAGTGATGTTGTCTGGCATCCACTTCATCCAGTATCCTCCGCCCAGCGCTGTTGCCACTCTCTCCAAAAGCACTCCAAACTGCACACTGTTATTATACAACTTGTGCCACTCAGAGAGAATCATGGGAAGTGTTATGTTGTAGTCTGCTGGACCTGTGAGGTTGCTGTACATTTCTTGTGCCTTTTGGAAACAAAATATGAGATAATTTTAAAATCATTTAATTTGAAAGATAATCCCTGACACGTTATTTTCCCACATTTAAAGTATATAATTAACAGCGATAAAGTTGAAAAAAACACTAAAAATCTATTTATTTCTCTGTAAAAGTATTTATCTGTAACATACAATATTAATGTAGGACACCATCACTTACACTAAGAACAGGGGAAAATCTGTTTTCATGTACTGTAAATTGGTATACCAAAAGGAAATTTGCAAGAGGAGAAAACGTGAAGTATACAGTCAGAATGTGTCCGGAATCAAACCCTACATGTACATAATCAGCACTGTGTTGGAGAGTCCCAGTAACATCATAAGTGTTGTTGTCTGTAGCACTCCTAAGAAGTTGTTATCTATAGCTGGAACTGCTTTACCATTCTTGAGATGTTCACTGTTATATATCACCTTTCTAGTAGAATTTTCAAAACATAAGTAGACAATATGTAAACCAATCATAGATGGATACAATTTTCTGTAAGTGTTTCTTTTTAAAGCTTTTCATATTGACTGGTGGAATTCAGAAAATTTCTACAATACAGAACAATTCAACTGCAAAAATAAAGAAAGACGTTCCAACACAAAACACCTCCAAAACAATAAAGAAAATTAAAGAGTGTAGCATAAAGTTGGAGGAGGACTCAATAATCATTTATGTTTTTCACATAGTTTCAGACAGCATATCACTTCAAAATGAAAGTCTTCAAATGTAGTGTAGTAATTTTTACCTTCTGAATCAATGGCAGCCAGTCCATCAGTAGAGCTTGCTGTAGAGTGGAGCTGTTCTGGCAGATCATTGATCTCCACACCTCAATACTTATGCTCTTTGTGTTTAAGAGCCCCTCAAAGGGACCCAAGAGATCCTCACATGTTAAAGACTCAGATGCCAGACCCTAGGAAAACAGAAGCAAAAAAAGTGTTTGCTACCTTTATTGTCTTCCATACTATTACCAAAAACCTCAAACATGTCATCCCCTAAAGTCACTGCATTTCATATCACCGAGAGCTGTCAGACTTGCACATAGTTTCATACCCATTTTTTTAAACAAAGTATACTTTATGAATTTATAATAAAGCTTTTAAAGTCTGAACAGTGCTTTGTTGCTCAACATGTCAAATAACAAGTGAGCCAAGTACTATTTAGCAAGTGTTTAAAATAAAATGACCCCATCTATCAATCCCATAATACAATGGGCTGTCACCATCGGGTTATGTTGTGGTTCCAAACATTGGCTAGCATTGATAATCTCCAATATATTTACCATCAAGTCATTTATGTTGGCAGTTCCAACAAGTGCAGCAATGCTGTACAGCTCCTCGAGGGTTAGGTTTGACTGTCTCAGAGCATTCTGGACATCAGACACATTAAAAACTGGTGAGGCCATAATCAATCTGATGAAATGAAAAGTTTGATTGAATGTTTCCAAATTAGCAGTATCATAGGAGGACAGGAGAAGTGAGAAGAACAAGGATGTAATTTCGTCATATTCCTGTTTCTCCAAAACAGAGCTGTTTGAAGGTATATTGATGGTAAAATTAGTGTTGTTTGAGAGCATCATGTCAAATATCTGATCCAAGAACGTGAAGATTTCTGAGACTCCAGCCAAACAGTTCTGGCCTGCTGCACATTTGGTCATCTGATTCTGCAGAGCTTTGAAATCCTGGAGAAAGTGAGCAGCTTCCTGTTGGACCTCAGGTGGTAGGAATGTTACAATTGTCTGTGTAACAATGTTCTGGACAGCGTCTGGTCCAGCTTGAGTCAGGTTCTGAAGGTTCTCGGGCGTGAGGAGATTGAGAAAGTCCTTCAAAAGCAGCTGGAGGTCAGTGGCTTGTGCTGTACTCAGCTGCCCATTCGGTAGTGTATTCAGAGATTTCACAAGTTCTTGAAGCTGGAGTATGTACCCAAGAATGATGTTAGTTGGGTCACCATTTGGAGAATTCCTCACTGTCTTCAGTAGCTCCATGGCACTGAGGATGGCTGAGGTCTGGTTGGTGAAAGGCTGGATGGCTTCTTTGAGCAGGGTCACATTGTCAGGGTGGAAGTAGTCTGAATATTTAAGTAGATTGTGTGCCATGATGCGGGAGAGAGACATGTTGAGATTACCCCCCAAGGAGAGCAACTGCAGTATCAGCTGTTCCAGTTCAGACATTGTTGGGTCTGTCTCATTGAAAATAAAGTTGCCAAGCTGTGAGGCTACATCAAACAATGCAGAGACATTGAAGGGACCATCACTGAGGAGCAGAGGCAGCAGTGGTGTCAGACCTGTGGATTGGAACAGGTTACTGATGAGGGGTAGCATGACATCAGGGTTAGAGATGTTTTGGTCAGGATGGACGGTGATAGCCTGGACAAAGCCATCCAGGTTATGCATCAGATTAATCATGTAGACAGAGAGCGTATCGCCACCTTCGATTTCTTTGTTTAAATATGATCCTGCCAGACGTGTATAGATGTCACCATAAACATACTGCAACAAATTCACAGTTCCTTTGAGACAACTATAGACAAAAGAGAAGAGAACAGAATTATATAAATGGCTATGAGAAATGTATGTAAAACCTTTACAACAATAAATAATACTACTTCTGATGTAACCACCTCTGTTAGTAGTGAATTCCATAATTCAAATATATTAATCATATTACAAATCGCAAAAAAATGCAATATTTTTATCTTAAACATTTATTAAAAGAACAGTTCGACATTTTGAGAAATACACATGAAATTATCAATATAACTCTCAATCTGTGCACTCTATATTAAACTGGAGCCACCAGTCGGTTATCTTAACTTAGCACAAAGAGTTAAAACAGGGAACCAGCTAGCCTGTCTCTGTATAAAGGTAAAAAATCTGCCTACCAGCACCACTTGAGCATACTACTATTTTACACATTGTATCTCCTTTGAAAGTCAGCAACAGAACACAAAATTCAATACCAGAGCATATACAATACATGCATCATGTCCACATTCAATGAAATTCAAGACACGAGTCATTAAAAGTTACAAACTTTGTCACTTACTTCACCAGGACATCTGGGCTTGGTGACATCAAAACCTGAGTTACTGCTTGAACAAACTGTGTCCAGTTCAAACCAGTGTCGCAGTGAATGACTAAGGTGGAGATGTTAACTGAACCTGGTGGGCGAAGTAAACGTATTACATACATACTGAAATAGGTTGTGTTTAAGTTAAATAAATCATTGTTTTTTGTGGGCAAACTTGTTTTGGCAATTAATGGATAGATGCTGTATCATTTGGAGAAATATTTACTAGACATATTCACCCTGCACATGTTTAACTGATATACACAAGCTGATGCAAGCTGCTAGCACAATACATAAAAAGAAGAAAATAGATGTGACTCACAGTTTGCTGGCTGAGTTGTGACACCAGGCCTGTAGTTGATAATCCAGTAAACCATGTGGAAATAGTTCTTTACCTCGGGCCACAGCTGACTCTTCTCAATCTTTTCTCCAAGATTCACCATGAACAAGAAAACACTACAAGCAAAGCAAAGCAAAAGCAAAACACTGTTAAGACAGTGAAATTATAACCAACAGCTTGAAGTGAGACATTGTTCACATTATCTAAAACACATCATGGTGGAAAATAGATCTTCCTATCAACCTTTATTTTTTCCCTTCCATTAAATTCACTGAAATAGGCCATTTGCTTAGCCTTGTCAAACTTAAATCAAATGTCTTCAATGTTGGTGGGCCTGGCCTTTACATATTTGAAGTTAATAAGAATAATAATTGAAAGCAGATATGCCGAGCACGGTAGCACTCTTAAGACCTTTGTTGAAGTGTCCCAGTAACATCGTAGGTGATGTTGTCTGGCATCCAGTTCATCCAGTATTCTCCGCCCAGCGCTGTCGCCACTCTCTCCAAAAGCACTCCAAACTGCACACTGTTATTATACAACTTGTGCCACTCAGAGAGAATCATGGGAAGTGTTACGTTGTAGTCTGCTGGACCTGTGAGGTTGCTGTACATTTCTCCTGCCTGTGGAAACATATTATGAAATAATATTTTTTTAAATATTCAATATAGAACAAAATCCCTTACACATGCTATTTTTGTACATTTACAGTACATAATACAAAAATAAAGTTAAAAAAAACAAAAAACATCTTAAGTATTTCTCTATAACTTTAAATACTTATGTGTGTTCGTGTAGGACATCATAACCTATACTAACAACAGGGAAAATTAGTTTTCATGTTTTGTAAACTGGTATACCAAAAGGTAATTTGCAAGAGGAGAAAACATGAAGTATACAGTCAGAATGTGTCTGGAATACTCATGTCTCATACTCATGTATATAATCAGCATTTTGTTGTTGTTTGTTGTTTTGTTGTTGTTTGAGTCCCAGTAACATCATACTGTTGACTGGAGCCGCCCCAAGCTAGAATTGCTTTATCATTCTTGAGATGTTCACCTATGTTATAGTATATCAACTGTCTGTGAGAGTTTTCTAAACTTTCTAAAATAAGTAAACTAATTATTGATGGATACAATTTTTCTGTAAGTGTTTCTTTATAAAGGGTCTGTTGATAGAGATATGCATACTGACTGATTAAATAGATCCCACACATTTCTACAATACATTAACCCCAAAATGAAGAAAGAAATTCCAACACAAAACACCCCCCAAAACAATGAAGAAAGGTAAAGAGTGTAGCATAAAGTTGGAGGAGGACTCAATAATCATTCATGCTTTTTTCACATAGTTTCAGACAGCATATCACTTCAAAATGAAAGTCTTCAAATGTAGTGTAGTAATTTTTACCTTCTGAATCAATGGCAGCCAGTCCATCAGTAGAGCTTGCTGTAGAGTGGAGCTGTTCTGGCAGATCATTGATCTCCACACCTCAATACTTATGCTCTTTGTGTTTAAGAGCCCCTCAAAGGGACCCAAGAGATCCTCACATGTTAAAGACTCAGATGCCAGACCCTAGGAAAACAGAAGCAAAAAAAGTGTTTCATACTTCCATACTATTACCAAAAACCTCAAACATGTCATCCCCTAAAGTCACTGCATTTCATATCACCGAGAGCTGTCAGACTTTCATCATTTCATACACATTCATGTTCTTACTGTTTTAATAAATTATACTTTATGAATTTATATCAAATAACATGCAAGTGAGTCATTTACTAAAGGTAAATTTAATCGTCAATTACATTGTATATCTATGGTAAGTGCAAGGTTGAAGCTTTAAGAGATACATAGCCAAAGGCTCATGGGCAGTTGAAATACTGCTGGCATACCTTCACAATGTTTTCCATCAAACTGTCAAGAACGTGACCGATCCAAACGCTTCCGCCAGGCTCGTTTGTCAGCAACATTAGATAAGTCAGTTGCAGCTGATCAGCATCTTCCAGGACATTGGTCATCATTTCTGCAAACCAGGAAGAGTTTAGACAATAAAAACAAGGACAAAGCCAGATCAGTTGACCACAGTCCTATTCAGTGATTTGCAGTGAAATAAAATTACATTTTCAACACAGAGTTTAAAAAAGCAATGCACCTAACTCCTTGAGTTACCCACTTGACCTCTATTTCTTTTGTGCAATACGTCCCAGGGGGATAGTTTTTTCCTTGTAAGTTTCCTGTGTGTGTGTGTGTGTGTGTGTGTGTGTGTGTGTGTGTGTGTGTGTGTGTGTGTGTGTGTGTGTGTGTGTGTGTGTGTGTGTGTGTGTGTGTATCCATTTCCCACATGGTAACTCCACTAGTCTTTCTGTCTTCCATCGGCCCCCTGAGATAGGGTGTGAACTTCTTTTTAACACTAGGTAATACAGTACATGTACTCCATTTCCAGCATGCTGCTATACTTAGTTCAACATTTTCTATCTTTTATCAGTCCCCTGATATAGGATGTGAACTTTTTCCTCTAGGTTATACAGTGCATATACTCCAGGTAGAAATAACAACAATGACTGTGGCAGAGTGTGACAAATAAAGCAAGTCACACTCCTTGCAACACAATATGTCCTGTGAATGCGTTAACCATCAGATTTCATCTCTCTGTTCTTGCTGCTTCATTGTAAGAGTTGACACCCAAAGCTCATGTTAGCGTGTATGCCTTAGTTCAGTCCTCTATCAAACATTTCATTGAAAGTCAATTTCATCCTGAAAGGAAAACATTTGTTCACGTTTGTGTGCAGACACCAGGCTTACCTTCTACAGTATCAAGGATTAGTGTTGCTGACTTCATGGACTGAAAGCCAGTTCCAAGGATACTCTGAACAACCATATCCACTTCAGGCACAAGATTTATAATTTCCATCACCACTTGACCGACCCTCAAAAACCTGCCAAAACACAAGGACAGAAAAAGTACAAACTGTTCACATGACAGTGGGAACTTGACCTTTGGGAGATCTGTCTTACTGATTTGTGTACAAGTCTCTAATATTTAGCCTAATGTGTGCAAGGAGAATTAAATTTTCTACTGCGGCTAATTTCAAGATGGTTTCCAGATTGTTTCTTTCTTTTTTTGTATAAGGTGGTTATAGGATTGAATGAGCTGGAAAAAGCAAATGGAAGCAAATGTACAACAAATGTTAATGAATCGATAGAAAAATGGCTTTCAACTTCCCGAAATGTTAACTGTAACGTACATTTTCAAACTATTTCTCAGACATTTTAAGCTAATTTCTTTTTTCATGTACAGTAGTGTAAAAAACCCTTCAACTTGTCTGCACATTTTTATGACATTCAGAAAGCCCATTCAGTTGCTTCAGTCAGATTATCTCTTTAGTTTTTGCAGCATTACAAAAATTGGGTAGCCTCTAATGGACTGGCAATGTATTTAGAGAACAGACTGTACTTACAGCTCCTCCTCGATGTTTTGAGGTTGTGTATCAACGCTACGCCGATTTCTCGTGATGTTGGGGCCTCCCTGTCCTACTGGGGATAAACCTCCCATCAGACTGTGCAGCAGCCCCTTGGCAAATGATATATCATGTGGAGCAACATATTTACTCCACTCCAGGAGAGCCTGGTGAGGACAAAGACAGAGGAGAAGGTATGCTGAGTGAGATTTGCTAAATTGAATTCATTTTAGCTAAATCCAACCTACATAAGAAGTTAGTCTCTTTCCATCTGTCACTACACAATAAATATCATCGTGGCTTTTTTTTGTAAAAATCAATTTTATTTATACAGCCCCAATTCATAACAAAAATAAGTTTGTTATCACAAAGCCAAATTTAAACGAGGGCAGCCAGAAATAAGGTGACTAAATTACACTTTATATACATTGTATGTACTTTAGTATACATTTAAAAACAAAAAGTATTATTTCTTTCACACATTCATTCACCTTAGCAAAGTTATTTTGACATCATAGGAAAACATCATAGAAATCATCAGTAGAACTAAAGAGCTGGTCTGCAATTTATTTTATTGACGTCTAAAAACTGTTGATTATATTTATATGGGCGTTAGCACAATACTGTTTTTTTTGTTATTATGTAATATTGTACATTTCGATTTTTTTTTTTGATATTCATTCATCGGGTATGGTAGCAGAAAGCTGAGATCAAATAAATTGTTATTGTCACTAGCACTACAATGTCAGTAGCACTGAATTTGTAAGTGGCATGTCTGAGTAAGTTAATATGACACACATCATAGCAAGGCTATATGTCAGCATTAGATCACTAATTGATGTCAGGCTAGCTGTCAACATCTACTGTAGTTGTAGTGCTATTTAGATGTCAGTGCAGTTTTTTGTTCCCCACGTGCAATCTGGGAGTTGCAGTTACTTGTTGCTATGGCAAACAGCTTTCTTGCAGTCGAAGACTAATCATTTGGTATACTCTCTATCCCCTAATGTAAAGGTGGCTCTTGAGAATGCAAATTAGGAGAAGGATAGAAGAACGCAAACAAGCAGCTTTTGAGAAAGTGAGAGGACAGAGCAGAGACAATAGAAATGGAAAGAGGAAAACACACAACAAGCAGATGTGTAATTTCTGGTTTCTGTCGTTCCCTCCTTTGATGAAGATGAAAACATATATGATTCTAACCTACCTGCTTTGCTACCTTCTTAGGGCTGATCCAGCTTAGAAGCATGTCCACAGTGCCTGTACTGCACGCTACTGTTAGCCACATCGGGCTACTGCTACTGTCACACAAGTACAAACGCACTGTGTCTCGGTCCAATGTTAGGCCAATAGCCTAGAGAAGAAAAGAGGATTACAAGTATATATATTGAAACTATGGACAAACTCTTAATAAAGTGGTAGCTCATTTATGGTAGCTCAATTATTGCCACAAATAATCAGACAGTAGGAAAAGACTGTGTTCCATCAAATGAATAGTTAGACATTTTGGGAAATACATTTACAATATGTGTGCTCTTGCAGATGACACCATATGAAATTACAGCTAGGAGGTGACTTAGCATAAGACTGGAAACAGGGGGAAACCGCTAACTTAGCCCAGCTCTGTCCTAAAGTAAATATAAAAAAAAAAAACACCAACCAGCATGGGTAAAACAACATATATGGTTGTTTAGGTTGGAGGACTTGTTGAGATTGTTAGCTAGCTAATTACACAGTTACAGTTGCTAATGTTGCTAGCTAACGTTGCTAGCTAATGCTGCGAACTGAAGCAACTGAATGGGCTTTCTGAATGTTACACAAATGTTCACACAAGTGGAAGGGGTTTTCAAGAAATGCGTAGTGAGAAGATTAACATTTTGTTCATTATCAACATGATCATTATCAAAAATTGGCCTACAAAAAAACATAAGTTACACAACCTATGTTATTAAAAACCTAAATCAATCTTTTTTCACACATGAATTAAATGCCAGTCTCCTGGGTGAAAACCTACTAAGATGGTATGTACACCCGAAGTAGGACATTCTGGCTATTTATAATATGTGACCGTCTTTCTCTTGTGTTAGTGCTGTACAAATGTGGGTCATAATTTTGACAAATGATCTACATGATTGTGTTTTTGGTGAGGACAGTCTCAACAATCTACAGCTGCACACATCTGCTAACAAATATGGTTAACCTCCTTTGTGTCGTTGGGGTCTACATATGTTTATGTCATGTGACGTAGGTCATGTGTTTTACACAACATAAGTGTGGTTGGGAAATGAAGTTTGAAATTGCTGTTTTGGGAGGTATGGACAAACGCCACCGGTAGGGGCGCTAATTTAGGATACGCTCATATGGGTCGTACTGGAAGGCATGATTAATAGGACCTATGTTGTCGTTTAGGTTGGAGGACTTGTTGCATATCCCACCCACTGACAGGTGCCATGGTAACACGATAATCAGCGTTTTTACTTACCTGTCACTGAATGTCATAACTGTACCTTGTCCAGTGGTATCCTGACCTCTTGTAGAACACGTTTCATCATTTCACTTAGAGAGCTATTCTGTATGACGACCTCTCCGAGGGAAATGGACACATCTAAACAGAAGCAAATCACGTGGTTATTTGGTACCCTAATGGCGTATCAGCACAAAACTGGACTGACAACATTTCTCGGAGCAGGATGTCATGCCTTCATAGTGATCCATTATTTTAAGAAATGATACAGTACCATAAAGGTATATTAAGTAATCAGTTTTTATTTTACTTAATATAAAAAATATGTCTGATATACAGTACATTAAAAGCCATTTTGTTAAAAACAACCTAAAAAAACATTCTAAATCTTGACATATGGTATGTTAAATAAAGCTGATGGTGCAATGTTACCTTTGCCAGGCCAGTTTTGAACATAGTGGATCAGATTAATGCCTCCAACAATAAGTGGATGCGCCGTAGGAAATGAGGCACCGGCTTCAGGGAAATTGCTCTGGATAACATGCATTGCACTAGAGAGAGAAACAGCGAAGATGACATTTAATGTCCAAAACAAGACAAAACCTCCAGGACTTACAAACTAAAAGGAGACATGCTAACAGTGGACTCCATCATAACAGTGATTAATTCTACTACACCCTTCATACATTTTCTTTCTAAACGTACTAAATAAATAAACACCTTCATACAGCTGCCCTTGCTGCATCTTAGAAAGTACATTACCCCTGTATGTTGGTGAGTAGAGACTCTGCACTGCCCAGCACTTGGTCAACAGAACCAGGAGAGAAGAGCTGGGGAATAGCTAGAAGGCTTTCCCACAGCGAGGTCTGATTTTGCAGCTGATCGAACACTAACACCCCCATCCCAGCCATTGTCGCCATCTCATCTGGTTTTGTCAGCATCAGCTCCATCAGTATCTGACAACAGGAGGCAATTTAAGAGTCAACAAAAAAGAGACCGCAACAGTTTTAGTGTAAGTATAGATAAAACATTTTTTTCACATAAAACAGAAATAAAAGAAGTCATCACACTGTCCTGATAACAACAAGCTGACACATGCAGGCACAAACCCACATACTGTGTGCTAGCAAACACAAACACACCTGGTTTAGTGTATGGAGCGAGACTTCAAACACAGTTTCGTTGGACTTGCAGAAAGTGGACACAGCATAGGACAGGAAGTTGGGTGAGGTTGTGTTCATCATGGGCAGCGTCATTGTGCAAACGGCCCTCTTCAAAAGTGACTCCAGTGTTTCCAGTGTTTCATTCAAAGTCTCCTGAAACTGATCCACATTATTACAGTCATGCAATAAGTGAAGGTATTCATTAAAAAAGGTTAATTATACAATGTTATTAGATTTTTTGAACACAATTGTAGATTGTATTAAAGGCAGGGTATGTGATTCTGGAGAAATCCAATACCATGAAAACTACCATGATATAGAGCAAACAACAACACAGCAAGTACTGGAACTTAGTTAGCTAAGTTGTGCGCCAACAAGCTCGACGCTAAAGCTGCTGCTGCTGCTGCTAAGCTAACGTGCAGAGTGGACGAGATGGTTTCCAAGAGCCAGCACACCAACTCCAGGGGAAGATACTCACAACTCTCCTGCTACTATAGCTAACATTAAAACAACAGCATATGTTGGCGAACCTGAATGTCTGTGGGCAAGTCATTTTACACATCAACTGATGCATAAATCATGTCTGCAATGGCTGAAATAGTGCTACCCAGACCTGCCTATCTACCTGCCTGTAAGCTATATCACCAAATAAATCTCTTAAGTCATCTTGCTGCCTCCTTTGTCTGTGGTTGGGTACTTTCCCTGTTGTCAGGACTTAGCAGTTTCCCAAAGATCAAATACAACCTAAAACTAGTGAGCATTATTCCAACAATACTTTAAAAACTTGGTCTTAAGTTTTAATAATATAAATGTAGTATAGTTGCAACTACAAATGTGTTTATTTATTGCTGTGCTGCAGGCTTTAGATTTGGATTTGAGTTAGACACCAAAATCAAGACTTGACTGAAGACTGCGAAAATATGATCAGTTGTTAGACTAAGTTAGGTAAAATCTCAGCAACATAAGTTGAGCATACAAGTTTATATTTTGGTTAACTTGTGATGCCGCCATTCACTGAGGAAATAGTATGTGTTGCAAATTATTAGTTTCAAATACAGTTTTCTTAGATTTCTTTATGCTTTGTCACTTTGGAGCAGCTTCAAGGTTGGTGTTGTTACTTCAGAATGCTTTGAGTGGCTTGACTACTTTCCTGGGGGGATTAAATTGAATTTAAATTGTACTACTTTATTGTTTTACTTTATTTTCTAATGCCTCTATAACAAATTCTCCTTCTACTAAAACATAATGTACTATTTTGTGCAATGTAGTTTTGCTTACAAAAGAAGTAGAACAAAGGGGACAACAACAATGACCTATACATAAGAGACCAAACAACGTTTTCAGTAGTGACTCATATCCCACCTGATCTCCCAGAGCAGTAGTATTGAAGCCATTCATGAGAGAGCCATTATTATAGCTTCGTTGGTAAGATGAACCTTCAACACAAGAAAAACAAAGCTGAATATCGCAGTAACAGCAACGCCTAATATCATAGTCACCATATAATGCAAACATGAGAAGGGGCTTGAGTAACAAAATGACCAAATGTTCCAAAAAGTACATAAAGTGTGGTTCTTAAAGTAGTAGTTCAACATTTTGGGAAATGCTTATTTACCTACACGCTTTAAATGAAAAGATTATTACTAATAATGATGATAATCAAAACTAAACTTAACAAATTGCAATTATTATTATTATTATTATATACAACCATTTCTAGTATTAAAGTGTAGCCTTCTCCAATTCTACGTGTGGTTTGTTCAAGTTGTGTATCATACCCCAGTAGAAGCTGCTATGAGTAAGTCAAAAACACTGCACTGTCTCTTTTGAGATGTATTAAAAAGTGGAAAACTAAAATGTAATATGAGTGCTATGTAAGTTATATCATTGATTGTGGTTGTTTTTGTAGTATTATTAAAATGATAATTTTATGAATGGTGTCACAGTGTTATGTTAAATTCTTGGCAGACCGTTAGCTAGCCATACAGTACATACTGTGCATGCACGTAACTTGTGCCAAGGCATGCATGAAAGCCAATATTAACGTAATAAATCATTTTGCGCTGGAACTGTTGAAATTAATTATTTTGCTTAAAAGTGTCAGTAATTGTATGCAGTGGAATTGTGAAAACAAACACGTTTGGTAAACGGGCCAATTTGCATTGATGATTGATTAAAGTGCAAGCAGTTTTATTTGCTCTCATTGATTGTCATCATGAACAAGAGGAAGTGTGGAAATGATTTGTCAGTTTTTTGGGCAGCGTAAGAAAACAAGAAAAGTTGATAGCAGTGAGAAAATGACCAGTCAGATGATAAAAGTGCACTGTATTACAAGTCAGTGTTTCTTGATATAATACTTATTGTCATTCTGATCAGAAATGGTTAGTAATCCATTCCTTAACATCACAGCGAGATACTCCAGTAGTTTACTGGTTATTTTATGTTCTCCCTGGCGCATTCAGAGTAAAGAGAGAGAGGGAGAGTGAGAGCTTGAGGATGCCGGCAGGCAGGGAGAGCAGGTGACATGGAGGTGAGTGATGCATGTTCACGTCACGTGGCCTTGGAGCAGATAGATATTGATCTTCTTATCTAACGCTAAACATGCAAGCAAAGCAAAGTGAAATTTTCCTAAATGTCAAAGTAATCCTTTTACAAAGTTAATTAGGATGCCCATTTTGTTTCTCATGTTTCGCACTAGAAAACTAACTAAAGATTTAAAAATGTATAAAAATGTATTTTGTATTTTGGAATAGTAAAAAGGGTCTATGAATGAGTATAACAAACCCAAAATGTTGTTCATGGTCTCAATCAGCGCTGCAGGATCATCACTAGGGTCCCTTGTGAATTTGAAAAAATCTCCTCCTTGAATCAGGTCTGCCAGCGGGGACCCCTTCAGCAGGAGGGGCAAGCTATCATTCACAGGCAAAAAGATTAGATGAGGCACACTCAACCAAATGTATGGAATTTTCCAATGAGTGGTTTCATCCATCTTTCTGAAAAGCTGAAACATCTTCCCAGTCATTTATTTACATATTTTTACAGTAGCTAAATAATCAACTCAATGGTACGTTTTGAACACTGCGTCAATTTGACAAAAGTTATTAAAGCAATTATTTTAAATAATAAAATAAAATATTTTAAAGCAACATTTTTTATTAGTGTTTGCTCCCATATGTTTCTGACTGTGTGCTAGTAGCTAAAACCCCTATGTTGGTAACAATATTTGCCACTAATGTTAATAGATACTTATTTATCTTAGAGTAAAGAATGGAAAGTCCAAGAACTCATTTAATCTTTTTCAGAAAAACCCAGTTACAGAAGGGGGTGGAACAAAAGCTAGCTTAAAGAGGAGGTGAGACTTTGGCTCACTAAAGCCAACAAAAGCCTGACTACAGGCAGCTGGGGAGCGCTAGCTAGCATTCATCAGCAGGCAGAGGGTTTGACAAACAGGTTTTTCAGTGACCTTTATTCCTATGTCTGCAATTCACATTTCAGTGACAGCACAACAGCTTAAGTAACAAAAGTAAAGAAAACAATTCTAAGCCATTACCACGAACTGGTGTTGGTATTTAACACGTGAATTACTTACACGTTTCCATGAACTAAAGGGCCTGTTTCTTGAAGATGTTTTAGGTATTGACAGAGTTGTTTTAAAGAAAATACAGTCAAATAAAAAAAAGGTTAACAGTCGTCTACTGCTGTTTAACAGAGAGAAAAATACCAGAAAAAACATTGTTGATTTTTTTTAATGTGGCTTCATAAAACTGTGGTGGGTTATTTTTAAGCAAGGGATAAGGATTCCCTTCTGCCACAGGATGTCTGTTGTTGATATATTTCCATGAGCACTCGTGTGCTACTGCTATGCTGAGGTATGTCCCGCCTTTGTCACACCTGTATATAGCTGACGTTACATGAACCAGTCAGATGCAGTGATACTGACAGGAATTGAATAAACATGTGTTTGGGTTTTTTGCAATATAGGTCAGATAATAGACAATATACACTTTGTACTGATGAATGGGGGTACCTTGTATCCCTTGTGTATCTCCGAGTGGATTTTGATGCAGATGGGTCCACCAGGCGTGATTTGTTCTGACAATTGCTGTCTACGTTGCACATGAGGGTCTGAAGGAAAGGGAAGAAGCCTGTGCTTGGGAGGTTTCGGGGTGCCACATAACCTGGAGGATACATGAAAAAGTTACAATTGCCAGGACCCTTCCATTCAGAATTATTTCAAAATCCCAGGAGACTATGTCATTACTTATCTACATTTGGTAAACAAGATGACACTACTGGAAGTTAGTTACAAGGTTTTTATATTAATTCACCAACACCTAGAAACATTTCGGCAACAGAAAAACAAATCCATGAGTAAAAGAGTAACGTTAATTCCCGTTGTGGGATGGTCGAGATTGTACGCAGGGTGCAAACTATGGGGGAGCTCAGCTCCTCTTAACAAAACGGTAGTTCCCCTAATGGATCATGGGTAAATAGATTTCTATAGGATATGTGTTTGTGCTTTAATAAATTTCTTTCATGATTAGAGAGGCTGCTGTCAGTTTATCCTGACCATCCTGTTGGAGTGTGGGGAGATTCAAATAATCTATGACGTTATGCTGCTATACCGCTTGCATAAATGCGCACAGCGTCTTTGTTAATGGCGAGACAATTCATCCTATTTCACCCATCCACCCCCACCCTACCCTACTATTAATCAGAAGGTTAATTTTTATGACAAAGGTAGTGTTACAATACAGTAATATTGTAATATAACTAATAACTCTCAAATGACAGTAACTAGTAATCTATAATGTATTATATTTTTGAAGTAACTTGCCCAACACTGATCATTACCAGTTGAGTAACTTTTACCATCTTTTGTCAGCAAAGAATCCCAACTATTGTTTAGATTCAGGACAAAGAAAAAGAGGCGAAATAGAATGAAGATCAGGTTGCAGCCAAACTGCCATTCACTGACTGACCTATGGTATTCCTTCATGTTAATATTATCTCATGAAGCAATCTTTCATCTTGGCACACCTCTCTTTGAAAGAATCAAATTACATCAGACCTCAAGGTTAACACCTACACTCACGCAGCCAATGAGAATGTGTGTACAGTAGTAAATAAGAGTTTACGTAACAAAAGATAAAACTGTGAAATAGAAAAACAATGACTCATGACAGTTAAAAAGAACAATAAAGAAGCAAGTTACACAGGCGTTCAACAAAGGGAACAACTTTGTACCCGCACACTAATAATGGAACAGCAATAGGCGCAAATCAAATAATAGGAAAAACTTTGTAATGTCATAATGAAAATGTGGGAGGGACAAAAGCCTAGGGTGTTATGTTATATGCAAGGACTCAAAAGCATTGTCCAACAATGTAAAAAAAAACATATCATTTAGTATATTTAGGTGAAGATTTTTATATAATTTGTTTTCTATCATGACATTTTAGCACAAGCTTCCAAACACAACAGCCAACAGCCATCTTTTTTATTTGCAGAGTACTTTGCAACACTACATTGATTCAAGGCAAGTTTCTATATTAGGGCACACAGGGGTAATTAAATTACACGTGAATCCCTGCATCTATAGAAACTGATCCATCAAAAGACTGAACAGACTGTAAAATATATACTTCATCACATGTGCACATAGGGGTAAATGTACTTCTGTAAGGTTGCAAAGTACAAAATAACTGGGCTTCCTTATAAGTGAAAAGCCTGTGGGATGTTTTTCCAAACTGCTGCTCCCTGTACAACCACCTACTCCAGTCTCACCTGAACCTGAGGATCGTGGACTACAAAGGCAGAAATATATACGTAACACTTCCTCCTTAAGCACTTTTACCCACATTACATGCAGATTAAAAATGAGTCCAAACACCATGTCAACGGTGCCAACAGTGTGTGGTTGTCCATGTCAAGTCCATGTTGTGTTAATGCAGACTTTAGACATCTGGATCTGACTATTCAGTTCCCCAGTTTCAGATTTTGCTTTCATCTTTATGAAAAATCAGACTCACTGAACAACCTGTTTCAAACATTTTCAAATAGATGACAGCCAACAAATCTTTAACTTAATACTCTGAAAATACATTTCAGTTTTCAATGTTTTTATTGAGTTTATTTGTGCCCTAACGGCCTTCTTTGGAAGTATTGGGGCAGCTTATAGGCGAAATAGGATAGGCAGGCAACAGTTTATTTGGTTTGTAAGTTGTGTAGCATCATCCTGTTTGCGTTTGATTGTAGTAGACCCCACCAGGGGCCTCATAAACGGTGCTCACGTAACCTGTTAAAAGGTTGTGTCTGTGCTGCAAACTTTTGTCTGGCTCTGTCAGTAAAACTACTCCAGTTTTTGTGTTATGTCTTGTGAAGCAGGGGAGACCGGGGAGTGTTGTAACACCAGGTTAGTGGAAATACCGTCAGTTTGACCAATCAGAAAAGAACTGCGGTGATGTCATCAATATCGTAGACTCCAATTTTCTTTTTCAAGCTCACATGAGAAGTGGCATGTCCCTGTTAGCAAGACTGAGTTTTACAACCAAGAAAATTATGTTCAAGAAAGACAGTATTGTTTTAATCAAGATTATTTTTTGCCTAGCGTTTATTCTATTGTAGATAGAATAGATAGAAATGTTGCAACTTATATCATCTAAAGTAGCAATTTCTCTAATTTAATTTGATGCTTTGCATTCATGCTAACTTCAATAAAAAGCTAGCTATCTAATGGATGGTTGTTGTGGGGATGGTTGAAACAGTTCATCAGAAATGTTACAACCATTTTTTTTTTTATTGCACTTTTCACCTTTTTTTCTAACATGCCTAGGCAGTAGAAGCATAAGACAGACAGGGGTAAAGCAAAGCAAACAAGCAAAAGGCCCAAGCCTAATGATCAAGAGGATTCTGAATCTTCAAATCTCTGCATTGTGTGGATGGATCACTTTACAAACTCAAGGCCAACAGAAATGTGGGTCAAGATCAGAGGTGGAAAGTAACGTATTACATTTACTCGCGTAACTGTAATTGAGTAGTTTTTTTGTGTACTTGTACTTTTTTAAGTTGTTTTTATAATCTGTAATTTTACTTTTACCTAAGTATGTTTTCTTTGAAGTATTGTACTTCACTGTGGAGAGTCCGACCCGTGGCGCTGAACCTCGCGGCCAGCACAGCTTCTCGATTCAGCGCAAATCAACTCTGCGTAGCTGATGTGACACTGGCGATTTTGTAATCATGTGCGTAACTGGTAGGTTACAGTTTTGCAATATAAACATCTTGAAACTAAAGTGCAGCCCTGCTCTCTTTTAGATCAGAGCTGCTGAATTTGTGGTGAGATAGGCCTATCTGCCTGATCAGTAGTGTTTTTGGTTGGGTTTGGTTTCACATGCAGCATGCTGTCCCAAACTGAGTTGGTCTTATGGTCTAAAGGGGATAGGCTACATTATACACCAGCGGATAAATAACATAATGCACAGCAGAGTAGAGGCCAGCTAGAATAAAATATAATGAATTCTCATTAAATTATGACGTTAGTCTCGTAATATATCGTAATATTTTTTCTGGACATGTCAGAGAACACTATGGGAGATATTCTGAATGTGCAGAAAGTTTTGAACATGAGCAGAAAACCTGCTGAAACACAAGAGCTATTACAGTCCAGGAGTTTATAACTTAATTAAAATTAATAAATTTATCATTGAGGTGAAAAGGGTCCACACAGGCCTATTAAAAGAGATTATTTCCAAATGGAGACTCAAAACAGAAGGGAAGGCTAAGCATGTGTACTCACTTAATAGGGATTTTATTAAATTAGAAAAGTTGATCTACAGGAGAAAACATATTTAAAAGCAATAGCATACAGAATGCCTGAATTCTATTAAATTTTAATATTTTGAATTGTCACATACCGCCTGAATATTGTGTTTCACTTTATATAGATGGGGATGAACTATAAATTGGTGCAATGCTCAAAATTTCAAATCTCGCCTAGGGCTCCAACACTGTCATGGCTGGCACAGTAGCACATCGAACATTTGTAAAACACAGAGGGAGTGGACAGAGCCACTCCCTGGCTCTGTCCACTCCCTCTTGCTGCGGACTGTCGGTGATCGTTCCCTCTGGCTGGATGAAGCCTGACGCTTCTCATTTTACACATGATCCATGATGATACGGAAGATTTAGAAACGGCAGTGGCAAAAATAGCATTTCATGGGTTACTAAGAGGAGGCAAGTTCCCTCGTAGTTTGCACCCTGCTTGTACCACGGGTACAAGTTAATAAAAGACGTTTTCATAGTATAGTAAGAGGCTTTGCTCAAATTAGCCAAAAAGACATTGGTGCATGACATTGCTAAAGTTGGTTGGCACTAGCAACCTGCTGGTAACTAGTTAATTATGCTTAGACCTATGTTAATAAAAAAAAATATTATGCTACGCCTATAAAGTCACATAAAAATTACCACCTGTTTGAATGTAGCCTAAAATAGGGATATGACTTTATATACAGTCCAGTGTTTCCCACTTTCCCAGTCCAGTGCGGCCTGCCATTGTCTAAATTGTTCCGCCACCGTTTCATAATGAAGCAAAAACATTCACAAAACTTCTCATAATAACAACAAGTTCCCTAACATTGTTTTGTGCCATTGCTTTAGCAAACAATCTGTCAAACAAACTAATATCTGGCTTTGTGCCCTCATCAAATCGCAAAAGACTGCGATTTAATTAAATAAGTATAATAAGAAGGCCTATAAATAAGATATTAAATCAGTATAAATAAGTTATTTTAGGAGGTTAAAAAGGTACCTTTTACTCTGAGTAAATTTTAAGTGAGCTACTTTTTACTTTTACTTGAGTAGATTTTTATAACAGTAACTTTACTTTTACTTAAGTAAAAATTCATCAGTGTAACAGCACTTTTACTTAAGTACAATATTCTAGTATTCTTTCCAACTCACTGTGACAGTGATTGAACCTGTGACACACACATAAATAGTTTTTCAGTTAATGTAAAGTTTTGAAAAAAAACTTTATCACTTAAAATTGTTCAGCGTATTCAGAACAATGTCTTCTTTATTCTTCAATGATGTTCTTGTATAAATTGTACTGTGTGCATCTTATTTTAGCAAATGCACGATTTGGAAAAAAGTCATATTTCGATTATGGCGGACAATATTGAGATTTATGATTGTGATTCGATTATAATGGAACAAATGGTACTGTAAGTCTACTTGCTTGATTATCAAGGAAAATGAACAAAATACTGACATTTTGAAATGTGTTTTTGAACAAAGTTAAGCGATAAACAGATGAGACAGGAGCATTTGCAGCTTGTTTCACACATAGGCTGAAATGAAGCCCTACATGAAGAGTCAGTATAAGAAAATTGAATCATGCAAAGGTCTGGAAAAGCAGGTTAATACGTCTCCTTTAAATAAACAGTAGAGTTTTCAAATAATACTATACTGTTAGTATAACAATAATAGCCTATATTACTTACTATATTCATTATAATTTCATATAATAGTATAGCCTATTTTAAATCCAGTTACTGTTCCATTTCTGTGGGTTATTTATTTATTTATTTAATCCTTGTGCAAGAAAAAGGCTCTACATTGGTCTCTAATTTGTTAATGTAATAACTTGTCAATAATCATATTGTTCAACATTTAATGATTTGCTGTAGCCTACGTCAGACCTTTTTAATGTCCAGCCCCATCCAGGCTGTGATTGGTCGGTTGACGAAAACTGAAACTTAACAGGCACGTGGGCTTTATGAAAGGTTGAACAACAAAAGGCACCGACACAGCGTTTAAACCTTAAATGGCCAGCAAGCCAAACCCAGATATTCTTTTCCCAGTTTTCTTCTGTCTTACTGCTTCACCTGCTGCCATCGTCTCTCTGTCAGAGAGCAACAGGTGTTGGCGAATTCCGCATGCCTGCTGAGAATTGCATGCTCGTGGGTGGTAACCTGAGTCTATGGTGGTAACGCTAATTCATGCTGAGAAAAGAGGTGGATGCAAATCTCTGCAGGTAGCCTCCAACATCTGTTCTGTCGAATTATGCATCCACCACTGTGCACACTGATCAAACGCGGTTATCGCCACATATTTTAGCTGAATCGTGAGGAATGGTAGCCTACTTCTAGCGTAATTCGTGTAATAAACGACTCTAAACGTTCATAAATATCCTTCGAATCATTTATCACCATTGATGTACTCTACAAAGGATATTATAGCGTTTTAAACCAGTTTTTGGAGGTGCATGCAATTCTCAGTAGGTAGGCTCTGCAAAAGTCGGCATAATACGGAGCACCGCCATTTCTGTCGTTGCTGCGGTGGCGCGTCCGACTATGTTTTAAACAATTCGCGGCGGGACTGGGGGTTACGGTAGGTTGTTGTCGTAAAAGTTATTGGCACACTGCTCATGAATCATTTTTTTGATTGCACATTGGCGATTAGATTAATCGTGCAGCCCTAGTTACATCCATCCCAGCTAGTGTTACAACTCAACCCAGTTGTAAGGTAGTAGTTGTCCCAGTGGCTTATATTTGTAGGGTAGAAGACGGGCAGTATGTATGAAAATGTGAGAGACCACTGAGTTACTGACGCTCAAACAAAAGGTTACTTTCATTCCCGGTCTACCTAGTTTATGAAAAATTACGTCGGCCACTACCATAACCTTACAACCATAACCAGTTGTAGAAATCCAAGATGACATCAAATAGCATTAAGTTGTTGCAGGAAAGAGTCGATTTTATATCTTCTAACACCGTGCATATAGGCTATCACCATTTAGTTTTCATTTCAGTTTTGTGTGTAAAATCTCTGCAGTGAACAAGGCTGCACTGGCAGGCGCACGGAGCGCTGAGACACCGCGGAGGCGCACAAACAGATCTGCCTTCTCACTTCGGCTCACCCGGCACATCTTCACCACCTGCACGAATTGTGAAGATTAGCCTACCTGCCCGTGATGATGATTAGCTAAAAGTTGATTTAGATTCCCGAGAACCGTGCTCTTGTATCTGTGTGCTGCGTCCAGCATTAGACAGACCAACCTAAAGGGACCGCGCCTCCCCAATAAAACATGGCATTTATGGGGTTTCTAGCTGCCAGCTGTTAGCAGCTGGAATGAACTGAAAGGTGTGTGTTTGGTATGATCAACATTGTAAAGGCTAATGTTTACATTACTGCCCTTAGCCACTTTTGGGAATAAACCTAATTCTCTTAAAGTCGCTGTATTTTCGCTGTATTTGTGAACAAGCTGCTTTACATAATAGGCTTTCTAACTTCCACCTCTTAAGCACCTCGAAAAAAACTCTTTCCCCCCCTGTCTTTCTCTGAGTTGTTATTACAGGTGTCCTGCCGAAAAGTGATCGTCTGCCGAAAACTGATTGCCGTCTGCTGAGCTGTATTGCCCAATCTCTTTAATCACTTTCTAACAAGTGAAATAGCCTACTGCATTTTATGGGTTGTATTGGGCATTTAAAGGTATTTTAAGTGGTAAAAAGTACTAGGTGAGCTATAATCTTCTGAATGAAATCAAGTAATTTCAGGGCAGAAATAACCTTTCAGTCCATAACAAAAGGCTTCAATCATTTTCTGGCAAGTGAAATACTGCATTTTATGAGTTGTATTGGCCATTTAAAGGTATTTTAACGGTAAAAAAGAGTGGATTGGTTGGTAGGCCTACACATCAAGTAAAATAATGCAGTCATAAGGATAATTGCAAAATTGTCTTCATTTTATATCTAAATTGGCAGTAAGTCATGTTAATTAGGCTACAGCCCGTTTTCCAAATATAAACAAAGATATTACACATAGGCCTACCAAACATCACTTTTCGGCAGGACACCTGTCTTCACTGTTAGCAGGCTCATTCATGCATCAATATTCATGAGGTGTTTTGCTTCAACCATTTATGGCTGAATGTGGGCGTGTAGAGGGCAAGATGTGAGGCTAATCCACGTGTGCACATATCCCGTTTGAGTTTTCTGTATGTCTATAATGAGACACCTGGTCTCCTTTTCAAAATCCTGACAAATAGTAAGATGTGTCATCTTTTACACTTACATGCATCTTTTATTACTGGAGGGAACTGGTTTCGGGTCACAGCAAGGATGATGAAGATGATCAGAGGCCAGATGATCAGAGTCAATGACCATATCTGTAACACAATACAAAAAACAGTACAATAATCAGTTTATCAATATCCAGAATGACAGGCTACTGAAAAATGAAGTATCCAATCTGTAAAGGTGCAGTTGCAAATGTCATTTATTCCCCGCTAAAATTTAGGCTAATAGGAATCCACAGGAATCCAACATAAAACAATAGTTCCCACTGCACTTGAAAGCCACTCACCGGCTGTCTGATGATTGCCAGCCCATTCTTCCAGAGAAGAAGTTGCAGCTGCCTGAAGAAGGCCATCAGTCTAAAATAAGACACAATATTTGAAAATCATCCTTCCATCAGCTAGGCTGATTGGCTCCATTATAATGTAATTTGAAATGTAGTGTATTGTTGTTAATCCAACATGGCGGTGTAGCCTATTAGGGCCAGGTAGGCTAATACAAATGAGGGAGCTGTGGGACTGTCTGGGTTAATATTCCGAGATAAAACTCCTTTCTGAGATTTAAGTCTTATGCTACATTTAAAAAAGCGTGAATATTCTCTGAGATTAAAATGGCATCTTCCTTTTGTTCAAAGACCATGAACTAAAAAAAAACTCTTGTCATGTCCACACTGTTTCTTGTCTTGGATTACTGATAAGGGAACATTATTATTGGCATTAATTGCAGTTAAACGTGACAATATCTACACTGAAGTGCATTCAGAGGATCTGACCAAGAGGAAGAGATACCATTTAGGCTATAGAATAGATGTGGAGTCTGGGGAGACAGCCTTCTCAGTCTTGAGCCACATTGGAAGCTTATTTCTCAGGGGACAGAGTCTGCATAAGATATAACAATCTCACAGAAGTTCATTGTACCGAAACACTTGGTGTGGTGTTATAATTCCCAGTAAACAAGTAGGCCTTTAACATAAGGTAATGATTTAGGATATTAAATGCTGGGCATTGATATCTTTGCTTGTCACAAGTTGCTGAAAGTTATGTGTGACTGACAAAAAATGACTTGAATGATGATGAAAATCATATCAATAGCTTTACCATGCGCACTCGAAGCCTAATAATAAAGTAATAATGTACAAATAATCCATAGAACCTACCTGGCTGCGTCTGTCCTCTTTAATTGGTCAAATGAATAGTTATCTGACTGTTTCTCGCAGGCTTGTTGGGGTGGACATGGCGCTGGGTGGCCTCTAACACCTTTCCATCAGTCGGTTATGGGGGTGAAAAACAGAATAAATTCACGGTCAGAAACTAAAAAATCCTTCTTCGGTGACGCCGCAGTTATTGAAGCCTAAAGGATAAATGTAACATCAGCCTTCACCCTTCTGCTCCTTGTAGCGACACCCTCATGGGCGTGTTCTCAACCCAGAGTTGAGATCAGGAGCCAGAGTTGCTGTACAGGCTTCTCTGCGCTTTAATTAGAGCACTTTCCCACCCAAACCCCCATAGTCACAGTGTTTGCCCCCAGACTACTTAAATTAATTAAATCGAAAGATGAAGTAGAGCTGTACATAAAATAAAAAAAACTACTAAATATAAACACTTAAGTTATCACTATCAACACTTTAGTGTTTCCCCTGCCGCGGGAGCGCGCGTGCATTTAGCGGTGAAGACGGACCTTCGACTTCATCAAAGTGAATGAAAAATATTCCATGTGGATTGTTTAATCTACCATTATAGTATCGTTTTATTAACGAGGTTTGTGTAGAGCAAGCTAGCACTTATAAACGTTTTTATAGGCTTACGGTATGTGTTACCGAACTTCGTATTATTCATTGCACTCAATTGAGAATTTCACTCGTAAAGCAAACATTTATTTCGCGATCCTTAAAACAGACAAAGTTATTATTACAGGTGATTTTAATATTCATATGGGCGTCGACAATGGTAGCCTTAGTGCTGCTCTAATATCTCATCTCTTTATATCTTAAACCCAATCACGGTTTTAACCACACCTTGTTCTGGCTATGGCTATGCCTAATTGTCTTTCCACAGAATCCCTTTTTTATAGGAGCACTATTTAATAACTATTTAAATTCCTGTACCGGACTACACCATTTGGTGTGGAAGATTCCTAATCATTATGACAACATTCTTTATCCCCTTTGCCCTTATTCTTTACTAGACAAGATCAACCTGTTAAAAACAGGGTCGGTACCACATTCTTTAAAAATAGATGTAATGAAACCTGTTCTTAAAAAGATCTTGATCCAGAGGTTTAAGAGAACTAACCTATATCTAACCTTCCTTTTCTCTCTCTAAGATCTTTGAGAAAGCAGTCGCCAATCACTTGTGACTTTCTACATAATAAACTGATGTGCTAGTTAATTTGAGGTGACAATTACAATGATCTTCTAATTGAATCAGACAAAAGATTTGTCTTGTTAGATCTTAATGCTACATTTGACACCACTGACCATCATATCCTATTACATAGACAACATTTAACTGCCATTAAAGAAACTGCGCTAAGCTGAAGTCCTATTTATCAGATCGATCTCAGCTAGTAAATTTTAATCATGAATCCTGCATGCCTCTGAGTTAAAGTTGAGTAGAAGTATAAAGTAGCAGAAAATGGAAATAACTAAGTAAAGTACAAGTACCTCAAAATTGTACTTACAAAGTGAGTAAATGTAGGCCTACTTAGGTATTCTTCACCACTGCTAATGCACCACTGATGGTCAAATTTCAGATCTCATCTTAATTGGCCTCTCTTTAAAGCTGCAATGATCTTAAATTTACAATACCATCACGTTACTGTAAGGATTATACTTTGTGTAATATATTCTTTAATGACATGAAGTAGTCAATGAGCTGATATTACAAGTGTCTTGAGTGCTGCTTTAAAATGAATTGTATCTATGGTTCTTATTCAGGGTCATTCTGGAAACTTGAGTAGTGATTAATGGAGGGAACTATGTGATTAAATGTTACAAAAATTTTACATTGTTGTTCAATAGTAGAGCACTGATTTACAACACCAGGGAGGCATGGGTCTCCACAGGGAAAAATCACACTGACCTGATCATGTGGGAGAAAAATCTAACCAAAGCAGTGAATTCTCTAGACGCTGGACCTTTTATGACTACGTTGATAGGACAAAGACAAAATAAATCCAAGTCATACTTACAGATAAATGATAATGTAACAAACACTAGTATAAGATATAAAGAAGATTAAAAAAATAGTATAAAATTACTATCTCAGTTGCTACTTTTACACACAGCTATGCAGGCAAGAAGTCAAGATTTCAACAATTACAGACAGAAGAAAATCTGCTTTTAATGTTATTAAAGGTTGATGTGACTGAAGCTAATGTCATTCTTACACACACACCTTGTGTTTGCATAAATACAACTGTTGATACAGACAATGCTGTATGACACGCCAGTATTATACATTATGCCATGTTTTTCCTGAGAGTAAGGTCTCAGGGTTGGGCACAAGAAGGGCACAGGTGACGCTATTGTACTGTTAAGATTGAAACAACAACAAAAATGTCATCCACAAGGTAGGGCTACTGGTTTTCTATCTTGATACCGTGTCAAAGTAATTTAATCAGGTTGCAGAAGCTAATCTAGACACAGATTTTAAATAGTACTGGATTCTTAGGCTTAAACTGTACCCTTCTCAGAACCACAATGACACACAAATAAAGAATGTATTACTCCAATCACTATTATCTCGCCGCATTTAGCACACATCAGCACCCTGCAGTCAATTTAAAGTTCTACAACATGTAAAAGCACTGTAACTACTATACATGCTCAACAATACTCCCATTACTGGGAATGATCCATTTTATTGACATAGTCTGAATTTATGTGAATTCTCTAATAATCGAGTTTCTCTCTATCTCAAAACATCCAAATTTGATGGTATAAGGATTCTAAGTACATTTACACCATCATTTCTAAACTTCAGCTGTTGACTTAATCTGGTGAAAATATGAGTATATGGGTGCGTGAGCGTTGGTGCAGTAGGCACTCAAAAATCCATCCATCCATCCATCCATCGTCAACCGCTTATCCTGCGTACAGGGTCGCGGGGGGGCTGCAGCCAATCCCAGCTGACATTGAGCAAAAGGGGGGGTACACCCTGGACAGGTTGCCAGTCCATCGCAGGGCCACACATAGACAAACAACCACTCATGCTCACACCTAAGGACAATTTTAGGGCAAAACAGCAAATAAACTTCATTTTCACACATCGGTTTTCTGCCATGTTTAATCTCTGCTAAAAACTTTTATCCAACACCAAAATTACACATCTACTGCTGTACAAACCAAGTCATGAGACAATGCATATGTGTGTGCATCCTCAGGAATGGGAAAAAATAGGGCGTGTTGTTGTAAGAAAACAGCTTCATGACAGACAAGTGTTGGTAAGACACAGTGGCTCCTTTGTGGCATTTCAGTTCATTTCAATAGTAGCAGTAACACTATAATGATGAATCATTTGAAAATAAAATTTGTCATGTTGTTTCTTACTTTTCCAACATAAGTAATATGGTAGTGCAATCCCATGTAACAAATACTAATACTGGCACTATATATGAAATGAAAGTTTTTCACACAAACACTGAAATACGATGGAAGCAGAAGAAAAACACACCTCTTAACAATTCATCAACTGGGAATTTTTAGGTTCTATTTTAAAAGGTGCCCTGTGGAATTATTAACCACTTGAAGCGCTTTAGAGCAGTGCTTATGTTCGAGGTTCCCCGTTGTGTTTGGCTTCCTTGCCATGGTACAAGTACATATATGTATGTGCACTATAGTGCGGCGCCAGTTCAATGCTAATCCAATGATAAACAGTTGGTGGAAGTAACGCATTAAAAAATGAGGCTATGTGCTAAAGGCAGTGAAGAAGAAGACATTGCAAGTTTCAAAGTACTTCAAAAAAAAAACATTTAGCAAAATGCATCCAACGTTGTTTGTTACACAATGCTTTTTGGTAAGATACACTGAATGCAAATACTTCTTTACTTAACTCAACAGGGTGTCTTTAATTAGAAATGCATAATCTTCATACTATGTTTGTGATCCCTGAATGCTCTTATGTGGTGCTATTTGTGAAAAAACAAATAGTAAATTTTAAAAATAGAATAGTTAAAGTTTAGATACTCAACATCTTTGAATCTCACAAAATATTAAACTGAGAATACTTCCACACAACACTGTCTGTTGCAGTCACTATAAGACACTTTTCCTCACCAGGGGTGCTGGTGTTAGTAATAAATATCAGAAATTATGTGAAATACCAGGCCGTCATGAAGGATCCACATTTAACATATAACTTACAAAATATTTGCAGATTTAGTTGTTGAATGCAACGGTAATACATGTTTGGCAGCCCAATCTTGGCCTTTTGAGCATAATGTTCAGTCACAGTGGTCACTATAGACCTGATTGCACAACTCTGAAACCATAAAAGTAAAAAATACACCAAAGAACAGTTAAAATATCCTGTATATTCCATACAAACACATCTAACTTTTAACACTGCTGTTGGCACTTGTGTGTCAAGAAAGTCAATATCATCAATACACTATTTTCCAGTGTGTGGGCTGTTCACATTGTTTTTCGGAGTCCCCACAGAAACGATTGTATGTAGTTTTGGGGTCAAAGCCCAGGATCTCCCTCTCTTCATGGATTCGGAAAGAGAAGGTGGACACTGATGTTCCTATGAAGAATCTGAAAAAAAATGCACAAACAAAAGGGGACAGTGATGCAGGAGATTTACACCATGGAAAGTTACATGAGCATGAGACACACATGTAAGAGCAGCAACACCCTGACTAGTTTTTCAGGTTTCCTTCCTGTTACAATGCTGCTAAAATATCTAAATTATGCAGCATTAAAAATACAAACTGGCATTAACTTGTTAGTCCTCAATTAGGACCTTTTGGAAAATGTTACATAAGTACAATGCCTTCAAAAAAACACTCACTCTTACAGTGAGGTCAATTTTTAGTTAAAGTTTTTTTAATAGTCAACGCACATTGATTACATGCAAAATGTAGTGTGATGTAATATATCCGTACGAAGTGCACGCCTGCTTACTTCCTGTCAGCTCTACCGTAATGTTAGTTTCACTGCCAATGTCTTTAAAGTACTGCTTCATCCTTATTTCAGCCTCTTTTCACAGTATAGTATCTACTGTTCATTTCTGTATAGTGTTTTAGTGCTTGCTACACACCCTGGACCTGGTGATCTCTTTTCTGATGTTGACTGCCCATTCTGCCCTTATCTCAGTGTTAGTTGGAAAGGATTGAAAGCTCACAGAGGAGAACT